GACGGCCTAGGCCAAGCTCATTGGAAACACGGACACTAATAGTACACAAACACAAGACACATGAGTTTATAATTTGAATTGTCATGAGCTGAACAAAAGACTAAACAAAGGTTCTGAGATTGAGATGATACCTTATAGCAGCGTTTATTCCGATGAACAACATGGCCTCCAAGCCGTTGACATTCATGCTGAAATGTAAAATCCAAAGCACAAAAGACTCAGATACAAGTTTTCCAAGGTCTTTGAAGTAAATGTTGCTGAGAAACTCTTACCATATAGAAAGGGAATCAACAGCGATAACAGCATTGTCAAGGCGGCCAGTAAGGACGATGATACTCATCATATACCAGATTTCAAGACAGAGCATAACAGCGGATGCAATGGAGAGTCTGACAAATGCCCAAATCTCTTTAAAAGCCAACCAAGACAAACCAGTCCAGCCTTCATTACACCAACCAATCACATAAACGATCTGAGCAATTGCTGATCCCCAGTTTGTAATATTAAAGGCCAAAGCAGCACCGTTTGTTCCCCAACCTAACACGATAATAAAGAGCCAGAGCATACCAACGTGTAGGACAAGAGCCACAAATCCAATCCAAGCAATAGCGACAACTTTGCTCTGCGCTTGAAGGAACTTGGAGGTGGGGAAATTGAAGGCGAGTGAGAAGAGTTGAGGGATGGTTAGAAGGGTGAATTGCCCAGCTGGAACCGCAATCTCCTCGGCTTGACCGAGTAGTCTCAGAACAGGCGTGGCGAAAATGTAAAGAGGAAGGAGTAAGATGCAGGAAACGAACAGGATAATCCAAGATCTCTGCATATAAACGCCTAACATATTGACTTGACCAGCTCCATATGCTTGGCCACAGAGTGTTTCAAGTGCACTTCCCATACCAAGCTGCAAGCCAAATATTAATCTTTAGTTCCTCTGAATAATTCTTAACACTAATTAACCCCCAAAAGCTCATTTGACAATTGCATATGCCAGATCTTGCTTTCTTTTTAAAAAGTGGATTAACGCAAGAATACACGTAAAGTAGTATATATAGTGAAAAAGAGATGGTTGAAAGAGTGAGGGAGAAGAAATGGTACCAAGAAACCGAAGGAGAAGGTGCCGATGACGGAGAGAGAGATAGAGACGGCGGAGAGCTCAACCTCGCCGATATGGCCAACAAAGATATTAGTGATGGAGCTAACGCCGTACTGGCAGATGATGTTGAACCCGACAGGAGCAGCTATCATCCACATCTTAGCCGACTCCGTAGACAGAACTCGCTTCACATCGGTCCAGCTCCTCGCTGGAGCGTAATCATCTTCTACTTGGCCACCGTGCGTAAGCAACGGCGTCGTCGGATCCATCTCTTCTCCAAACGCAACTCACTACTTCTCTCTCTGGTTCAGAGAGTCAAGGTTAGTTGCCGACTTATGTGTTGGTTTATATAACAAACCGTTGAATCATGAATCATGCACTTTTCTCTCTATGAAAACAAAAAAAGAAGAAGATCTCGTGGAAACTAATAATATTAAAATTACCCTCGTGGAAGCCAATAATTACATATTAAAAATCCTTAAAATATTACTGTTTTATAGACAATGAATGTTCACCATGCAATAGACCACAAGTCTGACTAAAAATTTTATACCAAAAAAACAGTATGACTAAAATTTCTAGTCAATATTACATTTTTAGAAAAGAAATGAAATCTAATGTATTGGTTTTGCTTATGTCATGTTGATTAATTTAGTAACGTAACGCATCTATTTTAATATATTCTGGAATTTAATACTTATGTCTATTATCCCATTTTGTTTGTAGTAAATGTTTGTTACTTTTTTTTTACGTTTTATCTGAGGACGAGTAGAGAAAGAGAGATAAAGGTTAGGTGTGGGTGAGGCTCACTAACCGATGGTTCATGAGACACCACGTTGACATGTCAAAGAAAGAACCATAAATATATGATTCGAAGCATCCAAATGGACTTAAAAAGAGATTTTACTACTCTTCCGGACATGAAGACGCCGTGCATCTCTTAAATGCTCTTCCTCTTCCTTCTAAAGATATGAGTTTGGTAGAGACAAAATCACGTGTTGTTTAAAAAAAAAACAAAAAAGGACAAAATCACATGAAAATTTTAATTACTTTTTTTTTCTATATAACGAATGTTTTCATGGTATTAAATTACATATGAGAGAAGCACAAGTGGGCTAGTGGTTCTCACCTCTGTTGCCTTCTCACCAGATTCGGGTTCGAATCTGATCCCTCTCAAAGAGAGACGTATAATTTGTAACGATGACAAAAAAAAAAAAAAAAAAATTACATATGCAAGAAAAAAAAAAAAAGGTGCATGGTATTAATAAATGTAATATTAAAAAATGAGGTATTTGATCAAGTAACATAATTATCAGTGAACACAATGGTCAAACCACTTTACTCTTGTCACTTATATATCTACTGGCTAATTAATTAACTCTATTTTTGGTCAAATATTATTCCTAAACTATATATGTTTTATAGAAAAGAGGTACAACTACCGAACACTGTTGGAGAATTAGGAAAAGATAAGATGGAAAGTTTTTCATAATCAACAAGAAAGGATAAGGCACTGCAGTCAAGAAAGATGAAGAAAATTCTACATATGATGATCCTAGTGATGATGATACTGATTGTATCTACTATCTCTAGTAAGTGGTCAAGAAGCCAATAAAATATTAAGTTAGGAAAATTGCTTAATCCAACTAAGTTCAGATAAAAATGGAAAATTAGGTGTTAGAAGAGGAAGCTCTCGTTTCCAAAAATAGGTGGTTCCGTTTAGTGATTCGCAAGGCTTCTAGAAGCCAACATAATAATAGAAAAAGGTGAGTTAGGTTACGTATGTTGATGAAATTATATGTACTATAAGGTAGAAGAGTCGGAGACGAGACATCTACAATTGCGTTTACACGGAAACTAGAAACGGTCCAACTGGTCCAGGCTCTCATTGTTTTTAATTTGTTTGTTTGTCTTCGTCCTTTTGTATTTATTTTCCCCTGCTCCCTCATTTAAAACCTTTGTCATCAACCTATATAGAGAAGAGAGGATGATGACATTTTCCTGCTATGTCAAGAAAAAGAGAATGATCTTCGGCATGTCAACTAAGAACAATTGGGTCGCCAGTAACGACCGGGCCATATAATATTTGCGTCATAAGAAACGCTTGTGAATTGTGATGATACCAAAACAGAACACTACTATGAATATTTTTGGGTAACCAAAAAAATTTCGAACCCAAGCAAACATAATATTTGTGTCATCAGAATCTTATTATTTGTTTGGGTCTAATCAAATTTAATGATATCGAAAAGCCGCTAGATGTCACGTTAAAATACTAAAAACATACTCTGTGGACATGAGAAACTATCGACGAGGTTTTATGCTAGCCAGTCATGTTGTTGTTAATTTGTTATGCCCACAACTAGATCACCATCACATTTATCTCACACCACTGACCACCCAAGTCACTATTACAGATAAAGGACATTCTTTACCACTCACCACTTGTAGAGTTCAAAGTTCAAACATAAAACAAGAAGAAAGAGTTGTGGCTTATTGGGCTTCAATAGTTATTAATATTAATATGTTTCATAAATGGGCCGAGGTGTTCCAAACGAACTCAGATCAGTTATTTGATCTTGGCAAAGAAGTTTCACACTGGACTGAATGTGATTTAACACATATGGTTGGTTTGTTTAGGGCTTTCTTCCGATAAGAATGTTTTTGCACTTGCATTCCATGCAAATCCTTATTCCACAAATCTTTGGTTAGGCTTCATCGTTTTTAGGAACCGGCTAAGTATGGTTACTAAAAAAATGTACAAGATGGATGGAATCAAAGTTAACATTAGCGCCTTAACTTTTGGGGGGTTTTATAATAGAATGCTTGAGGTTGGAGCTATAGAATAATAAGGTCTCTTTCCTGGTGGATGTGATTTAGAATTTATACCCCACTTAGAGAAGCAAAAAAAATGGAATTTGCTCAATTAGTGAAAGGAATCTTCTTGATGACTCTGTAACAAAGAAGATTGGGTGTGTGTGTGTGGGGGGGGGGGGGGGGGGGGGGTTATTGCCGTGGAACAAACGTCAATAATGAAAACGTCAATTAAGAGCAAACAAATGTATCCACCAAAGCACCAAGTATATATATAGTTAAGTATAGTAGTAGACTCTAGTGGATCACATCTCTATCGTCTCTTCTCTTCTCTTTTCTCCGAGTCAAATTTCACTTTGTAGCTATTGTTTGTTGATAATTTGATGGTAATATTAATATAGTTATCTTTGTTTACATAACTTGAAACATGCACGTGATTAACCTACTCAGGCTTACTCATAAGCATTTCAAATCTCTACCTCATTATAGTCTTTTTAACACCCCAAAAAAACAAATGAGTCTTTGTCCACTTTTAAGATTACTTTCATACAGTAGTTGTCTGCCTCTGACAGTCTAAGCAGTTCAATAGTCGTATTGTATTAATAGATACTCTAACCAGTTCGGTCTAGTACAAAATTAAAGGCCAAAAAAGTGATATGCAAAAAGAGTTGAGAGAGGAAACAGCTAGAGAAAGTACAGAGAAGATAGATAGAGACTACTATCAAACTCAGAAGATAACATGACACTGAGAGAGAGGTGAGGAGCTACTCTCTAAATTTCCACGAAAGCCAATCTCTCTCCCCTTCTGTTTTGACCATTGACTTTTCCTGTTCACACACAGAGCAGCCAAAATCGAGAGTATTCCGGAATTCGTTTTTTCTTTTTTTTTTTCCAATTTTTTTGCAAAATAATAATAATTACCCAAAGAGAAAAAGCCCACAGAAGACCATTGAGCCGGCGAAAAATCGTAATATATTATTATTATCACATAGGATGAGGATGGTATTGTCGGCATATCAAGGATGATAAATACTTAAAATCAAGCACGCGAGCCTCTGCGTTGTTCATCCAAAAAAAAAAAAAGAGGTTAATATTATTATTTATTATTTTAATAGCTCTCTCTCTCTCTCTGTGTGAAGACGACGAAAGAAGAAGGAGAAGAAGATCTAGATTCGCCGCCGCCTCTCTTATCAGAGGAGATCCTTCTTCACTGCGACTGCGTTTGTTATGGAGATTGCTTTTTAGGTGACGATTACACTGCCCATACAGCCTTAATTTTTCTGGGTTAAGAAGAAGTGAGGGAAAAGATTTCTGAAGCTACGTGGATGGGTATGACAATCATTGGCAGTGTAGAGGTTAAGGCTACCATTAATACTGGTTTTCCTTGGAAAGTGGTGCCTAAAGGTAGTAGGAGTTCCACAAGGCGAGCTTCAGCCCCTGATTCTGAGCCTGATTTCAAATTTTCAGCACAAGGAGATTCGGAATCGGAAAAGGTTTTTTTTTTTTTTTCTGATTCTTTTCCCACTCTCTTCTGCTAATTCTTCAGGGCGTTTTTTTGGGTTTTCTTTATTCTAATCCTTGATTCTTACAATGATGGCAGCTTGGCGTTTCTGTTATAGGCCAGCATTTCGCAGATAGAGTAGAGCATGTTCCAATTAAGAAACGGAGGTTTATGGTTCCTCCTCCGTCACTTTTGAAAAATTCCACCCCCTGTGGTGACCATCCTGCAGGGATCAACCATATTCTCCCTGTTTCTAGGCTGAATCCTAATCTATTGGGACAAAAAACAGCAGAAATCCCCGATGATAATCCCGATTGCAGTAGTCATGACTTCTCTGCTATTAAGATACTTGCAGAAGTTGCTTGCAGTAGTGGTATGAGTAGTGATATTGCATCCTTAGTAGACGGTCAGCTTGTTGAACCTGTTAAGCATGATGATGATGCTTTGACTTTATCTGCTCATGTGGAAGGTAATGATTCATCATCTGGCACTGATGATGTCTCTGGGAATGATACTACGATTGAATCCAGTGTCAAGGTTGGGGAAGACAAGACCAAAATCATAGTGTCTCAAAAACTACTGATTGATACTTTGGGTAATGCTTCGGCTGCTGATCAGAGTGAAGAGCGTATAGTAGCATCTAGTGGTACCATAGTGGCTCAGAACATTAATGTTTCTATTTCAAATGAATCCTCAACAGAATTGCCAAAGGAAACTATGGAAGCAGGAAATAGTGTAAGTTTAGCACCTCAGAGTGAGTCTGCTACTGTGTCAGAGATTTTATCTGATGATGAGCGCACTGGGAAGGGTAAGAGCACTGAATGCCTTACAGATGATAGGTTACACTGGGATTTAAATCTTCCAACAGATGCGTGGGATCAACCTTGTGATGTAGTAGTTGATAAAGCAACCCGAAGATATTCTGATGGAGAAGTCACTGTGTCTGTTACAGAGAGTGGACACGTTGATGGTAGTAAAGACTACGCGGCAGGTCTGATTGAATCTGATGTGCACATGAATTCTCCATCACCGTCTGGGGCTAAGGCTGAAGCCTCTGCTCGAAATGGGAAAGAATGCCAATCTGGTTATGATTCCCAGTTTGAGGATGGAGAGTTGAGGGAACCATACCCTTGGGAAGAAAAAGAGGGTGATAGTGGAGATGTTGAACAAGTGGATTATGGCTCTGAGCCTGAGAATGAACGAGTCTACTCTTTGGCTGAAACTAATGAGAATAAGCTAGAGGATGTTGAGCAGAGATTCTTGCCAGAGACAAAGTGTGATTCTGGCAATGTGCGTGAAGGAAGTAGTGATGTAGAGAAGCATGTAGTGGTTTGCATGAATGATTCTCATTCTAAAGGATCTTCTCCGTCAAGGAGCTTTGGGTCAAAACCATACAAAGGGTTACCTTCACATGAAAGTATCCCAAGGAGAAGGCAAGTTAATCCTGATGAACCTATTTTCCCATTTCATTCTTTAGTTTATTCAAGTAATAGTTCTTTTGCTAATATAGTGGTTTCCCTTGTTTCAGGCCTGATAGTTATGAAGAGCCGAGTGATAGGGACCTTGGTCCCAATAAATTTATTGGAAGAGACAGATCAGAGATGCGTATGCGAAGCAGGAGTCCCGCGAGAAGACCATTTGGCGGCTGGAATACCAAGCGTCGCTTTTCCCCACCTATTTACAGAGGTGGTCCAAAAGGCTTTGGACATCCGCGTCCTAAAACCGTTGAGGAGGACCGAGGTATGATGAATGGCTTTGATCAGCCAGGTCCAGGTCCACATGGCTATGTACGTAGGCAGTTCTCTAATGGAGGATATCGCGGTCGCTTTAGACGGTTTCCAAATGGTGGCGGAAATCGGGATTTCAGAGGCGTAGATAGTCCATTCCCTCCCAGTGATGGTAATAACTATCCAAGTCGCATGCACAACAACCGAGTGCACAATAGGAGAGACAGAAGCAACTCCCCTCCTGTCTTCAGGAGATTGCATGATCCCCAATCACGGTCCAGGTCCAGAAGCCGTTCCCCATGCTCATGGAACAGGCGGAACAGATCTCCTCCTGGATTCAAGGGGGATGAAAACAGGATGGAGAGAGTGAGGTTGCCGTCTCAGAAACGTTTTCCACTGGATCAAGAGATGGGATTCCTGTCGCCGCCAAGAAACCAGCGAAACTCAAGGTTTTTCGATGGGAGAAATGATGATGGTGGTGGGGAGAATGATCACAACAACTTGAGAGGAAGAAAATCACCGCCAGGAAGAATTTTTAGACGACAGCAGAGATTTGACAGTATGAGAAGGGTGAATTCGGAAAACAATCACTTCAGACCATTCATGCGCCATAATAATAACAATAGAAAGTTCGTTGATGGTGAGGGAAGTCGAGGAGGCGGGTGTAAATATGAGGGAGCAGAGGAGGAGAAGAATGGGAACATGTATGAGATGGTGCACCGGCCTCTTCATCATCCTCGGCGTTTGGAGGCAATGGGAGAAGACAGTGATAACATCCGACGGTTCAGATTAAATGCAGAACAACAACAACAACACTCTGTTGTTTCCATAAACAATGGAGCGTCATAACAAATAAGATGTAACACTTTTGGGTTTTGGTAGATTCTCTTTTCCAACTGATCCAGTCAGTGAAGAAAAGCTCTATTTCGCTTAAGTTCTTCATTCACAATAAACGATATGACACATACATGATCCATCTTTTGTGATGTAATTGCAAGAACAAGGTAGTCCAATTTCCTTACTACAGAGTACAGACCCCAAAAATTAAAAGCTGATTTTAGTTTAGTACACATAGTCATCTGTCTCTGGCTTTTGGATTTATGAATGAAACAAACGTGTAGAGTTGATACCAGAAACTGGCGGACTGTGTCAAACAAATATTTTATTGAGCTGATGCATTTAAAACTGATAATAATTATTCAGAAAATGCTACAGAGAGCCATTTCTTCAACACCTGTATTCTCTAGAATGTTAGCAAACGGACAGATTCACAAATTAGTTTCTTTTATATAAATATTATGTACACCATGTGGAGTGAATATATATTCATAGTGTATACGTGCAATAATATACATTTCAAACAAGAGCATGGTTGTAGTCATGGTAATGGAATGTCTTGTAGATGAAGTGTGATAGCCACTTGGAAGCAGCAAAACTCAAAACAGCCGCCACAAGCACTGCAATTCTTGCTACCTTTGACAATGTGGTCTGGTTCATCACGGCCATAACTCCGATCATAGCAACTGATGCGATTTGTAAGATCACCTCTAGCGCATTGAGATATTTGTGAGCTTTCTTGCAGCTGCTGCAGTTCTCAACATGTGACCAATACCTGACAAAATTATATAGGCAGAACAAACACAAAACTTTTATTGTTAGGATGCCTAGAACTAGTTTTCATCAAAACTAACGAGGGAGATAAAGTCACCTGTCAAAAAGCTGTTCTCGAGGAGGCGTAGGAGGAAGAAGAGATGGATCAAACTTTCCTCTCCAATCAACTTGAGCCCCGCTATACTTGTTAAACCATCTCCTGAATGTAACGACATTAGCGTCTGATTTTGTTGGGATAAAGCAAGCTTTTTGCCAGTTTTTAGGGCCCCTCTCCAGTATCTTCCGCTCCTGCACATATACGTTACAAGATACAAATCAGTACAGTTCATTGCTCAACCTCTACTCAAACCAGTGTGTGTATAAGGTGGACTTGGAATTACTTCAACATGAAGGAGGTGCAAATCTGAGTCTAGAATAGTGTTTTGACCAATGTGGAACACCCATCTAGGAACAATCTTATCAATAAATACACCAAAATTCCTCGGGAACGTCCATATCAGCCTACTGCGACCTGGACTGACCGGAATACATATGAAGATCAAAGACAATTTTCGCTTTGATGATGCCGCCTGGATACAGAACCATATAGTTTGGTAAATATAACATGTGATTCTACACAAGAAAAGCCAGATAATGTTCATTTGCCGTAAAAATTCTATGACCTTGTCAGATGCAGCTGGTGCAGGAAACTCATTTTCCTGCTCTGGTAGAGGGTCTGTGGAAGAGCGATACACACAAGGTGCAATAAAATTAGAATAGCCCCATTCTTGTTTTGAGAAGAACCCTTTGCTGTCTTGTTTTCTAACGTTAATTTCGAGTGGTTTTCCCCCTTCTCTGTCAATCTTCTCTGCAAAATAGTATGAAAGGTTGGTACATGGATCCAAAACATATCAGATAGACTGTTAGAAAACGCAACTTATAATTTGCCTTTTGGTTTCGGAAACCGCATTAGTCCATAATGAGCATAAGGAACATGAGCTGGATCCATGAGGTTTTCCACCAACACATCGTACCTAAAAGATTTCACAGATTTCTTGTTGAAATGATGTAAAAGACAACTGCAGCGGAGACAGAAAATGAAAAGAAAAATAAGTATTTACCCGTAAGGAATATCGCGATTCGCCATCAACTTAGTGAATGATGGATCTTCTAACTCTGGAATGTAAGGAGGCTTGTTGGTTTCGATAATGTTCTTATACTTTGGATCACTGTTTGGCCAAAACCAAATGATGTCATGCTGCACAATACTCGGATAAACAGCTACACAAGCTTGCTTGAAAGTGTGGACCTGATTTGCATTACCAAAATCATCATTGATCCAACCAAAGACTTTGACTATCTCATTGCTAAAACCAATCAAATCCAAACAAACCATCCTCAATAGTTATCAAAATCAAGGAAATGAGATAAATATGATATGTATACCGGAGGTCCATCAGGAGGAGCTTGAGGAATGAGTTTACAGTCGCCGGATCCGTTAAAGCACCATCCATGGTAGACACACTGCAACCTCCCCCATTGATCAATCCTTCCATCAGACAAAGGAGCAAGACGATGGGGACACGCGTCATCCATTACTTTCCATTGCTTCTCGTTTCTATCCCACCAAACCACCAAATCAATCCCCATAACTTTCTTCCCATGAGGAACCTTCTTGTCAAGATCGCAAACTGGCATCACCGGGTACCAATTAGCATACCAGTCGAACTTATCAGACCCGGACACGAATCCCGTCTCAGATTCCGGCGGCGAATTCGTTGGTGTAGCGGTGGATGATGTTGGTGCTGATACTGCGGTTGTAAATCGACTTGATTTGCCGCCGATGATGAGTGAATTAGGAGAAATGGGTAGTCTTGGATTGGAGAAGGAACATCTGAATCGAGGTTTAGAATTGAGGATTCGGGAAGATGGAACAGCACATGCAGCAAGAACAGCTTCCATGGCGTGTGTGGTGACAACAGGGAAGAGAGGAAAATGAAAAAGTCTTCTACTTCTCTTCTTATTACATTAGCTGGTTGATAGATTTATAGATCCAACGGTTCAGATTAATAGCTCACGATGTCGCCTTTTTTTGTCTTTGTATAACGGTTTCGTGCAGTATATCATATGTAATCGGTGAGACCATGACTTTTGTATCATCTTATTAACCTTTAATCTAACTCATCAAACGACGTCGAACCATCAATAAGTAAAGCGAGGGCATAATCGTCATTTCGTGGGATCCCCCACCACCACCACCGCACACAACCGTCTGAAATTGAGAAATCGGGAGAAGAAGATAGGTATGATTAATTTTGCCTTTTGAGCCATTTTGGAAAGTTCTAGTAGTTGGATTCGTTGAACGTAAGTGGATTTGCTACGGTTCATCTGGTTTCTTGAGCTATAAGAATCCGCGAGCTCAATTTGGTAGGAGTTCGGGTTCGTGTTTTCTGGTTAAGAGAAAATCAATGGCGGAGGTTGTTTTGCACATATACGATGTGACCAACAGTGGATCGGAGAAGACTAACAACACCATTGTTCAGATCAATCGATTCTTCAAAGACGGGATCGGTCTTGGCGGCATATTCCACAGCGCTATTCAGGTACTACTCTCTACTGCTTCTGATCTTCTTCTTTACTCTATCAGTTTACACACCCGCACATGTATGGATGATGTCTATGCTTTGTTTTTCGTTATACAAGTGGATTTGGTTTGTGTTTATGTGTATGTATGTGGAAATGAAGAAGAATTTGACGGCATGATACTTTTGATTTGACCTCCGACCTTCTAGTTTAATAGTTTATGGTAGTGTCTGATAGGTATCTGTAAGATCTTGAACTTAGTTTTCTTTTCTTCTTCTTCACCCAGGATCTCCATTCTCGGGTCTCCTAGTAATTTTGGAACCTTTTTGTGGGAGAATGGGTGCGATAAACTCATGAATGTCTCTTTGGAGAATTGCAATAATCAATGATTTCTCACGTTTTCTTCTTTGATATAGGCAAAACTAATTGTAAAAGACCACTTTCACATATGACTTAGTCATAACAATTTGGTGAACTTAGAGATTAAACCTTTGAACTATGAGGAAAGCCACACTTAATTATATAATCCAGTGATGTATCAACGATTGACTTTAGGTTTACTCTTAATTCTGTAGCTTAGGCCTGTATGAGCATATGCAATTTTTTGTCTTCTTGTCATGGTTTTTAATTTCTTGTACATTTTTAGATTGACTGTATATACGCAAGGAAGAGTAATTAGCTGACGTCTTGTGTGAATTTGTGCAGGTATATGGTAATGATGAATGGTCTTACGGGTATTGTGAACAAGGAACTGGTGTATTCAGCTGTCCTAGTGGCAAGAATCCTATGTACACATATCGTGAGAAAATTGTTCTCGGGAAGACAGATTGCACAATCTTCATGGTAAATCAGATGTTGCGTGAGCTCAGTAGGGAATGGCCAGGACACACTTATGATTTGCTGTCAAAAAATTGCAATCACTTCTGCGATGTACTCTGTGACAGGCTTGGTGTGCCAAAGATCCCAGGTAAAGCCATAGTTTGGGAATCAGAGTGTGTGTGTTTTGTATATGTTTGTGTGAAACTGCTTGAGTTCTGTGTCTTAATAGGTTGGGTTAATCGCTTTGCTCATGCTGGCGACACAGCCTTAGAAGTGGCAGGAAACACAGCGATGCGCGTGGGTTCTCTCTCATTTTGCATTACCCATGCTGCTTCTTTCTTACACCTTAATGCCTGTGGATGTTAAATCCTTGTGAATTGGGATTTTTGCAGGTAAAGCAAGCCAAAACGGAACTTGTGTCAGCTAGTAAAGTGGCTTATCGCTTCCTTGCGAATGTTACCTCGAACATAACCAATGGTTCAAATGGCTCCAATGGATCTCCACAACCGTCGGGAACTCTCAACAATTCAGACAACGGAAACTTTAGATTGCAAGGTAGTTGGTTCAAAGGGATACTTAACACTGCCAAACCCTCCACCAGTACAGAGATAGGCAACAAAGAGGAAGATGCAAACCATCCAATCACGAATCAGAAAAAACAAAGCCGGGACTCTGATGTTCTACTATTTCAGTAGCAACTGTACTGATCCACCACAATACCAAATCGCATTCGTTTAATTGTAAATCTACCGATCAGAATGTTACTCATCTGTATTCATTACTTTGTACCACCATGGGAACCCATCTCTCTTTTTCAGCTGATTGTGTGATTTTGTTAGGAATGTATTTTTCAACATGTTGTTACCGGAAAGTATAAAGCAAGTCTGAGCATATTCATTAGCATACTTAAGTTGTTTGTTAAGAAAATCTGATAAAGGATAGCTGCAATTCAGATATGTAAAAATTTCCCAAACGTATGTAAAATAACATGGAAAGCAAAGAGAGTATCCAACAACAGAGATTAACAGCAGAGCATTCACACCGAAGAACACAAAGGGGTTCTGAATTAAACAACAATTCACAACTTATACCATAAGAAAGGCTTACTGTAGAAATCAAATCTGGAATCATGGCATTTTCATCCCCTGAACATCCCATTAAACACAAAGGCGTTCCCCTCAGCATTTTCAGATATCTGAAGGGATGAGACGGCCTGAGCAGCAATCAAATCAGCTGATATGCCCATGTTGTTATCCCAAGCATCCCTCGTGAACGGCGACCAGTGACTGTCTCCTAGGCCATAACCATAACCATTTGACACAAACCCAATCCCTTGAACCGCATAACTAGCACAACTTTGTCGAGGAACAAGGTTGCTTCTTTCATCTCTAAACAGATCCATCTTAAAACCCTTACCTTGGCCAATCTTGACCCGAGATGAATCATCAGAGTCTTCGCCCAGTAGGACGTGCAGAGCAACAGCCTCTGCAATAGCTGCCCCTTCTTCATCTAACCTTTGTTGCTCTTCCAATCTCTTCTGCTTCTTCTTCTCCAACTCAGCTCGAATGGCTGCAGAAGTAGCAAGAGCTTTCTCCAAACGTCTCTTCTTCTTCTCGGCTTGTTTGATACGATCAAATTCATCTTTACCATGTTTCTTCTTAGCTTTCTTAACGACTGGCTGAACTTGCTTGCACACCGTGTGATCCATTATTGCTTGCTTGCTATTAATTCTAACTAAAAAAACTGCACTAAACTTAAATTTCGTAGAGGATCACAAGAACTACACCCACTCTGGTATATAGGAATACCTCATCGTGCGGACAATACAATCCCAATAAGAAACAACAGCAGACAAGAGAAGGGAGACGTTATAAGAATTTGCAGACTTATCCTTTGGAATCATTCGTCCAACATTCCTGCACCCCTTAGACTCTCCCATTATCTGCATTTGACAATTACTTGATTAGTTTAAAGTTGCTCAATGGAGAAACACAAAAAGCCTTATGCCTAACATCAAATCTTAAAGCAGCAAAAATAGTTTCAGAATAATGGCATAAAACTTGTACAAGACAATAGCTCTAGATGCAAAATATACCAACCAAGTAAGACCATAAGGACCTAAGAAAAGGCACCAACTCCTAAAGAGGAAACATAATATCAGCCAACAACAGCCAAAGTAGGAACAAACTTGAAGAAGTCTATGTAAAAGAAGATGCGCATAGAGAGGGCCTCCATAGAAAGAGTCAATTCTACCAAAAATGTCACGACCTCTCTTAATCGTCAACATGGAACTTAACTAGAAACTAATGGATCAAAATTACACGGAAACAACCAATAGAGAGACCAGATCTGCCTCAGAAACAAACGTCAGATCAAAATTTAAAATATAATTTATATTTGAATTCTTTTAATCGACTAATAAATTAGATTTGAACCCACAATTAGCATGAATTCAGATGAAATGAAGCTGAATCGAAAGAGATTAACAAATCTATGGAAATTGAGAATAAATGGAGCAACACGAATTGGATCCAAACCTCTGCAATATGGCATAGAAGCAGCTGCCTCAAAGAACTCCTCTAGCTTAATCAGAAAGAGAAGCCAAAACGCAGAAAATAAAGATGCTGTTTGGATTCAGAAGAAACTATAGAAAAAGAGAGAGCGAGAGAGATCACAGAGTCGAGACTCGAGAGAGAGAGAGAGAGATGGAGAGATCGTATTAAAAGAGAGAGAGAGAGAGAGGGGAAGAAAGAAGGAAGACGAGGAGGAGAAGAAGAAGATAATAGTAGAAGAAACGTAGCAGCGCATCTCTAATGAAAACGAGACACGTGTCAATAAGTTTTCAATTACGACTTTGAGACTTGGCCGGTGCGACTTCGTCTACTCATGTGTGTCTTGTGAGACCCAGCATACGTAACGGAGCTGCTATATCAGCCGTTAGATTTAATGCAGCCTCTCGATTTAATATTAAAAAAAACATCGATTCAGACACAAAGTGTACAAGTGTCGTGTTACCTTACATTACAATAAAAGTTTTTAGTATTTTTACTTAATCTACATTCAAAGTTATCAGCTCGACTAAAAGATAAGTGTGATTTTATTTAGCATACATTCATACACATTCATGATTCGACCACCAAGAAATGACCATACATTTTCAATTTGGACACACCGAGACCGAGACCGAGAGATCCAATCCAATGATCCACCTACATCCACACCATTAGACATTAGATTGATCTTATTAAAAATCCCATACCAACTCGTATACGTGACCAAATCCGTCCATCTTCCCTCATATTTATTTACAAGACTATTATAATAAGCCCAGCAGCCCCTTACCGTTTTTAGCCCACCAACTTATTTTTGACCTCTAATCGTTGTAGTGTATTCTTTTTTCATATAAAACCTCTATAAATTAATACTCGATAAATTAATATTTTTATTAATAAATTTTTTCGGTTCCAAGTTCGGACCAGTGTAATTTTAGACATATTTCGATAAAATAATAAAATAATAATATTTTTGAAAATCCTTTGTAAACATATAGTCCCATCAATATTATAAATTAATAATTAGGTAAAATTTTCAAAATATATGTATATATAGACACATAAGTTTTTGTTTGAGTTTATTTTTAAATATTTTTTTGAAAAACTTTTCAAATTAGGAAAATCTCTCTATAAATTAATAATTATTAATTTATTGATAAATTAAAATTTCTATAAGTTAATAGATTTTCATGGTCCCAACATTATTAATTTATAGAGGTTTTACTGTGGTTTGATGTAATTTATAGAAGTTTAGTTCATTGTGTTACATTATTATTTTTTTGGTTTTAATCTATATTAACATTTTTGAAGTACCTTTTGTGTTCTACCCTCTTAGTTATACTTATTTAAAAAGTTATTTACAAAGTTAGTCCTTAAAATATTGCACCAAAAAACAATAAAAAATATATGGCAAAACAAAATCGATTACTCAACAAATATAGGAATATACCTTAACAATCGAGAAATCATTTAGGTTCCTAAAATATCTCTACTAATTTGGTTAATAATTTCCTAAACCATGAAATCGGATCTTTCTTAATCTTTTGAGTCATTATTACTTCCAAATATTCTAAAATTTAAACCATTTTCCATATTTTCCTAAACTTTTTTGAGATTTTATTGTTACCAATCACAAACCCTAAAAAATGTTGTCGCCTCCTATAAATAATACTAGGTTCGGACCCGCGCTACAGCGCGGGGGAAATAATTACAATATATAATTTTTAAAGGATTAGAATGTTACATTTTAATGTTGTTAGAGTGCAGTCGATTATGGTAAATCATATATTTGTATAATAAATTTAAATAAAATAATAAAGGAAAAAGCGAGTAAATAATCATATACTAAGTTTTGATACAATTAAAAAAACAGTGAAAATTTAACAGCACGAAATAATATTTTTCGATAAATTATTCATTTTGACCATTTTTGTAGTAAAAGTAGGAATATACGTAAAAATTACATATTTACAATATATTTTTTGAAAGTCCAACCCGTAACAGAATTCATTTCGTAAAAAACATTATTCGTAACTTGTTTTATCATTATAATTGTGATTTTAGCAAACTACCCGTGAATTATCTAAAATTTACATAGTTTGATATATAATATATTTTATCAATAAAAATTATGTCTCCAAAATTACATTTATGTCTTCAAAAAAATATTTCAATATTTTAAATTCTAATAGTTTTATATATTTGAACCTTTTATTTATAATATTTTGAAACTATTTGAAATTTTAAATATGCTCATGTAACAATGGTTTTAATATTGGTCATACTTATATTGATTTTAAACCATTGTCTAAAATATTTAACCGAGTGTAGCTGAGTATTATATGTCCGTTTTGAAAAATTCAAATTGCAACATATGCAAAAAAAAAGTTAAATTTTTATTAAATATTTATATTATATAGTATAATATCATAAATTAAAAATAATATCAAATAAAAGTGAAAGAAGAATAATATTTTTTAAATAGATTGTATTAAATTAGTTAGAGAAATATTAGTAAATCCTATAATTAGTTATGGAAATAATACAATCCTAAAATTAGATTTGGAAAGTATCCGGTGTATGTATCCAAACCCATTAGTCTATCCAACTTTAAAAGATCCAATTACAAATTTCGGATAATTTTTTGAAATTGACCCGACCCGGAAGCATTTTTTGTACTTCTCTTTTACTAATATAGGGATTCATTCTATTAGTTTCATTTTATATCAAACACAAAACTCATGCTTCTATTGATTTACAATACCACAATAACATACAATCTCAAATTTATTCACGGTATATGGCAGTACATACAATTGCCAAAGTTGTCAAACACTGATTTAAAAATGATTCATGAGATACATATTTTTTTTACCACAAAATGAGATATATATATATATATATATATATATATATATATATATTTAAACTTTCATTAGGTTTACTTTCTATCTATTTATTTATGGTACATATTTTTAATTATAAAATTAGACAGTTAAATAATGATCAAATCTACTGAAACAAAAAAAAAAACAAATATAGTTGAAGTTTTTAACTAATAATCAGTGATCCATCCTACACAGCGTGTTAAATCCTAACAAAACTATAATAATTACTAGAAAAATACATATAGAGAAATCACCATATTGTTAACACCATCAATATATTAGTACATGCGCCATTTTAAATTAGTTGATTCAGTTATCATGATCGATTATAATTGTGTAAGAGGAAAATTTATCCCATGTTATACAGCGGGTTACATCCTAATTTATTATATTTTTCTAATCGATATTTCACGTATAGCTTATATTTCTTTTAAAAACAAGTTATATTGCAGTATATCGCCTAATTTTAACATAAATTTATAATTATAAAAAATTAAATATTAAATAAACCAAAAAAATTACAAACTAAAATTTTCAACTTTAAGTGTATAAAATAATCCCGCGGTGTACTGCGGGTTAAAATCTAGTATATTTTCATAAGGATACACCCCACTTAATGAAAATTCTGAGCGCTTGTATTTAAAATGATTAAAGAGATGTTAAAAGAGAGAAGTTGTAAAAGGTAGGTTGACAGGTTGTTTGTTAATCTCAATTGTGACCGACGTTTATAGTTTAATGATTTTGTATTTTTAGTCGTGTCACTAGTCTGAATGCTAATTACGGATTTGTGCGTGCTTTAAGTCGTAAACAACGAATTCACACAAAGGAACACGTAAAGTAGCAATTCCGCAGGAAAGGCAAGGGTACTTGAGTCATTCCCCTATCACCACCACCACCGCCGCACGCACCAGTTTCTTCAGCCTGAAATGAAGAAATCGGGACAAGAGAAGAAGATAAAGTTAAAACTTAATTTTGCTTTTTGAGTCACTTTTGGGAAGATCTAGTTGTTGGATTCGTTGAACGCAAGTGGATTTGGTACGATTCATCTGGTTTCTTGAGTTATTGATAGAATCCGCGAGCTCGATTTTGGTAGGATTTAGGGTTCGTGTTTTCTGGTTAAGAGAGAGAGAGAGAGAGAGAGAGAATCAATGGCGGAGGTTGTTTTGCACATATACGATGTGACCAACAGTGGATCGGAGAAGACTAACAACACCATTGTTCAGATCAATCGGTTCTTCAAAGACGGGATCGGTCTTGGCGGCATATTCCACAGCGCTATTCAGGTACTACTTTCTACTGATCTTCGTATCTATGTATCGATGATGACTCTTCTTGGTTTTGTTTACATGAGTGGATCTGGTTTGTCTTTGTGTCATTGTGTGTGTGTGTAGTATGTATGTATGTGCAAATGGAGAATTTAACAACATTTTGTGCAAACGATGCATTATATTTTTGGGTTGATCTCTCTTGTGAGGTTTCTAGTTCAATGGTTTATGGTCCTACAGGTCTCGAGTAAGATCTGGAGATTATGTTCCATTTTCTTCTCTCCACCACGGATCTTGTGTTTCCTTAGTACATAGACTTTTGGTAACTTTTAGGATTAATGATTGCGATATGTTGACAAAGGGATCTCTTGAGACTTGACAAATTCAATGATGGCTTACGTTTTACTTCAATTCATCTTTTGACTTGGACAAATATAACTGCAAAGCGCACTTTCCCATTTGAGTCTTGACAGTTTGGTGTTTACTAAATCCACGAAACTACCACTGCTTGACTTTAGGTTTCCAAGTTCTCTGTCTTAGGTCTGGATAAGTATATAACATTGGATTGTTATTCTTCATGGTTTTGTTATTGTTCATGTGCCTTTTGGATGATTATATTGACTGCCATCTCTGATGAATTTGTGCAGGTATACGGAGATGATGAGTGGTCTTACGGTTATTGTGAGCAAGGAACTGGTGTATTCAGCTGTCCCAGTGGCAAGAACCCTATGTACACATATCGTGAGAAAATTGTTCTTGGGAAGACAGATTGCACTATCTTCATGGTAAATCAGATGTTGCGTGAGCTCAGCAGGGAATGGCCAGGACACACTTATGATTTGTTGTCCAAAAATTGCAATCACTTCTGCGATATACTCTGTGACCGGCTTGGTGTGCCAAAGATCCCAGGTAAAGCTATTTTTTGGTAATCAAATTGTGTGAGTGTGTGTTGTTGGCCTTCAAGACTTACGTGACTGCTGGGGTTTTGTCTCTTAACAGGTTGGGTGAATCGTTTTGCCAATGCTGGTGACACAGCCTTGGAAGTGGCAGGAAACACGGCAATGCGGGTGGGTTCTCTTTCTGTCTTTCATTTTACTTATCTGGAACCTAAATGCAACATTATGGGTGCTCAAATCTTCTAAACTGGGAATTTGCAGATGAAGCAAGCCAAAACAGAACTTGTGTCAGCTAGTAAAGTGGCTTATCGCTTCCTCTCAAATGTTACCTCGAATGTGACCAATGGGTCCAATGGCTCTCCACAACGTACAGGAACTCTCAACAATTCAGATAATGGGAACTTCAAATTGCAAGGTAGTTGGTTCAAAGGCATACTTAACACTGCCAAACCCTCCACAAGTACAGAGATAGGGAACAAAGATGAGGATGCAAATCATGCAATCACCAATCAGAAAAAACAAAGCCGCGACTCTGATGTTCTACTGTTTCAGTAGCTTCCGTACCTATCCACCACAATGCATATGGTTAACTGTATATCCACCAGTCCAAAAGTTACATGCACTATTGTCCTGATCTGTATCTTTTACTTTGTATCAACGTTGGATCCCAACATTTTTCCAGATTTCTAGCTCAGCGTGTGCTTTTGTTAAGATCTTACTCAACATGTTATTACTGGCAAGTCTTGAGTCTTGACATATTCATTCGATCAAAAGGTTTATTAGTCTTAATACACTATAAATTGTGATTGAATCTAGATAGTGACAGAGATTAAAAATGTATTTTCTGTATACAACTTAGAACGCACTTATTACAGACAGAGAAAGCAGAAGATACTTTTTCAGCTGGTCTAACATCAAATAATTTTCACACCAAAAGGGTTTTTCTAGATTACAGAAAAAGTTGCTGTAGTGATGAAACAGCCTGAGCCGCAATCAAATCCGCAGAGATTCCCATGTTGTTATCACAAACATCCTTCATGAAAGGCTTATATGACACATTTGACACTGACCAGTTACTATCTCCTAGTCCATAACCGTTTGACACAAACCCAATCCCTTGAACCGCATAGCTAGCACATCTTTGATGAGGAGGAGCATAGCTGGTCCATTCATCTCTAAACAGATCCATCTTGAAACCCTTGTCTTTACTAAGCATGGCTCGAGGAGACGAATCATCGGAATCTTCTCCCAATAGGACGTGAAGACAACAGCCTCTGCAATAGCAGCCCCTTCTTCATCTAACCTTTGTTGTTCTTCCAATCTCTTTTGCTTCTTCTTCTCCAGCTCAGCTCGAATGGCTGCAGAAGTAGCAAGTGCTTTCTCCAGACGCCTCTTTTTCTTCTCAGCTTGTTTGACACGATCAAATTCATCTTTACCATGTTTCTTCTTCACTTTCTTAATGACTGGCTGAACTTGTTTGCACACCGTACGATCCATATTTGCTTGCTTTACATCTATAACTCTATAATCTTAACTAACTAAATGCATCTAGAGGATTTCAAGAACTACAGCCACTCTGGTTGGTATACAGGAATACCGCATTGTGCGGGTTACACAGTCCCAAATAAAAACAACTGGAGACAACTGAAGGGAGAGGTTATAAGAAGAATTTGCAGACTTATCATTTGGAATCATTACTCCTCCTTCCCCACACCCCGTAGACACTACCATTTTCTGCAGTGACGATCACTAGATTAGCTTAAAGTTGCAAAGGAGAAACACAGAAGCCTATATGCAAAACATCAATCCTAAAGCAACAGCCAAAAAAAAAATATAGCATTAAAACTTGTAGAAGCTAACACTAACAATGTAGATGCAAAACATGCCACTTTATTCAAGGTAGCATATTCACGAACAACCCAAGATAAGATATATCACACAAGCTAAAACCTCAAGAAGCATCAGTTGGACCAAATTTAGAGTGCGTAAGAGTGGCTGAGAATTTAAGTAAAGGATGAAAATACAAGGCAATCAATAGACAGAGACCAGATCTTCCTAAGAAAACACATGTTGCACCATAGTTCAATCGTCTTACTAGGCTTAAACCCCATAATTAAGCATTAAAAATCTGAGGAGCAAATGAAAACAAGCAAAAATAGATATAACTTTGACAAAAAGTACAGATACAAAGAGCAGAGGATAGATTCAAGAAATTGGATCCAAGACCTCTACAACATGGCATAGAAGCAGCTGCCTCAAAAGAACACTCCACTAATTCAATTGGATCATACAGAGAGATGTACTTAGCTTTCTGGGAGATCCAGAAGAAAACTAGAACTTCTCATAGAGTTGATGTTACCTATCATCTAATCATAAAAAGGCACGTGGCAAATGATGTTTAATAGGCAAATTTTACTAAAAGCAATTAAGGTCGGTCCAAGTGGTGTGTAACTAAACAAAACTATTAGCAACAGTAACAACAATCTTTAGAATTCTGAATGATGGATATGCATAGCTAGTGAGCACAACAGCAGTAGCTTTTGTTCGACTGAGAGATTTCTTTCGATCCCAACTTTGAAACACACAAATGAATCCACACACAGCGTTTTCAAGATTAGTAGTAGTAGCAGTGCTCGGGGGGCTTTTCAAACGAGTCTTCGTCTTTTCCACATGCGCAAGTTATTTTCTTGTATACTTTTGATTTTTCAATGGATTTAAAGCTTCAAGTGTCGTCGCTAAGACACGTAGCAAAATGGGACACCTTAATCTTCTATTATATGCCATTTGGAAATGGACATTCTACAAAACGCGTGAGAGTTTTAAAAAAAAATAAGTTTATAAAAAAAAAAGAACATAAATCACAAATAATCATATCATTTTGGTTAGGTCAAAAATAATAATAATCGTCACTTTGGTTGGTGGAGTGGCCACAAATTGCTAGCATTCGTCCACGAATGAATCTTGACTTTCTTACAAGATTAATATAAAACACAAAGAATCAATTGTGTATTAGGAGAATGTGTGATAATGGACTGATTAATTTAGTGGGTTAACGGTTACTATTAGAGCTTTCGTCAAAAAGCGTACCGAACTTCCTATTTTGTGTAGTGAATAGAAGAAACTGAAAGCTATTTGATCAACTCACCTTTCTATTGCACTTTTGTGTCGTTATCTAATTATGCCTCCACGGCCACGCCACCTCATCCTCTCTCCCACTTCTTCAATAACTCAATAGTTTATAAAAAAAAAAAAAAACCAAACAAGAGTTATTATGGTGGAAAGATGACAAAAGGGTGAGAGTCGTGAGACAATTGCATATGTCTTTCGGCGACCAAACACTTTTAATTAATTCTAAAACTCTTTCTAGATAACTCTGAAAGAAACCCCAAGAAAAGAACACTAAAATGAATGTATTCATATAATTTTAATCAAGTGATCCATTTCCTTATCTCTTGGGATTATAATTGGATAGTGTCGTTGGAGTGCACATATAATAACTTCCACTTAAGAATTTGGTGAGCGCACGAGGAAATGTTGTGATGTATCCACTTATATATTAGTCTTATTTGTGATATATATTGGACGGGCACGTAACACGTAACACGTAACACGTTTAAATCCCTTTTCCTTTAAAAGTCATATCTCTTTTATGATCTCACCCGCCAAGTATGGTTTTGTATATAATGGAACTCTCGAGCTAGCCGTCCATATGTTGTTTGAGTATTAATATATATGTTAAGGCAAACCATACATCCTTTTCCTATTATCTAAAATAAGCGTTAACGTACGTACGCTTCGCAACCACTTTGTTTCATACGAAACTACTCGATCGACTCTATGGTATACATCAAGTGAATTGTTACAATCTTTATTTTTTGTTTTTTTTTTTATAATCTAGAATTATGTCCTAACACGCAACGAGTGCGTCCAACCTCCACGAGAGAAGGGGCCATACTGTGAACGTAAAAGCGTACGTAACTACATATATATATATAGTGCGAATGTTGATCTACGTGAAGAAGAAAAGTCCATAAACATCAGTCTAGGTGTTATGTCATTCTTATTTTATTTTATCAGGTAAGAAACATTTCACTTCATGAAATATAATTTTTTGCTGGTTACATACATAAATAAGCAAGCATTTTTTACTAACAGCAATAGCTTATGTGTTATAGATTATAAACACTGTACGCCAATCGTCTCAAATGAGTGCAGAATTGCAGGAAAATAAAGCGTGTCAAAATCAGAGGCTAAGTTGTATAATTAGATTAATTTTCTAGTATTAAAATCAAAATATTCATTTAAAAATCGAAATCGGCATATATGATTTATCCACATAGACCCTCATCAGATGATCATGATAGAGGAGGGACAAACACAAAAATTGGGATTTAAAAAAACTTTGTTTGATTTCTTTTTTATTTTATTTTTTTTAGAAGTCAAGAACTCGATCCGGAACCCAAGCTCTTTTTGTATGATTTGATTCTCCGACTTATCTCCTTATCTAACTCTTCATTTCCTCCAACCTCTTCCAATTCCTGCATTATCATCAATTCAAATTCATTTTTCTGAACAATATCAAGAGGATTAAGAAGAATCACAGCTAATTAAATATATAAAAAAAAACTCGCCTTAGGTCCAAGAAACAACCCATATGGTACACCATTGAATTTGTCTGTGTGATGTAGCTGCAACATAAACCATTAACACGAGACTAATAAATTACCGATAGAGAGTAACGCATTAATACAATCAAATACTAGTACAGTAGTAGTATAGTACTAGTAATTAAAGATTTCTATTTTGGGAAAGGAAGCGTTTGTATAAACGACAAGAATACGAGTGATATTAAGTAAACCTGGTGAGCGGCGGCGACCTTTCGTAAGTAAGGAACGTCGGCAATAGGACCTACGGGGAAGCGCTTGTGCACCAGACCATCGTGGACAAACATGTATGCGATCCCAAACACCGTTATTCCCAACCCCTGTTTCCAGGACGAGATCGTGAGGCAGACAACAACAACCACAACCAACATGTATGAGCTAAATTAAGCCACCAGGTCTCATTTGTGTTAATGCTGCCAAATTCGTCACTTGTCATCACTCACATGTAGCCTACTAGTATTCTATTTTTTATAAAAAAAAATATAACGTACTAATAACGAGAGAGCGACACAAAATCCTGCTACATAGATACGTTAATTAAATTCGTTTTAACGTATGATCTCAGTCCACTATTCGAGAGTAATTAAATAAAAGTGTTTCCCACTTTATCAACTATCTTAATAAACTAATTGATTACTATTAGTAATTAGTGTGATATTAAACTAATACTACACTATAGTACTAATAAACAAATAGGCCTATAACTAACCATAGAGAGAGTCAGAGATCTTGGTAGTTGTTTAAGACCAATGAGTGAGAGGGAGGGTGGGAGGACTTACGGCGCCAAAGCAGAGACCAGGAACGAGTCCTTTATTGAAGAATCCATAAGAGAGCAGCCCAATTGCTGGAACTGCGTTTACTATGGCGAACACATCGTTTAACTCAAATGCTCCTTCTCTTGGTTTGTGATGTGACTACAACACATAAAATCAAATTTAGACTGCCGGTTTGAAAACACTCCAGGGATGAGAATTAAGACTTCAAAATCTGAAAGCAAACCTCGTGCATGTTCCACAGAGAAGCATGCCATAGAGCTCTATGAGCCCATCTTGCCCAGAACTCCATACCAACCTGTTCGCATCCAAATTAATTGAACCAGAACTTGTCATGTGAATCGGGAAACAGCACAAACTGTGGGGATATATATATGAGCTTCTTTACAAGTTTTGGAACTTACAGCAGCACCAACAGAGAGAGCAAATGTACCAAACATCTCCAACATTGAGATCTCACCTCCCTGAATTTAGAAAAACAAAACGAAGTGAGATTTTTGGAATTTCGGATCGATGAGAAAAGGCGATACTGGAATTGTAAATGATATTACAAACCTCCATTTGCCAAGAGAATCTGTAGTAAACAGCCATAACGGCCATGGAAGTGATACCAAAGCTCGACATCACGGCAGCGATAAGATAAGTAAACCTCTCCGACTTCTTCCTCTCCAATTTCTCAGCCAAACGCAAAGCGAGGTACTCGGGGTCTATGGCGGTGGAGCTAGTGCTCTCCTCCGGTCGCTCATCGTTCTCAATCGGAGAGAACTGTCGCCTTTCGTCGACCACGTAACAGACCGAGAAGCCTTTAAATCGGAGAGACGGAAGGGATAAGGCAGAGGATTTCGGGAGGCGGAGGCGGAAATCGGAGGAGAAAGAGCGGAGGAGAGGTTTGAATGTAACGGCGGTTGAGAGTCCTGCCGCCATGGAAGGTGTGCTTCGTTGAGAGGACCCTATGTGAGAGGGAAAGATAGAGAAAGATGTGGTGTGGTGTAAATGGCTAAATGCAAGTGAAGGCCACAATTTTATTTATTTATTTTTGGTTTTGTAGCAAAGTATGCTCCTCGCTCTTTTTATGCCTTTTCAAAACTAGTTTTTTTCTTTTCTTTTTTTTTTTTTTTGTGGAATACCTTTTATTAAATAAAATATGCAATTACAAGTGAAGGACGGTTCAGTTTCGTGTGACTGAAATTGCCCTCAAGTATTATTTTAATCTACCCCACCCTTACTTCTTATCTAAATTACATTATTGCCCCCCTTTTTATTCTGTTCGGTTACTTTTAGGCTTATTTATTTAATTGATTTTTTTCTATAATATGATAAGTGTATTTCTTTTGATTTTTTGGTATAATAAACCAAACTACCATATTCATTTAGGAGCTCCTCATTTAGTACCTTTTTTTTTTTTTTGTTATGAATCACATTAATTTGTATATGATAATTTTCAATGTAATTTGTTTACTAAAAGTTTTAGAAATGGAAAAAGTAAGCGTATAATAAATATAGTAGATTTACTGTCTAATTTTAGTTGATCGGTTATTCTATACCTTAGTTTTTTTTTCCAGAAAGTATAAACTATTTTTTCTTGTGGAGTGTGTATATGTTGAGGACGCAACATCACTCCATGTGGGAGACTTGTGTCATGGTTGTCATAGTTCCGTGTATTGCGTGTGTAACATTTTGTTTTAGATCAGTTTCTTCGAAACGTCATTTTGTTATAGTTTTCGATACCATATAATTATGTAATTCTAGTAATATGTTTGGACTGGTCCTTCAAACGTTGGTCGAAATGGTATAAACGTAAAAGCACACAAACACAGCGATGGTGGTGAGAGATTGAGAATTGAAAAGACAAGAAAACAAAAAGTTTGGCCTTCTAAACAAGAGAACGAAAGGAACGCAACAAGTTACATCCATTTATGAGGCTGATGATACCATATGGGCTTTTTCGACGTGTCATCTTACTATTCGCTCATACATATCCTCGTAGTATCTTTGTTTTTTGGTTTTCTTTCTTATAATTTTTTTATTCTCTTTTTTTGGGACCCCAAAATGTAATACAGAAGGATACAAATCTCGACATTTGCAACTTGGGGTCATAGACCTTAAGTTACACTCTTCTGCTAAATGCTAATGTTATGAATACATGGTCCATTTAGCCTTTTAACCTTTCGCTACAACAGTATACATTCTAAGTTATCCCATGTTTAATCTTTTCATACAACGCATTGGCGCTCGATATTTGTCCCGCTCTTTGCTGATGCTGGTTTTAGCTTGATTTGGTACAGCTTTGGCCACAGTTTCCCCGTTACTGCAAAAACAAAATTATATGAGACGAGGCCGAGTGATCAAAAGCTCAAGGAACTGAGAGCAAGATTTATTACCAAAGAGGCGTTGCTTGTCGCTGTCCCATGCTATGCCATTCAAGACATCAATACCCTATAGTGCAGACAAGATTAAGGTAAGGGAAAACGACTTTTGGATATTACTTATTAAGAGAGACAAAAAAATTTGAAACTTCAGATTCCAACTCACCCCATGTCCAGATCTCAGCAATCCTTGTCTGCGAAAGGATGATCAATGGTATAAGAAGAAGATAATCAATGGTATAACAGCAACTTTACTGTAAATAAAGACATGTTAGAAGAAACAATAACCTTAATTTTGGAAGCAGTATCCATCCAAGTAAGGATCCGTCCTTGGGTGATATTCTAGCAATACAATCAGACTGCAATAGAAAGATACACATCAGCCTAAATGATAAACTCTCTACAAGTCTTGTCATTACGACATCTCCAACAGCAAAATTTATTTTCCCTGATAAAAGATCTAAGCAAAACAGCGATCCACCAAGACCTTCTTTCTGATATTCTCAAAGAAAGAAAATGAATGGAGCAACTGCGCCATTTGGCTTCACATATTGAAATTTTGCAGGCCTAGTATCACATTTTTGTAGTAAACTTAAATTGTTCTATAAATTTATGTGGCCATATTCTTTCAGATGCCATGCCACAATTAAAAGATCAAAACATCAGAAACAGTTGGAATACCTGCCACACGTTTGCCCAAACTTCATTGTTTATGTACTCCAGTTCATTAAGGTAACGTACCTCACGGCCATTAAATTTGACCGTATGCTTATCAGTAACTGCAGAGACGAGACACCATAAAACGCTAAATCTACCGTCTATAAAATTAGGAAGTAAGTGGCTCAAGGGAAAGAAAACTTAATGAATGTAAGTGAGACACCTTTCATAGTTTGAGGGTCCATCCGGTATAGTGTAGAAGTGCCATCACTTCCAAACAACACTTCTCCATCGGTAGCCAGTCCCCATCCATCTTTCATATGATGTATAAAAGGTTTTACCTACAGTGAGATCACAGGCTTAACATAACGTAGTATGGGGATACTAGTCCATCATGAAGTGGTAATGCATTAGCACAAGGTAACTTAACTACAACGCCACAACAAAAGAAAGATACAAATAAGAAACTCAATTATTAGACATGAATACTCATCTCCAGCCTATGATAGAGATCTTTCCTCTGATTTCAAGAAACAAAACTAGCAGAAAAAGGCGACAAAATTATAGCAAGCAGGTTTACTTAGACGAGTTGCTTGACCGTGATGATCAGTTAATAGCTGAAAAAACAAATTATGCAAACAAAAAGAGTATATGAGAAGGGTAAGAGCAGTACAAACTTTTCTTAAGTTGTGAAGGTCGTATGTGAAACCCGTGTGGGTCAACCAAGCGACTTGAAAGAGACTACAACAGATAATGGATCGGTGAATCAGAACACTCTTTAAACCGTTGATCGTGAGTTGGGAAATGTATCCATGTAAGACAACAAGATCCTAGAAACAGAACCACAACCAGGAAGCAGAAGAAAATTCAAAAGATAAAGCCCACCTTTCACCAAGGAGTGTTAAACCCTCTCCAAAGTATGAATCCTTCATTTTTTCAAGAACTTCAACCTACACCAGGGAGGGGGGGGGGGGGAAACAAAAATTATCACAAAAATCAAAATTCAGTGCTTCAAATAAGGCTTATGTGCATGAACTCCAGAATGCTGGTCACACGGCTGATTAAGAATTCAATTTACAAATTGTAACATAATTGCATTCTCTTTTGCAATTCAATAACACAGAAGCCTCTTGTTTCATCAAAACCACAAGATGAAACCATACCTTTCCTGTTCGTAGAGACACTTTCCTCACTGACGACTGTAAAGGGCCGAAACAAAAACACAGAATGGATCAAAAACTCGAGCATCCCATTGACAGCAAAAATAGAGAAATGATCTACGAATAGATTCGAAAGAGTAAAGTCAATGCAAGGCGAATCAATCACCTTCCCGTACAGACCAGTGGATTCGAACAGTGTATCGTTTCCCGAATAAAGAAGACCCTGCGGCGGAGAAGCAAGAATTCAATTTACTAGTCTTACACTCGAGTTTGAAAATGAAATGACAATTCAATCCAAGGGAGAAGGGTAAACCTGAGTAAACGCGTCAGGATCGTGAGGAAACTCAGCAACTACTTCAATTTCATGAATCCTATGGGAGAGATCCAACGAACCAGATGGTTGTTGACCCCAGCTGTTGAATGGCATAAAGAATAGGAAAAGGACACCGGAGAAGAAAGCAAGAGGAATCATCATCATCGCGATCCTCTTCCGGGAAATGAATCGGCGAGAAGAAGAAGCAGGAAGTGACTGAATCATGGATCGCTTCGTTTGCCTTTTATAAGGCGATCTAGTCGCCATTAAACCTCATCCGCCGTCGTTGTGGAAGATGGAAATTTGCCGTTTGTCAGATTTGTTAAGTTTAATTCGTCGCTCTGACCAGTCTTTTTGGCAACGTATTTTAAGAAACACATTTTTGTCATTGACTCAAAGTGTTGTTAAATTACCTTTTATGTTTAAAATTGGGTCAACAAAAATGAAAATCCCAAACTATTAACTTTTTTTCCATAGCTATCTTCCACGCATAAAAATACATGATTAATTTAATTTAATAATTCTTAATTTTTAATTTACTTTTTAATTTTCTTTTACATGGAAGGAAGATCTCGAAGAAAATATAATATGGTTTAAACTTTAAAGGGTTTTTGACAAATGTATATATAGGTTATCAAATTTATTCGGATTCTGCTAAACTCGATAAAAAAGATTTTTAGGAGCCAAGGCGAAAATACAAAACACATCAGGAACAAGCTTTTTCACTTTACTATTCTCGATGCAAAAGTGAATTCAGAACTTTCATGAACAAACTCTTCTTCTTATTGTCACAGAGCTACAGTAAACTTTTCAAGGAGAAATCAACTTCAATAACCCATAACAAACTAAACAGAGTGAGTCGCGGGATTCGATTTGAACGCTATGACAAAGGTTTTCAATTATGGCACCTCTTCATAAACAAGATAGATTGATGCACTAAGTTTTAACTTAGGACACGACAAACACAAAATTATGATTAAAGAACAAAAATCCAGATGTCAAGAATTGCCAAAACTTAACTAAAAAATACGTAACAATACTAACTTCTTCTTTTCGCCTCATTCTTCAACATTGAGGACTACTTACCCGGGTTTCTTACCCCTTGGTTTCCCAGCCGGCCTTTTCCCTTTACCGGTGCCCTTCTGCCCATTCCTACCGGGCTTGCCTCCCCCACGCTTCCTAGCATCACTCTTCATCCTCCTATCCACTCTCTTCTGTCCCTTCCCAACCTTAACCCCAACTCCTTTCTTAGACACAACCAGTTCTTTCCTAGGCTTCCTTGGCTCTGCTGCTTTCTTGTACAGCTTGTCTATCATCTTGTCCTTTGAACGGTCTGATATATCCGCCGTGTCAGAAATCGTATTTGCCTTCTTCCTCACTTTCTCCAATCTTTTCTGTGCAGCCCGCTTCTTTCGTGCCTTGGCCTCGGCCACCTTCTTGGCTGGACGAGCATTTATCTCTTTGAACTGTGCTTTCATTGCATTGACTTCTTCTTTCGTAATGGGTTTCATCGGTTGTCTGTGCTGCTTCTCATCGTCCAAAAACCATTTGGGTAAACCTTCATCTTCAAACATGTATTTGTTATATGCATCATCAAGCATCTGTTCTCTCTGCTTCTTCCTTAGCATCTTCTTGGCACATGCCAGTATCTCAGCCTTTGTATGAACATCATCATCTGAGGATGAATCAGAGTCTGAATCTGTGGCTGGTGCAGGGACTACCTCAAAATCGGCTTCCTTCTTAGAGCTATTGGGCAAGCTCTGATCACTTGCTTTTGACGCCTTCTGCTTTGACTTGTCTTGTTTAGGAAGATTTTTGCTCTTTTTCTCAATTGGTGCTTTGTCTTCACCGTCATCTTTTCCCAAGTCTCCTTCTTCCACGGCTTCTGCAAATATATCCTGACTGAACCACTGGTTGGATATTTCCTCCTTTGTTTGGGTCTCCCCATCATCAAGTGGTACCATCAGTGGGTTTGCCTCATCCTTTTCTTCATTCAGATCTGAATCGTAATCGATCTTCATTTCTTCATCTCCATCATTATCCTGCAACAACAACAAAAAAAAAAAGTTTAGCTCCAAAATTCTGTTCTATCCAAGAAATTGGGGTAAGGAAGAATAATACCTCAAGCTTTTCAGCATGCGCCTGCCTAGCTCGCTTTCTTTGCTTTGCACTTCCTTCTTTCTTCACCATATACCGCTCATATGCCTCATCAAAAATCTCTTCCATTTGTTCAGAGTATCTGTAATATTAAAAAGACAATAAGATATAACTACAAAAACGGCAGCAATGAATGCAGTTCTAGAAGCAGTACTATATAATATGCAGAAAGGAATGGGGTTAGAGATCTTACTTCTGACGTTCTTCATCAGAATCTAAGTCACTGTCTTTGTCATCATCTTCAGCTCCATCACCACCGTCTTCGTTCTCACTGTCATCGGCATTGACATTATCATCTTCGTCATTGTCAACTGCCATTAGATCTTTCTTTCCCTGTAAAGAAAATAAATGAAAATCAATATGTCTTTACAATCTCATTCAGAATGGAACCAGTATATGTTCAAACAATTGAATGATAAGATGAGGTGAAAGGAGTATACTCACACCTGTGAAACAGTAATAAACACTTCCTTCAAATACCATCACTAAATAATAAATAAATAATTGCAGAGGTCGGATACAAAAATGAAGTACCTTGATAGCAGAAAGAGAAAACAATTCATGGTCAACATAACCATCTTCAAGTACATCCATCTGTGGACCAGTCGCCTTCCGGGCCTTATCCTGGCAAGATCATATTGAATTTAGTAAAGGAAGTACAAAGTCTTAGAGATCCATCACTAATGCCACTGCCTATAACATAAAGACTTGATAAGTTATAATCAGGGGTTAAAAATAACCTTAGCCCTTCGTTTTGCAAGAATCTTCTTTGCTTGTTTCTTCTTGCGGTCGACTGCGTTTGTCAGCTCTTCCAATTCATTGAGTAGTTTATCATCATCATTTTCCTCATCTTCCTTTCCCACATCAGGCTCCGTTTTAGCAACTTCCTTTTTTTCAGGAGTCAGAGCTTTCCTGATTTGCATTCGCCATCTACAACATGGAAGGGAGTTCAAGGTCCATTAAGCAACAGATATAATTTCATGGATGGATAACAACAACTGATAAAGTCTAAAAGACTAAAACAAAATCCGTAGTTTCCTTCACACCAACCCCTGACATTCATGGACACCCGCTCACCCATTTCACAGATTTTTTCAGAACAGCCTAGGTTAAAAACTTAAAGTGGTAGGGAAACCGTTCTTCACCCAAACTAAGTGATTCTACAATAGCCGTATTCATTTTTAGCAAAGCTATATCACGTTCCTGGAAAAGCTTAGAAATAAACAAGTGAGACTTAAGAGATTAAAAAGGTCCATGATGAGGCAGTTCTTACTTTAGGAGATGCTTGAAGTCATTCTTCCCCAAAACAGGAAGATCGTCACATAGAATTTTGATCTGGAAAACAGGAAAGTAGAATTTTAGTCTTGAAAAAAGGAAAAGATACCAGCGTGTGGAGGTCATAAAACCTCAATGAATAAAATATGGCAAATTAGAAATGGTACCTCCTCTGTTGTCAAATCATGTTCCTTTAAAGGTAGCGAGGCTTCATCATCAAAGGATATGGAAGTTACCGTGCCAAGGACCTCAAGAGGATTTTCGGACCAAATGAAATCAGAAGCAGATGCAACTTTTCTCAAAATGGACTCTCCATCCTCATACCTGTATGTAATTTCCAGTTATAATAGCTCATATAAAACAATGAAAAATAGAAAAAGGATAGTGGATGTTGCCTACCCAAGACGGTGTCTCTTCTGTTTTGATCCTCCAAGAACATCCACCACCTACAAATACAAGATACAAGTTTAGGGAAAAAGGGAGTTGCACAAACAGGTCCAAACAACATATAAGACACAATGATCACCTTTCTCGTGGGCTCTGGTGCCTCCTTAAAGAGGTATCTATAATCAAGAAGACGGGGATCAATCTTGGCAGGGGCAGTGTATTTCAAACCCAAAATATAAGTTTCTGCAGATGCGGAACGACTAGCCGGCGGTTTAAACACTTCGACCTTTTCAAACAGCTGTACCAAGAAATACCAATAAGAAGACAAAGAAGAAGAAGGGACAATAATCCGCATGAAAAAAAAAAACAAAATTAAAGGAAGAACCAAACAGTACCCTCCCAAGACAGAAGAGTATAGAGTTGTAATCTCGAGACCTGAAAACCTAAGAACAGAAGGCACAGAGAGCAAATAATTAACAAACACATCACTAGATGTCACGAGATCAAGCGCAATGCCCAAATTGAATATAGCAATCTAGAAGTATATATATTTATATGTGAGAAGCATACCTTAGTGATTAAATTCCCTTTCTGAGCTAAGAACTCAGTGGCTAACTTGACAGAATCAATAACCAAAGCATTTTGACTCATAGCCTCTTGAGCCCACGCACCACCAACATTAGGAGACCCATCGTGCAGAACCAGATCAAATGCCCTAACACCATGCTGCTCCATCACTTGCTTAATCTTCGATCTACACTCAGACTTTGTGATATCCTGCTGGATAGCAACGCAGCCACGCACGGGGACAATGGGAACAAGATCGATTCCGAGAACGAGGCTGCCGACGGGAACTTTCTCGACGGCCACTTGCATCCAACCACCGGGGGCGGCGCAGAGATCGAGAACCCCCCTGGAAGAGTGAAGAAAAGAGTACTTGGCATCGAGCTGGAGAAGCTTGTAAGAAGCTCGAGAACGGAATCCACGCTCCTTAGCGAGACGATAGTACTTATCCAAACGATGCTTTCCTTTGACCTTACCCATGGTGAGCTTTTGCTACGGTTTCGTTTCTAGTTCGAACACGGCGGGAGAGATTGATAGAGAAATAGCAATCGAGGAGGAGAAGCTAGGGTTTAGGGTTTTACTCCGCCCACCGTCGTTAACTACTAAAGCCTTTGCTTCACAGAGAGGCTTCCAATTTCTATCGGATAGGCCCTTTAATCTCTTTCTTATGGGCCTCTTAAACAGCCCCTTAACTTGTTTTGAAAGGAACAATCGATGGAGGAAAATACTTGTTTTGCAATGGATGCTAATGTTAGTATTATTGTAGAATATTAGGTCCGACATCTATAAACCAAGTTAGATAGAATTTGTCAATTTGAGATGGGATTGTTTAAAGTTGACGACAATACAGAATACGGATAAGTAAATTCCCATTAACAATGAATCAATCAATAGAAGGCAGACTTGGTCGCTCCACACTTCTTTGAACTTAAGCTTGATACTCAATTGGACAAGAAACCAATTTCCATGACAGATAGAAGAGTACGAAAATGACAATTTAAACACTAATCCTGAAACTACAGGATTTGTTTGTTTAAGCTTTAAACCATAGCGAGTAATTGATAGATTATAAATTCCTGATTCGCATTACACAAACAGAACTAGAACCCAAACCCAAAAAAAAAACAAAACTGTCTTTCCATCGTCTTATGATGACAACAATTTTTTCAAGGTAACCCGGAACCAGATGGTGCTGCAGCACTGTAACCGCCGCCTGCACCACGGCCAAAACCTGGCCTACCACCACTTCCCTGCCAACACAAGCAACAAAACCCTGTTAGACAAATCTCTTCATCAACTAGCTAAACGGCTATAGATGAACAAGGCTCAGTAAACTAGGGAGTGATGGTAAGTAGAAGATTTACTTGATAAGTTGGCTGGAAATCAGCTGGAGCTCCAACCTTATCACCCCCAAAATCACCACCTCGTGGACCTCCACGGTATCCATCACGATCACCATACCTGGGACGGTCTCCATCTCCGCGAGGTGGTCCTCTGAAACAAAAGAGGCCAAAACCATATCAGAATTAGACAATCCCTCAGACCGGACAGGTCAATGGATTAAAGATGAAATTACAAGTAAAAATACCTTGGGCGATCACCAGGTGGGCCACCAAAAGGACGGCCAAGGGGCTTAGCAGACTTCTTCAAAGTAGCAGGAACAACATCAGAAGGAAGGTTAAGATAAGTTCTCAAGAACTCAATCCCTTCGTTGGTCAGAAACCAATAATAATGCATCCACGCAAAGGTCTCCCTAACGTACTCCTTGGATTTGAAACTCTGCATGAGCTTGATCACTTGCAGGTTGGGTACATCAATCAAGGGATGCTTTGGGAGATTGAAATCCTTCTTCGCAAAGCATACTCCTTCTGCAAAACCCATGAGGATATATGATCATTAAGTATCCACACTAACTCTTTCTTAGGACAACTGAGAACAATACTACATATAATAAACCAGTCAGCAGGTATATATAGCAATGTGTAATAATCTTCAAGATTTGAACTTGTGAACAAACCCTTTAAAGCTACATTATTCCCAGCATTTCAATTACTCTGAACCTTAAGAAAACACTAGTTTCATATCTTCGGCATAACCGAGCTGAAAGCAAGCATAAACCCTATTCAATCTAAGTGAGTCTCACTACAAGCTGCAGTTCCCTAAAACCCTAAGAAAATGTAATTAACACAAAATTAAGAAAGCTGAAAAATAAAAGAAGGATGCATTTTGCTCACAAACCTTTGAAAAGGTACTTGCAGATCTCTCTGCGGTTGTTCTCTGAGATAATCTGATAACAAGATCACAATCAATATACTAAGGATTGAATCGTTCCATAAGACAGAGAAGCAGATAGTGTCTATTACATACCATCGTCCTGCTTGTTGGTTGAGTGAGCTTTCGCTGCAAAGAGAGGCACTGAGCTTGAGCAAAAGGGAATTTAGGGTTTTCTGTGGATAAAAAGACGATTACATTATATATTATGGACTTGGGCTTCTATTGGGTCGATGTTTGTAATAACTGTTTGCTACAAAGGCTGGCCTTTAAATAGTCCGGTTTGATGGATAACCGGTTCCAAATTAGATTATTGACCCTCGCAGTTAAAATTGGAAATTATGAGAAGAATACAAAATCAGACTAAACCGGATACCAGCGACGGACGTCCCAACAAATCACTATTCCCAAACTCCAAGATTAAAAGATGATATATATACAGGACATATGAGTTTTGAGTCAACCTTTAAAGTTGGCGATTAAAAGAACTGGAGCTGTGAACTTGTGAGTTGAGTCAGGAAGACAGCTTGGTCGGGACAAAAAATATGGTTTGTTAAACAAAAATGTTCACGGGCGACCAATGAAGTTGCATGTCCGTGAACTCATATGGAAAATACAAACGAGAAGTAGCATTTTTGTATTGGCGACAAAACCAAAAAAAAATATATATATATATATATATATATATATAGCATTTTTGTATATCAACTTGACTACATATTCTACTTTCATTTTTGTCAACATTCATGAATGCCTACTTGTTAACCAAAACATTTAAATATTTTTAACATTGTGACTGACCAAATACAAAAGTAGCATATGTTAACTAGAGGCATAAATCGATGGTTCCGAAGTAAAGTCTATCATCTGCAACAATGAGCAATGAGATTGTCTAAGGCCATCCTTAATGGCAGTATCTTAGAGGGAAAATTTGCATAGGAAAGTATCAAAATGGTGCTCAAGATGTTGAATCCAAATCACAAGTGTTTTTTTTTGTTTTTATAGTAAACCTTATGTTTAATTTTGTACATACATTTAGAATAATAGGAAGATATAAACTAACAGACCCGAAGACCATGTGGACACGAACATGGCTCTCCCATCGCTTATTCCAATTGATTCTCTATATTCCCTGCCTATTAACGTAACTCTTCCCTCTGTCTCTGATCGAGTCAAATCATACCAGGCTAGATGGTACATCAAATATAGGATATGTTTTTCTTGTGACATTATGTGAAGCTCATTGGATATCGAGAGAAAACAGTGTTCATAATAGAACAGTGCAGAAAACGAGAGAGAAATGTACTACAAATCTAATTAACTTATACACAAATAAATTGCTTGGTGTATAATGTATATATACCTTGAAGTCTGAAGGAACAAAGAATAGCCCTTATACAAATTTAAGCAACAAACAAAAATAACCAATTCATCTCTTGGAACCCGAAATTCTTTTGAGTAAAACAAGGAAACACAAAACACGATAGAGTACGAAGAAACCTAACAACACATAAACATTAAACCACCTCTGTCTCTCATGAAGCCCTTTCTTGTCTAACACGTCACTTCCAGTAACTATGCAGCTTTTCACTGGAGCTTCCTCAAACCAGACCAGGCACTTGTTGACCAGACACGAGTACTCGTTTATCAGAAGTGCGTCCAACGCATACTTGTACATCGAGAAGAAGTACATGAAGAGCCAGTACTTAGGGAGACTCTCTTTAGAGATGAAGTAACCAGAGAACAAGAAGAAAGCCGCCAAAAGAATTGTCACTAGGGATGTTCCAGCAATGTAGTTAGGTGCGAGAGAGCTCAAGAAAAGCACAAAAGAGTTTGCCATTAGGACAATGATCCAGATCACGAGCACAAAGTAGGCGAAAGCTTTCCATGAAGGACAGAGACCTACAAGAAAATAGAGTGAGACAGAGTAGATGATCGCGATGAGGAGCAAGTAGGGCAAGAAAACCAAGGTGGTTGCAAGAATGTGAGAGGAGAGTCTGTAGAGTCCGCTCGAGGTTTCTCGGAGAATAATCGGTCGTTCATCAATGAATATCGGAAGCGTTTGGGTAGTGGAGGAGAGGAGGAACGTGAGGGTGAATGCGAAAAGGCCAAATCTCTTCTCGATTCCTTCTTTGCCAGCTCCGATATTTAGGTAGATAGTGCCTAAGACAAGGCCAACTACAAGAGCTTCTAAGATGTTTGTTAAAAGCAACTGCCTCGTACGGTATATGATCTTCCAGAATCTTCCATAAAGAAGGCTTATTTCGGTAATCCTCGAGCTTTTATATCTAACAATGCTCTGTTTTGTGTTCTGTTTTTTACTTTCAGGGCAGTGGTCTAGGAGAGCAATGTTAGCGTTTTCGTAGGGATCATGGAGGTTCTGAAGTATTTCCATAGCGTACTCAAGAGAATTCAGCTGAGGAGGAACTGTGAATCCATTGGAGAGCAAGAAAGCTTCGAGTGAGTCAAGCCTTCCGTGGTATACAACGGTTCCTTTGGAAAGAAGTAACACCCGATCGATGAGAGATAGGATCTTGAAACTAGGTTGGTGTATTGACAAGATCACGACACGTTGTCTCGACGTAGCAATAGACTTGAGAATTTGAACGATATCGGAAGCAGATTTACTGTCTAAACCCGAGGTGGGTTCGTCAAGGAGCAGAAATTCTGGATCGTGAAGAAGACTTAGACCAATCGAAACCCTCCTGCGTTCACCACCAGACAAGCCTTGACTAAGTCTTGTATGTGCAAGATGTGTTAGGTTTAGCTCTCTGAGGAGAGAAGCAACGACATTGGAGACTTTTGGAGGGTCTTTTGGGAGCAAGAGGGAAGCGGAGAAAGTGAAGGTCTCGGAGACGGTGAGGAGAGGGAAGAAGGCGTCGTGTTGAGGAACGTAGGAAGAGATTTTACGGTAAGAAGAAGGGTTAATAGGGACGGAGTTGAGGAGGATTGAGCCTGAGGTTGGGGAGGTTCTTGCGGCCAGGATATCGAGAAGAGTTGATTTTCCGGCACCGCTAGGGCCAACAATGGCGAGGATTTGGGAAGGATGAGAAGTGAGACTGATGTCTCGGAGGATGTAGGAAGGTTGCTCCGCCGTAAGGAAGTACGGTGGAAGAGGTTTGGCGTAGGAGATGGAAGAGGTGGTTAAAGTATATGACTCCATTTTTTGGAAGAGATGTTTAAAGGCTGGAGAAGGGAAGTGAGTATCATAGAAGAGAATTTATGGATGCCTTGAGTTTGGAATGTTTTGTATTTTCCATTGAAACTGACATTTTTTAAGTCTTTTTTGGCTTTGTTTGTTTTTTTTTTTTTTACTTTTTCGTGAGTTCTTTTGTCTTTTCTATCAAATTTGGATTATGCGTTACATAGAACTCATCGAATATATTTGTGACCAAGGGGTGATGTGTAACAGTAACACAACGAATGCAATGGCGAGACAAGTGAGAGTCAGGTCGGATTGACATCGAAATTAATATACTGTATCGAAGAGTTCTTTTTAGAGATTAAAATCCAAATAACTATTCCAAAATTAAGATGGAGCTACTAGTGAGAGGTGGTTCAAGAAACGAAAATACATACATACTGTATACTCTCTCATTAATAAAGCTTGCTAACCGTTACATATATACACACACACACATTTATTAAAAACATGTAAAGATGAACCAAATGAATATGTATCGTATAGTGAATAGTGTATTATAATGTTAAGAAATTGAGAAGAAAAAATCCAAAGGAGAATGCAGGTAAGGTCACGGGGCTGCCGACTAATCACTCTCCCATGCCTTTGTATCATTGTTACACAAAATATTGCACATCACCTAATAGTCTATTTCCCAATTTCTGAACCTTCCTTCGGTTGGCACACACATTGCAAAAACATGGTTCCAATTATATATTAATGATGTGAGAAGGAGTTTACAAAAAAAAAAAAAATTAATTGCATATTTGCATGCAAAGATATATGTAGTTGTAATCCTCCAGAGCTATAGATTTTCTATTAATATAGAAGATTTCTTAATCAATTGTTTCCTTGAAAACTAAGTATTACCTAAAGTTGATTATTATTAATTTTTCTTCTACCAAATTCCATATCTAAAAATGGAATCTCATGTAGAAGACCATTGATGGGAAAAAGAACCTAGAAAATTTTCTCTAGTAATATAGAAGATTTCTTTGAAAACTAATAGTATTACCTAAAGTTGGTTATTATTTTATTTACCAATTGTCCAATTTTATGATTTAACTATCTAATTTCATTTATATTAGTGTATTTTTCATTTTTATGCATTCCTTTGAACATTTGTCTTGAGAATGAAGATTTCCACATGTATATTCGGAGAAATTTTTTTTCTTTGTTGTAGCTTGTTGTAACAATCTCGTCTACAAAGATGAGTAGCTTGTACCACGTCTACGGAGAAAAAAATTTCTCTTTGTTGTACCTTGTTTGGTCTTTGTGGCTTTTGTGGGTGCCTACTTCAACGGTTTCGTCAGCTTTGTTCTGTTCATGTGCGTGTTCATGTCCTTCTTTGGTACGGCACTACAAGAAAATATGCGTATTGCGAAGGAATTTTGCTAGGGAAAATATTCCTAACAAACTTGTGACGACTTTACTAGGACATTGTGAGTACGACAACACGCCTCGTGACTCCTCGCAATTTTGCTAGGGTACAACTCCTCGTAATTTTGCGACGCAATTGCATCAAATTGCAAGAGATTACACATCCGTCGCAACGTACTAGCAAATTTGCGAGAAACTAACTAGGCAATAATATTTACGGTGCTTTTTCGAGGGATAAAATATTTATTAAATGATAATATAGATGTTGTCGGAATTGGATAAATCCCTCGTAGGTTGGTTGCAAATACCTAGCAAGATTCCTAACAATTTCGTAGCAAAGTTAGGCGAAAACATTTTAAATAACTTTGAAAGACTTGTCGGGATATAGTTCAAACTTGAGTTGGAAATTGTAAGACAAGATTCTTTTCTCCCGCAAATTACTAGCATTTCCCTAGCAAATTCGTAGCGAAAGTTAGGCAAAAAAAAATTAAATGACTTTGACATTGTTGTTGGGATATAATTCGCACTTGGATTGGAAATTGTGAGACAATACTTTTTCCCCTTGCAAGTTCCTCGCACATCTCCCTAGCAAATCCATAGCACTCGTTTTTATTTTGCCTATAAATAGCAAATGCTTGATGAACTGAATTCATAACTCAAAACATATACAAAACACAAAGTTTTTCTAGAGAGAAAAAATTCTTCAAAGCGTAAGCCATTTGAAACAATAGCTGGAAGCAGAGAGCATGAGATATACGCAATACGACGATGGATGTACAATCATAAAGATCTGGTGACCGGTGATGTGACGAGGAAATTTTGCGATGGTTTACGGGGGTTCATGTACCACGCTACAAACCAATCTTTTGCTCGTGAAAACCTTTTGCTCTTTAATGTGTTGTTATCCTCGGTGTAATTTTGAAGGAAGAAGATAACCGATTAGGTTACACATATGTTGGGCTTTATGGGCCGATTGGATAATTCTTTAACCATGTTAGTCGATATAGCACGGTCGGTCCTCGATGACAAAATAAAAGATAAAAAAATAAAAAAAGAACGGTCGGTCCTCAAAGATTTATCAAACAAAATCAATGCTTTTAGTTTCGTTCGCATTTACTATGTGACTTTCAACATGTATGTTTGATTTTAAGTATAAAATATAATTTTGTTTCGTATTTTCTTTTCAGTCTTGTTGGCTCTACTGTATTATCCAACTATAGCAACATAGTCATCCTTCTAGATGATCTAGACACTAGATACTGTCCGACTAGCTAGAGTGCATAAAAACAACACTTCCTTAGACACTAGCTTTCGTAGTTGGCAAAATTGTTTTAAACATGTGTACATTTTCATGTCCATATATGGTTGACGATATATTGTAAGCATGTATACATTTTCATCTCCTAAAAGTTACCCTTTTCATCTTTTCTTTTGATAAACCTTCTTTTTACTACCATATTATCTTCTCTTTTTCCTTGCGAGCAAATCTTTGAGTATTTTATTGTAGTAAAAACGTTCTTTATAAATGTTGAAACTTCAAATTACATAAGTATGCGAGGCATGCAATAATGACATTTGTTGCAAATCTATCAGCTTTTATATAGGCCATCACAGCTCTCTATAAAACACAAACTAATCTCCTCATGTTATTTTTGGCAACTTTTTTTTTGGATTTTCCACCAAAACAAATTAAAGTGAAGAGGACAAAGATATTCTGATTAATTGTTTACCAAGCACAAACATGAAGAACCCATCAATCTTATCGATAATCTGGTTCTAATTTGGTCTAAAACACTTTGGGCAGAATAATTACCGGAAAAAGAAGAAGAATAAAAACTCCAAAGATTTAAAACATCGTACTTAGTTTGTTTGTTTAAGAAACCAATGGGTTCCTAGGTATGTTATTTGTTCTATACATTATCTTCACATGTAACGTGCCTCTTTAACAAGAATATGATTCCCTTTTGTTTCATGCCCAAACACAACTCAAATCCGGGAATTTAAGTCGGATCAGCGAATTTAGTATACGGACCACACACTTAAATAATGTTAAACCGGTTCACTTCCAAATATAATAAAAGCTATAAAATTAAAACTAGAAATACCTTTAGTAAACCGCACAACATTGTTGTTGGATTGGATGCTTTAAACAAAAGTTTTGCCTAAGAAATTCCTTTTAATTAGTCGACTTAATAATGTTATATTATTGCTTTAAACATACTAATACTTCTTATAGTGGACACATTAAAAAAAAAATACATTGATATACTATGAAACGAATTAAAGAATACAAGAAGAAAAGTGAAAGAATGTGGAAATGGGAACGTAAGCGAAAGTGATTGGAAACTATGGAATATCCGTTTTTCCCCCTTAGACATGGTGGAAGCTGACGCTGATTACTCTACTCTTTCTATCATTTTTTTTTACTGTATAATTCTTTTAGGTGTTTTTAAAAAAATTGTTAAGAATTCCACACATACACACACATATATATATATTGGGCAAAGAATTCCACATGTATATAGTATGTAATATGGTATGAACATGCAATATTCTAATTATATTGGTTGTTATAGTTAATGAAACTGAAATTGGTTTTGAGTTGGTATGTTGCTTCATCTTTTTCAGTATATACTTTTACATTTCACTGATATCTATATGTTTGTGTGATAAATATATATATATATATATATATATTAAAATCCACCAATAATGATTGAACTTTATTAAAATGCTAAAGAGGGATATAAAAAGCCTATGGGTACAACATCAGCTTAATTAATATAAGTCCAAATTAACCATCCAGAAGGAGGAGTAAATAACATTTACAAATGTTTTCATTGCGCCACCACCTTAAATTCACATATTCTTTATTGTTGATTAAAAAGAAACATTTAAGTATGTAAAATTTTCATCTCTGTATCAAACGACCAAGCAATTGTTCACCACTCCATTATATATAGAAGATGATTCGCTACGAAACAATTATTTAGTTAATACTCACTTTACAAAGTACAAATAACGAATATTAAATTGGCAAGGGTCAATAATCATTGATTCCGTAATAACTGAACTGAACCAATGCACAATCCAATGCATTAAGGATTTAAAAGAATAATACACTCTTCTTCTGTTCTATAAATGCCCCTCACATAATAATATCTTCTTCCACCAATTTCTCCACACACAAAAAAAAAAGTAGTTTCATTTGATTCACTCACTAAAACAAAACGCATGCAGACAATGGAAGGACGACAATATAATTACCAAGACAGGAGAAACACTAGCTCCTCCATGTTGGTGCCTCACTCACCGTGGCACTCTCCAGTTCCTTATCTCTTTGGTGGTTTGGCCGCCATGTTGGCTCTCATCGCCGCCTCTCTTCTCATCCTCGTTTGTTCTTACTGGAGACTCTCCGGATCTGCTCAGAGTGATCTCGAGGGCGGAGATGATGCCAAACCCGACGGGGACACTAACAAGACTGAGCCTACGACGATGCCGGAGAAGTTTCTCGTCATCATGGCTGGAGATGTCAAACCTACTTACTTGGCCACCCCGGCGACTCGGTCTGAGAAGAGCTGTACTTGCGGCGATCATAGTAGTGAAGAAAGAAGAAGAGGAGGGTAGTATGTTCAAGTGGTACGGCAGAGCACCGGAAGTTACGGTGAGCTCTTCCTAAATCAATCAGTACGGAATACTTTTGGATTGTTTAGCCAGGCTCAATAGGTCATTACGTGGACCTTACTAGAGGAGCCGGGAGCGGGTGGTATTGTTTTCATTTCTTTTTGTTTGCATCGTTAAGTTTTGGTCCTTTTTTTTTTGTCGACTGTCCTAGTTCTCCACTATTTCCTGTATTCTGTCTCATGAAGGAAATGTAATTTTTATTAGAGTTTAAAGATATGATTAGTAATACTAATTAATGTAAAAAAGATTAGTAACTTAAGTGATACGTAAGAAAAAAAAAAGAGTGGGATGTGGCGACATTGGCACGTGCCGAATATTAAGCTAATTTGTTGCGGCGAGCCGAAGTTGAGCATTATTCTCCTTTGCACCTTTATTCCTAAATTTCTAAATATATCACTAAGTGTTGTCAACAACTAACCATTTTTATCTCCAAAAAAAAAAAACCCGGCATATACAATTTATCTTTTATAAATTATAACCATTCAATGAAACTGACGAAACATCGTTAGACAATGAAATATTAATTTTCGGGATGATCCGACAATGCAAACAGTGACATATATATTGGATGGAGACTACACTTGCAAACAACTGAATAATTGTTTTTTTTTTAGCATGGGGCAAGTGGTCAATGGTTGTGTCATGTGTGTACGTCCTTTCCTTTTCTTGTCCAGTTCATTACTATGTTTATGTGAACGTGTCAAACAAACGAGATCGCAATTGATGCAAAAATAACTCAAACACCCAATATTAATCGTGCAGAACTCTATATTTCATTCTTGTGAATACCTCGGATGCCCCCTACAATGTCATTTAGTAGTTTCCCGTATCAACAACTTGTAACAAAATACATCAAGTGATCCAAGAATATAAAATTAGCGCCGGCCAAAACTTAAATATCAAAAACAAATTCTTATATATATATAGTCAGATTGTGTGACAAGAGAAGGATGAATCCCCTTTTTTTTTTACAAAGAACGAGTAGATCTGTACAGATTCATCGTTCAACAGAATGAATATCATTTGAAATAAGTAAATAACCAAAAAGAAAAGAAGAAGTTTGTAATGCAATCGCCTTCTTACAGTTCGCACCTCTGTATCGACCGAATCACACTTACTGATCTAGTCGGTGGAACACCGGTGAACCACGCACCGACTAATCTCAGCGGTTGAAAATAGTGGGGGCTAGAGACAGAAATGATCCATCATGTGGAAGACAACATCCTTGCCATCAGAATGTAACCAATATGTCTTAACCTACACATTACAATAAACATTATGTAAAATGCTCTTAACAAAATCGCTTTTGAGTTTTATAAATTTACCTGGATGGTACTATGAGCGACGTATCGTTGCTTGCTATTGTGAAAGCTGACATCTACTCTTTCCCAAGATAGCTGACTTAGTCCATGTATCATTTCCTCTACATTCCACAAAAACCATAACAGCATGAAGTTTCTGATGCTACGAATACAAGGAAGACCAATTGGACTATATATAGTATATTCTGAGGCAAGGATCTAACCGCACATTCGGAATATCTTATAGAGATATCAATATTTATAGCAGATCTTGGGAAAATATAAAGTGAGAAAGGAACAAACCTTCAAGATCAGTGTTTTGCTCTGTTACGACTGTGGAAGTTGACCCGCAACTACCATTCTCCACGTTTCCATGTTCTACGTATACAATGTGTGGATAGTTTGGATCAGTTGCTAAGAGATTTGGCTGGAAGATGAGAAGGTATAAGGGTTATTGATAAATTCCCGTCGCCACTAATGATGTGCACAAAATATAACAAGTAACCTCATACCTTTGGGAGCTCATTTGGACGGCGAATTGAAGATGTCCTCCATCCAACCATGGCTTTGTCATTAGTTAAGGCAAACTCTCGTAAATGATAGAAATGTGAAAACCACATTAACAGTTACTTAGAAAAAAATGCATTTTACAAGACATGCTTTTTTCAGGGAAGGATACAATCGAAATTCACGTTTGCATAGGCCACACGACGCTTGAAAACATGTAAAGCTGATCTGTTCAGGTCATAAGGAGAGGTAAGCATATCTTAATCTGCAAGTCACCAATAAAAACAAACAGAGACCAAAGCAATTACATGAATTTTAAGTCATCACAATCTGTAGCCATTCGGATAAGAAGTGGAGGATTTCCATCATCGTTGTCCACCAGAAACAAATGTTTTCCAGTCCTACCAGCAGCCAAGTGAGCAGTTTGGGATGCTGTTCTTTCCAGAAACGGAAGGCCACAAAGAATCGGGAACTGAGAGGATGAAGACAAAGCACAAGCATGTCACACAGAAACATAAAAGATCTATATTCTGTATATATAAATATGCAAACCTTACAGAATTTTTTTGACCTAGACATGCTATCTATAACATCAATTCACCTGTCTATGCCCTCTTGAACCAAGGTGAGGCGTTGCGAAAGTTATAAAGTTCATAGGTTCTAACCCAGCAATTTCGCCTCCTCTGGCGCTCTTGTCCTTGGAAGGAGAGTCCAAAGAATCGACTTCCCCTGGCTGTCCATACAGCTTCCCTATAGCATATCTTGCAACAAGACCTCCTAAAGAATGAGCCACAAAAGAGATCTTCTTCAGCCCAGTTCTCTTTTTAACAACAGCCAAAACCTTCACAAGATTTCAAACATGGAAATCAAAAACTACAACAAACCACCAACCAATTTGCAGATGAAAGAAAAAAACAACAATGCTGGCAAATACCTCATTAGCTAGCCTTTCTCCCATTTTATCAACACCATCAAATGTCAACGTTGCACTATTACTCTCGCTACCTGCTTCATCAAATTCATCAAAATCAACAAATCCTACAGAACAGAGTATTCAAAACCACAAACTCTATAGGTTGAAGAAGAAACACGCACGGTGAACAAGTACTTTGTCCGGGAACTTCTTCACGAACTGCTCCGCCGCATATTTCCAATCCGCCGCACTAAATCACCCATCCGACACAGGAATCAGCAAAGTATTTAATTAACTGTATTCGTTTGGAAGCTCTTTGATTGTGTTTACCTGCCAACGATTCCGTTAACCATGACCACCAAATGATCCGGCTTCTCAGCAGATTCCATAACATCCGCATCGAAAAAATCCTCACCGCCGTTGTCTGTCTCCGTCTTCAGCTCCCTTTTGCTCTGATTCGCCGCGAAGCAACCGATTCCAAGGCGGCTCATCCACTCCATTTGATCTGGTTTCTTTGATCGAGCGGGAAATCGAAAGTGTAATCCGAGACGGAACTGGAGTTGACTAAGCCGAAGAAATCGAGGTGAAGACGGAATCAAATCGGGGATTGAGATTTGGAATCTGGACAAGGAAGCGATCATGTGGAAGTAAAGCAAGCAATAAGAAGAAGGAAGTAGTAATCTTCCTGACTACCGAAGTGACGAGAAGTCGCTTAACTTTTCCGGCGAAGATGTGTTACATTTGCGGTTTTTGCGGAGGCGTTAATGAACAGTAGCGGTAACACATAGAAACACTTGGTCAGAATCCTTTTTTTTTTTGTTTTTAACAACCAAAAATATATTAATATAAGTTTGGATGATAAATTAATTCTATAATAAGAGGTTAAAGATGGATCCACTATATTTAAGGTAATTTTATTAACAGAAAGTGAGAAAACTATAAAATTAACTCTAATTTTGGAAGGTTTATAAATTACATATACAATCTATATATAATTATGTTAATAATATGTAGAGATTTATTATGTTACAGTTACATTTAATAATTAAAATTAAATTAAAAATAAATAGTAGAGAAGAAAAGCAATTACATCTCATCTCAATATAAAATGTAGAGATTTATTTCATAAGAAAAAATACATTTGGAATTCTTTACTCTTTCTAAATAATTGTTTGCATTTGGATTCTCTGTTGAAAAAAACAAAGCACAATTAAATCAATATATTGCATGGTACTCACTTGATTATGTACGTTTCACATGTTTGACCAAAAAGTTGATATCAAAACTAAGCAGTAGAAGAACCTCTTCACATTCTTTTCATTTCCATTTGTCTTATATATGCGATATTTGCTCATTCAGTCGGTTTTTTCGATCATATAGTATAAAGCGATCTTATGAGTACCCAAGCTACGGTTTGATATACAGTATGTTATATAGCTATTAACACCTATAAACGTACTCGTCAAGGAAGAGGTTCAACCATGAATTCCTTTTGAGTGCTTAGTAAATTATAGTAAGGTTACACCAAACTCAAAGTATGCGACAGCAAAGTCATGAACACCCAAAAACAAATGAACAACGTGAAGAATAACCCCATCATGCAAAAACTAAACGACGTATAACGCGGAGATGTGTGTCTTTTCTACTTTCAAATAGAAACAATGTTGTGAGTGCACATATGGGTTGGCATGTTGACATATTGGAGTGTTGCGTGACTAGCTAGTGACGACGACCCACCATCAACCCATATCAGCCTATCTAATACGGCCAACATTTAGGGTTCACGGGATAACACTAACACAATCATACCCTCTACATTATCATATATATCTCTCCAATAGTAAATTCCATATATATTTGTCCTCAATATCTTCTTTCTTTTTTTTTTCTTTCTAAAATCTACAATCTGCCAGACAAGACAATCTTTCATCACATTGGTAACCCACGTTATGCGGTTTAAAAATAGACATGAGCCGCTAAACAAAAAAAAAACCTCAAAATTGTATCCATACATTTCCAACACAATTTATCGTTTCCTTAATTTTCTCTGTATATTTAAATAACACACTTAAACCCTCCGAATCCATTAATCTCAAAAAAAAATAAATGAGGATGAGTTCATCCTATTTACGAGTAATATTACTCTTAGGTGCCATCAATGTCGTCGTTTCTTTATCAATAACCAGAAGTAGAACAATAACCAGATCTTCATCATCATCAACAACAATGACCAGATCTTCATCACTTGGTCAGGTGTTCCAGATCTGTAAGGGATTGTGTCATGGATGTGACCACGACTCCTTGCAGTTTTTGTTCCGACACAACCTGGTCCGTGCCGCAAGATTCGAACCTCCTTTGATGTGGGACACAAGGCTCCAGCACTACGCTCAAGGGTGGGCTAATCAAAGAAGGGGAGATTGTGCTTTGAGACACTCTTTCTCAAACGGACAGTTTAATCTCGGCGAGAACATCTACTGGGGATTCGGCGCCAACTGGTCTCCCGCCGACGCAGTGGTTGCTTGGGCCAGCGAGAAGAGGTTTTACCATTACGGCTCCAACACGTGCGACCCTGGTCAGATGTGTGGCCATTACACACAGATCGTGTGGAAGAGCACGAGGAGGGTCGGGTGCGCACGTGTGGTTTGCAACAACGGTGGAATCTTCATGACTTGTAACTATGATCCTCCCGGTAACTACATCGGCCAGAAACCCTACTAATTAATCATCATTCATCTATTGATCCAGTTCTCTTAAGTCATCTTATTTTAGATTGTATCATGACTTCTTGAGGAATTTAGGTGGGTGTATATTGTGTATTTTACTAGATTAATAGAAGTCTTTGTGGGTTTGTGATATTAATTATCATAAACGGTTATCCATATACCCGTAAGAATGACCAATATATATGTATAAAATACAACAAGATGATATGATTCTTTAAGAAAATTTCCAAAATGCATGCAAACGGAAAATAATATTGTTTGGGATTTAACTTGGTCTAATCTAAGTAGTATTTAGCCATGATGTAAGAAAATTAATAGGAACTATGGAAGGTCTTTTGTATACGAATTGAAAAAATCATTTGGGGATACATGACCATCACAAAATGAAACAATGAAATGTTCATAACACCTGCAGCAGCTTAATTAAATACACACGATGATTAGAAAGAAAAAAAGACACAGAGAACAAAAACATATATAGATTAAGTAATTAATCACCAACGTTGATTGAAAACGAAAGTGTTAGAAAAAGTTAGTAAGGCTTCTCTCCAACGTAGTTACCCGGAGGGTCGTAGTTGCAAGTGATGAAAACTCCTGCGCCGTTCTCGCAGACAACTCGAGCGCAACCTATGCGCTTGGTGTCACGCCATACGATCTGAGTGTAGTGGCCACACATACCGCTCCCTTCACATGAGTTGGTCATGTGGTTGTAAGACTTAGCCTCTACGGTCCATGACTCCACTGCAAAAGTCGGTGTAAAGTCCGAGCCACTCCCCCAGAAAATGTTCTCACCATATGGACCGGTCGAGTGGGTTAGGGAGCAGTCGTATCGCCTCTGGTTAGCCCACCATGTTGCGTAGCTCGCGATCTTGCCGTCCCACACCAATGGAGACAGACCTGTTCGGAATGAAAATTTACAAGTCAATACAACACTACTAATTAATAATTTACTTTGATCCCACAGTTATACAAAAAGTGATATCCAAACTGTTCGTTTTCTAAGGTAGTCCATTTCCTTAGATCGTGTTATAAGGTCCCAAACAAAACAAAATATACCTGCAAGGTCTTTATCTATAAGAAAATATCAGAATAATGAAATATTTTGTTTATACAAATATAACCCTAGGATGATATTTTGAGACGTAAATTTTGGCCTATAAGAAACTCTTGAGCAAAAAAAGTAACATTCGGTAGCTGAACAACAGTAAAGTAGAAAATGTAAGATAACAATGTTAATCGTTCAACTTGTAGTTTTTATGAATATATGACAAAATTAATTACAAAGATCCCAAGTGTCCATTTATGTTGTTTATGCTCATGAGGTCTTAACTATTATATAATTTCATAATTAAATTACCTAGGCCGCCTCGGACAGTATTATGTGGATCAAGAAATTGTTGTTCGAAGGAGCCCGTGGGTGGTTGGTAGGTGGGAGGAGGACGATAGAGGATAGGTTTGGGGATGGGAGTTGGGAGCGGCTTGGGGTTTGCGACGTAGGGAGAAGGGCTCGGGACTGTAGGTAGCCGGGGACGGTAATAGTCTGCATGAACGGCTTGGATGGCGACTAAGAGAATGGCAATTGCGAAGAGTATGGTTGGGGTTGATGTTGTGGTCGCCATCTTGGCTTTCTTTGTGGAGTGTTGCTCCAAAGATTTTATTTTGGATGGTGGAAGAGAAATGAATTGATGAGGGTGATTATTTATACAGTATACACCATGTTTAAATTAGTGCATAATTAATAATGATGACAAAACGCAATTTGGGAATGTCAACTAGAAGTGGCTTCCATGTTCGATTATGTTTACCACTTACCACCACTTGTCGCTTTAGTAAAGAAAAGAGTTTGCAGATATTTTAACCATGCAACTAGGTTGTTTATTATTCCATATATATATACATATATATTTTGTTCTTAGCCAACTAAAGATAAATAAAATCAGACCGAAGTATTGAGAAATAAAAACTATAAAAAGGTGAGGTTTATGATAATAAATCCAACAATTCTAAATAACCATAAATTATCTTTGAATTAAGGACACAAAAAAAAAAAAAGGATACACTTTGATTAAAGAAGAAACTTCATTCTTCAGTACACGTGTAACGTACGGCGTGGATCATATCAGGAGAATGTCGTAGTGGGGGGCGCTTTGCCTTTATGACAAGTTGTTGACACGTGACTAGCACGGCAGCTCCACCGTAAAAAGCCACCACACCCTACCACATATAAAAAAAAAAAGCACACTCAAACTCTGTTCGTCGTCAAACCGAGGTTGACCCGTTTAATTCCCACTCAGGCGACCGGACATGTAATTTTCTCTTTCGCTTGCTTGGTATTTTTTTTTTTCTATTGATCACTTGAGAGAGTTATGTGAAGTGTTATGCAATTTCGCGGAGAGGATTTGGTTACAGGATTTTTGGGTTTCGTGTTTATTTTTCTGGGGATATGGATGATCTCTCCGAGAGTATATTTTTTTAAATCTCTGATTCTGATGTATGTAATTTTTTTTGTTTGCAGATCTCAGAAATTAGGGGTTTTTATATTCTAGAGTTAGTGTAATATGAAGAGGAGCTTAGAGGGGAACGATGACGACAAACATGAGCGAAAGCGTCCTGCTCTTGCTAGGTTTTTTTTTTTTTTAACTCTTCATCTCCCTGTAAATTTTTTACCCGATTGAAAAAACTTACTTTTGGCTGGTCCTTTTGATTTCTATGGTGCAGTGTGATTGTTGAGGCTCTTAAAGTTGACAGTTTGCAGAAGCTTTGCTCTTCTTTGGAACCTATCCTCCGCAGAGTTGTAAGATTTGTTTACTTTTTCTTTCCACTTCTTGCTCTGTTTTCTGTTCTTGTATTTGAGAACTTAGTTATGTTTAGGTATGTATCAGCTCTCATTATTAAGGCCCTATTACGGTATTGCTATTGGTCAGGTTAGTGAGGAAGTGGAACGTGCTTTAGCAAAATTAGCACCTGCTTCGCTTACTGCAAGGTAATATCTTTTGTTGAATGGCGAATTTACTATATAACTTAGTGGCCCTTGGATATTGTTTTGTGATTTTTAGCTTATTCGAAATTAGATAGTGTATTTCCTGATATGTATGACCACTTTACAGTTCTGTGTCTTCTCCGAAACGTATTGGATGTTCAGATGGCCGAAATTTGCAGCTGCATTTCAAGTCTAGGTTATCTCTCCCATTATTCACTGGAGGGAGGGTGGAAGGAGAGCAAGGTGCTGCTGTCCATGTTGTATTGATTGATGCAAACAGTGGCCGTCCTGTAACATTTGGACTCGAAGCGTCTCTGAAGCTTGATGTTGTTGTGCTTGGGGGTGACTTTACCAACGAAAATGATGAAGATTGGACCCAAGAAGAATTTGATAGTCATGTTGTAAAAGAGCGCGAAGGAAAGAGACCGTTGCTTACTGGAGACTTGTGTGTTGTTCTCAAAGAAGGAGTTGGCACTTTGGGTGAGGTCACTTTCACAGATAATTCAAGCTGGATTCGTAGTCGGAAGTTCAGACTTGGTTTGAGGGTCGCCTCTGGTTATTGTGGTGGCATACGCATACGTGAGGCAAAGACAGAAGCTTTCTATGTTAAAGATCATAGGGGAGAATGTATGTGTTTTCTTTTCTTGATATCTTTGTGACTTATGCTTGCCACTTCTCTTTCTTCTGAATCAGTGTGTTGTCGGATTGTTGTGTCTAGTGTACAAGAAACATTATCCACCTGCTCTGAATGATGAGGTGTGGAGGTTGGATAAGATTGGTAAAGATGGTGCGTTCCATAAGAAGCTAAAAGCTGCAGGAATAGTCACCGTGGAAGGCTTTCTGAGAGATTTGGTCAAGGATTCTGCAAATTTAAGAGCTGTAAGTACCTATAACGTGAAGCTCATTGCTATTGGATGAGAATAACTTATTCAATTTACGCTCATGAATAACTATACTTGTCTGATGTGTGTCTAGATTCTTGGAAGTGGCATGTCAAATAAGATGTGGGATGTGCTAGTGGAGCACGCAAAAACATGTGTCCTAAGCCGTAAACTTTATGTTTACTATTCTGACGATTCAAGGACTGTCGGCGTTGTGTTCAATAACATCTACGAGCTAAATGGCTTTATATCTGGGGACCGATACTTATCTGCTGATTCACTCTCTGAAAGCCAAAAGGTCTGTTAAATTCTCCTTAACTTTGGCACTTACTTGCTTTGTGCTGGTTGGTATTATTGTTTTCCTGATGTTTGATTCTATAATTCACTTATGTAATGTGTATGCGGTAGAATAATTTGTTTAGTGTTTAATTCTTAAAGGTGTATGTGGATGAACTGGTGAGGAAAGCATATGAAAATTGGAACCAGGTCGTGGAGTATGAAGGCAAATCTCTTTCGAACTTCAACCAACCTGAGAGGTTGAATATTTCTCAGAATAATCCTGCAGCGACTTTGGCAAATTACTCTACCACCTCTGCTGCTGACAATCCAATACATGTGACAGTAGTTCCATCTGCAGTCCCTCCTAATCAGTCTCCAGTGCATTCAGAATTTTCAATGGGAGGTTTGGAAATCAGTCCCTTGTAAATCACCAAATCGTTTAGCTATTGCGTTCTTGGTTCTGTATCATAAGATTACATTCTAATTTCAGTCTTTACTGCAGAGTATAATCAAACGCTGACAACAGCCCAGCCTCATAATCCGCAAGAACTATTCGACATTGGTTTGCAGCAAGATCAGTTTATGGGAATACGTCAACATCAAACTCTGGCCACCATAGAGAATGCAAATGTAACTGGGTTCGTTCTTGGTCCTCCACAGTCAGCCACATGCGGGTACCAAGACATTGAATCTTCTGTTGATCAGGGAAATCTTAATCTTTTTGATGACTGGTCAAAACATCATGGGAACGACTTATTCTCAGAGGAAGAGATCCGGAAAATAAGCCATGAATTGTTAGCTAATGAGGACATGCAAGAGCTGCTCCAGCTCTTCAGCATGGGAGGTGGCAATGGGGAAGATGGGTTTGCTTTCCCATCATTTATGCATAATACACCGAGGACGCAGGGATCTGATGAGGAGGGCCATGGGCGATCAGGAAAAGCGGTTGTTGGGTGGCTAAAGATAAAAGCTGCAATGAGATGGGGATTCTTCATCAGGAGGAAAGCTGCTGAGAGGAGAGCACATATTGTGGAGCTTGATGATGAACGATGATGGTTAATGGATAGTCAGGTTGCTTGCTAGTATATACTAATAGTAGCCCTGTACAGGTTAGGGATGGATATAAACATCACTTACAGTCTTACCGATATGAATTGTTCCTTGATGCGTAGAGCATTTGAGGATGTTGAAACATCTTCAAGAATACAGTAGAGTATTGAATTAGAATCTCCCCGAGTTCTTGGTTTGTAATGCGTTTTCTTGTTGCAAGAAACAAGGCCATGGCTTCAAAATCAAATCCCTGCATTTCCCTTCTATTTGATTAAAGACCCAATAATTAGAGACTCAATACCCAACTTCTGAAAAACATTTCTCTTGTCTTAAACTTTTTTTTCTTCCAAATCAAGTATTAGGACTCGAGAACCAAACAAGCATATATTTAGACCATGCAGCACGTAACATGTCTACATGTTTTCGTACATAAAGGACTAAACCAAATAATAAAATTCCAAATTATATTTTTATTTTGATATTAACTGCTAATTTGATTATAAAGAACTTGTTTATTTATATAAGTTTTCTAGCAAACACATCGAAAATACTTTTTGTAAACATATCAAAAAGAAAAAAAAGATCAGAAAACATAAATCAAAGATTATGGATTAAACTTCATCTTTACAGTAGTAGGTTCTAGAATTTATGTGCGTGTGGGGAACTGATTCTGAAGAAGGATGTCACTTGGATCCTTTGGTTAATACGAAACTTGTCAATAAAGATGGCCATCATAAAATAAGTAGGGAGAGATGTTAGCTGTGTCCCATACGCCTATCTAGAAAAGGCGACGATGGTCAAGATTAAATAAAGACATTTTAACAAAACCGCGTCTCCAACTCCAAAGACCAAAGCCATTTTAGCCCATCACTTTTCCATCTTCCAGCTGTCCGAATCAAGATGCGCCTTCTTTCTTCACCAAACCAAACCTATCGTCCCCATCGAACCTTCCTCTCTCTGACTGCCTCTGTTCTTACTATAAATACAACCAAATACGCACATCACCCTAAAACAAACAAACCTAAACTTAACAACAAAGACATAATATATAGGCAATGGCGGTGATCAATTACTCTACCATCATCGCGGTTCCATTGGTTGCTGCTCTTATGATATGCTCTGTTTCCGCCAACTTTCAACGAGACGTAGAGATAACTTGGGGAGATGGACGTGGGCAGATCACAAACAACGGCGATCTTCTCACGCTCTCTCTTGACAAAGCCTCTGGTTCAGGATTCCAATCTAGGAACGAATATTTGTTTGGTAAAATCGACATGCAGATCAAGCTCGTCGCCGGTAACTCCGCCGGAACAGTTACCGCTTACTATGTATGTCCCATTAGCTTTATAGTGTTGTTTTCTAAAGTTACACATATTTATTAGAATAGTTTAAGTGCTAACTGAGCTTTTTTTTTTTTTCTGGATTTACAGCTGATATCTCCTGGATCTACATGGGACGAGATTGATTTCGAGTTCTTGGGAAATTTAAGTGGTGATCCTTACACACTTCATACCAATGTCTTTACGCAAGGCAAAGGCGATAGAGAGCAACAGTTCAAGCTTTGGTTCGATCCCACTAGTGATTTCCACACTTACTCTATCCTCTGGAACCCACAACGCATCATGTAATTGAGTCTTCTTCTTTCTTGATCCCAACACCGTTGCAAAAGAGTATTTTTGTGTGTCTTGTTTGATCCGAACACCAATCTTGAACAACTCTTTTTTAATATAATCTTGTTTGGTTTGTCTATCAATTCAGATTCTCCGTGGATGGAACTCCGATAAGAGAATTCAAGAACATGGAATCTCAAGGAAATCTGTTTCCTAAGAACCAGCCGATGAGAATGTACTCGAGTCTATGGAACGCAGAAGACTGGGCCACAAGAGGTGGTCTCGTCAAAACCGACTGGTCTAAAGCTCCATTCACCGCCTCCTACCGCGGCTTCAACGAAGAAGCTTGCGTCGTGGTCAACGGCCAGTCGTCATGCCCTAACGGGTCAGAACAAGGTAGTCGTGGTTCGTGGCTGTCCCAGGAGCTAGACTCTACGGGTCAAGAACAGATGAGACGGGTGCAGAGTAATTACATGATCTACAACTACTGTACGGACGCTAACAGGTTCCCTCAAGGTCTTCCACGCGAGTGCTTATCTGCGTAGAGCTTTTAAGCAAAAGATCCAAAGCCATGGAAATCAATACTATTCTTTCATTCATCATATAAAGTATCAAATGTTTGGTTACATATTACTTCATTCTATGTGAGTATATGTGTATTTATGACCTTCCCAATCGAACGTAGTTACGTACCATTAGAAAAACTAAAGTCATATAGACCAATGTGAGAACAGATAAAACGAATGGAAACAGAAACGGAGTACTATACCGAACGAACTGATTATCTCAATACCAAAAAATTGAACAAACGTAAACCCTACAAAACATTTCAAAGCCTCCGGCATGGCCATGAGTCATGACGTCTCGTTGAGCTCCTTAACAATGTGAATTTTCTCATGCTATCCTTAGGACCTGTTGTGTTCTAATGGATAAATATCTTATGCTTGGTCCAACATTTTGAAGGAGGTTATGTTATTTTCTTTGTCCGTTTTGTATGTTTTCTCCCGTTATTTACCAATTACACTCGTACATGTTCCCAAGTTTGATTACATATTATGATAGATTAGCGGTTAAAATAAAACGGTATAATTATAAACCACTAGACTACAAACTCAGGTTAAGACAATCTTACTTGCATCACACAGACGACTAATTAAAAGCGATATTAACCTTTCACCCTCTTTTTTTATTTGTTTTGGTTCAAGTTCAACAACCTTCCACCTTCTTTATTCACTTAATCAACCACTTCATCAAAAGCGATTCCCAATTTATCTATCACTATACGTCGTAATATTTAGATTTTACTGTCTCAACAATTAATCAACAAAAATTTCATGTCTATTGGTAGAGTAGTATATTCCATTTTATTTGATCTCAAAGTATAAACGAATTTTAATTTTAACATTATGTTCTGAGAATCTTGTTATTGTCTCCTCAGGCAAAAACTATAAACTATATGCAATTTGCATCTATATATAAGATTTGACTATTAAATAATCTAATACTTTTAACAGTTGGATCTTTCAACCCTTCTAATTAATAAATAATATATGGTCTTTTGATCGAACTAATGTTGAGCAAAAACAGATTTACTTTGATGACAGATACCTATTATATAAACAACAATTAATCTATCTATTGATTTAAAAAAAAAAAAAAAATCCACGAACATGTCTAACTTGAACCGTGTAAGGTCGAATCTTTATTTAAATATTAATTACATACAAAGTTTAAGACTACCACGTCGATAATGTGCCTCCACGAAATAACTTCTCTTTATATAACCTCTTATATGAACAATTCATCTTAAACCATCAACAAATACTCATTTAATCACGGCGAGAAACAACAGAGGACAGGGAAAAAATGGCGTTTTACGCAACCAAACAGCCTCTCTTGTTGTCTCTCCTCCTCGCCATTGGCTTATTTGTGGTGGCTGCATCTGCCGGGAACTTCTATGAGAGCTTTGATATCACTTGGGGAGATGGCCGTGCCAACATATTCGAGAATGGGCAGCTTCTCACTTGCACTCTTGACAAGACCTCCGGCTCGGGTTTTCAATCCAAGAAGGAGTACTTGTTCGGTAAGATCGACATGAAGCTCAAGCTTGTCGCTGGAAACTCCGCTGGTACCGTTACCGCATACTACGTACGGAATCTCCTTGTGAAATTGATTGAATTTTAAATCTGATGTATTATAGTTCTTTTCATATTAATACCGATCATTAATACTATATATGTTGTGTGGCAGCTTTCGTCGAAAGGAGAGACATGGGATGAGATTGACTTCGAGTTCTTGGGAAATCTCACGGGTCAGCCTTACACTATCCACACCAATGTGTTCACCGGAGGTAAAGGCGACCGCGAGATGCAGTTCCATCTCTGGTTCGATCCCACCGCGGATTTCCACACCTACACCGTCCACTGGAACCCTGTTAACATCATGTGAGTACATAGTCTACATATAAGCAAATCCTACAATGATAATAAAACTTAACATATAAAATGTCTATAGTTCATGACATAAATGCTCGTTTCCTTGTGTCTGAAGCTTCCTTGTGGATGGGATCCCAATTCGGGTGTTCAAGAACAACGAGAAACATGGGGTGGCTTTCCCAAAGAACCAACCGATGAAGATATACTCAAGTCTCTGGGAAGCAGATGACTGGGCGACGCAAGGCGGTCGCGTGAAGATCGACTGGAACAACGCACCATTCAGCGCCTCCTACAGGAACTTCAATGACCAAAGCTCATGCAGCAGGACATCAAACTCAACATGGGTGACTTGCGACCCAAACAACAACTCGTGGATGTGGACCTCTCTCACTCCACACCAGTACGGACAGATGCAGTGGGTACAAGACGATTACATGATCTACAATTATTGTACTGATTATAAAAGGTTCCCTCAGGGTCTCCCCAAGGAGTGTACTAACCTTGAATGATCCTTCTATGAGAATTTTCGACCACCTCATCAATAACATATTTATTTTCCTTTCTTTCTTTTGATGTTACTTCTTTCTTTTGATGTTTCTGAGCTACGAATACGATAATACACACGTATATGTAATCTTCCAAGAAAATATTTTTTTTGTTTTGTTTTAATGTGAAGAAAACGTGCCAGTGCCAAGAAAATAATTTGATTACACTTGTACTCGATTATACACATTCTGTGTATCCAATGCGGTGTGATTGTTTATTTGGCGTCCTTTTTCAACTTCAGGGCTTTTAGCATTGCGAATTCAAATCCCATTTTTGGTTATCGAGAGAATCATCAATGTGCTTCAGAAAATGCAAGATAAAAGAAACACACAACAATCAAAACAACAAAATTCCATAAATTCCATAAATTGATGAGAATAATAAAAATATCCTAAAGATAAATATAAATGTAAATTATACTTTAAGGATAAATGTAAATATTCCTAATCATGATCTTCTAAATCTTTCTAGATCTTCATGATTTCTATAATCTTCAGTTTGTCATTTCGGTCGATCTCAAGTCTCTATCTCCCAATTTTGTAGTTCAAAACCCCCGTGAGATAATTAAACTATGTACAATATGTCCTTTTATAAATATAGTAAAAATATTAATTATTTTTTCTAAATTTTCACGACCATGATAGTAAATGTTGATCGTCTCTGTTTTCTTCTAAACTTTATGGGGACCTATGGTAGGCTATTGGTTGAAGATTTGCTACGTGGATGGGTAATGATAGTGGCTGGTTACTATAAACGTATTAATAAAGGGTTTTGTAATCTATATACATGATCTTTAGTTAATTACCAAGAAGAAGTTTTGTCTCTTTATTTCTCGTTTTTGGTAGATTTACAGAAATTTTAACTAATAAAAGAAAGAAATTCGTTCTTTGGAAGCTTATGTTATATACTCAACAAGAATCTTTAAACTTTTTTTTTTTTAATTCTTTCTTTACAGCACTATTATTTTGTCTAACTCAAATGTAAATTCTTTTGACATGTTTATATTGTGAAATTTAGAAGTAGCAAAGATATGCTGTGGTACTGTAATTTCAAAGTTACGTTGAATGAATGCGTTGGTTGGTCCAACTAACTAATAGGGCCTAACATTAAAGACGTTAAGAGCCACATTTAGGAAATGAATTTGGACAGTCCAATTTAAAGCACAGAACGTGTCTCTCTTCGACAATGATTTTTCAAACTAAATTTGATATTTCGTTTCATATACAAAATTCAGTTGCATTTTCAGTATTTACAAACTTTGTTCAAGTCTCCATAATGCCACTTTTTTCCTCCATTCCATCCAAATTTGTCTCAAAGGAGAATTTAATCAAAATCACAATCAAAATGATTAAATCTATAAAAATCAGACGACGTTGTTTGGACCAATGAACTAGACACTTGAGCTTCTCCAGCTCGTGTATTTTGCATGTGGAAAGCTTGAAGATAATTTCTTACCAAAAAGTCTGCTCATGTTCGAACAATAATTTTATATCATTATTATTATTATTATTATTTTTTTGTGAACCATATAATTATTCTTTATGACAAAAAAATCAAGAGACAAAAGTTTAGTTTACATATAATGAAAATAGGTCCAAACAACAAAAACAAGTTAAGATTAGGTTTAGATGGTTGAATAGGATGGTAATTTATATAGAGTTGTCATTTTCCCTATTGATTACTATCTGGTTTAAGTCAAAATCACACCGTTTAATTAGACCCACTCGTGACAATCAATATATGAACAAATTAACATCTCTATATCCATTAATTATGTTTCGATTTAAATTAATAACAAAATCCATAAAAAAAGCAGGAGATAGTATAAGCTTTCTCAATATATACAGCGTTGTTCTCAAAGCATTAAGAAATCAACTCCCTAATCACGAAGAATCTCAGCTAACTATAGAGTAGTATCACTTTTAGAGATAAAGACAGAAAATTAAATTAGAGAGTCCGTACGGATCAAGTTCATTAGGAAGGAGTTAGTACTTAATCAAACATTCAATGCCAATGGAGAAGTCCAACTGTATTTGCATTTCAATCTCATACAAGTGATCTGCAAATTGCCGCGTACGTACGTTAATGTATATATATATATATATTTATATATCCACCTGCCAAATCCTTTCAACTCCAAACCATTCTCTATTTTATAATTTATAAACAGTTTACAAAATTTTATGTTACAGTCTTCCCTTTCATTCTCATAAAAGATACAACTAGCTACAATCTAACAGAAGGAAACAGAGTGGGAAACATTCCTGTGTACGTAGGAAAGGAAGCGAGATGGTGATGAAATTGAGAGAAACAGAAGTGATCCTGAGGCTCTGTATCGTCTTTCTTCTCCTCCTTACTGCTTGTTTGGTCGGTTTGGATTCTCAGACTAAAGAGATTGCTTACATCCACAAGAAAGTCAGTTTCAGATACTTGATTGCTCTAGAGTAAGTTCATCATTTTCCTTTACTTTTGTCAATTTGTATATAGATCTAGGTGTAACTTAATATAATCATTTCTCTTTATACAATACTAATATCATACAGTCAGATTATTGTGTCAAGAAAAAAAACACCTTGGAACCATCAGTGTATTAAAAACTCACTGAAACAAGCTGGTACACAAACACAACTGTATTTAGATTTGAGTTTTATGCACTCTGAAAAAAGGGTAATGACTAATGATTTCGTAGTTTTTTGGAAGGATCTTGTTTTAGGAAAATTTTCTGTTTTTGTTAAATCTAGACGAAAATGACTTTTTGTACAGTGGGGACTTGTACTCTTTAATTATTTTGTCTTGGTTTAACAACTCTTTAATTAAGAATCATCTCTCACAATAAAAGTTAGATATAAGTTTACAATTTGACATACTATACTTAGTTCAAATGTGTGTGTGTGTGTGACAGGGCTGAGTTATACATAGATGTTGGGGTTGCTGCGTATAATTTGGTTCAATTAGGACTTCATTGGCACAATGTTGAACAAAAGACTTCCAATCCCAAATGGTTCTCTTACCTCTTGGATCAGGTATATGCTTAACTCTTTTAATTTAGACTACCGTTGATGATACTATATATATTATGTGCATGTGTGATGATAAACGTAAGTAAAATAGACGGCGGCGTACGTGGTTTTCGCGGGGACAACTGCGGCGGCGCAACACTCAATGCTGGTGGTAACGGGTTCACAGGAGCTTCAGTGGATGAAGTGGTGCTACAAGTTCACAAGGTTCTGCTTTCAGATGGGAAGTGCCATCATCTTAAACTACATAGCCGCGGCTCTCATGGTCCTCCTCTCTTTTATCTCTGCCTTCAACCTCTTTCGCCTCTATTCTCCTAAACGTTTTTTCCGTTTTAAGTCCTCTTCCTAATTAACTAATGATCAATCTCATAATCCGAAATAATGTTGATCGATGTGAAGAAGAAAATGTTGATTAATTATTGATGCAACTCTCAAATCTCAATTTGTGTATTTTCCACTATGTACACGATAAGTCCGATAAATATCACCAGTCTTTTGCTTGAGAAAATAGGTGTCTACAGTGTACGTAACGTACGCACAATGCTTAGGACTTGGTGTTACTTAGATTGTGATATGATGGAGGAGTGATGAGGAAAAAGAAGGGAGCTTGTGTATATAGGAAATTAAGTTTACAGAGAAGGATAGAAAGATGAAGAATGAAGACTTGGGATTAGAATTTTTTGTTTTGTTTTTTGCTTAGTTTAGGACAGCATGCACTTGCCAATGTACACATGCAGTTTTTGACACCTAGCACAATCATGCAGTTAGACCAACACATGTGTAGATCTCAGCCATTATCCAGGATTCCATTTCAATCTTAACCATCCAAACTAGTTCAATCTGATAGTTTCTCTAATCAATTCTTAATTTTGGTAAATTTTATACAGATATCCGTCATAATTCGAAATGGCCTATTCATGGCTCAAACTCGAAGATTAGGTTATAAAATCTTTTTACACGATTTTCTAAATATAGAATTTTACCAAAATCCACCATTTTTGTAACCACGTAAATATCCATTTCACGCCATATCTATGTTAAGATTATATAACGTGTGCTATTAATTACTTTGAGCATATATTGTTTCTGTATTTATCGTTGTGATAAAATCTGAGTGTAAATTAGTCAAATAAATAAATAGAAAGTCCTTAATATCAACTTTTAATACGGTCAAAAATTAATTTATTTCCTTTGTTTTGGTCAAACATTTATTTCCTATTAATTGGCTCAAAATATTAGGAGTATCACAATGCATAATCATGTTACGTTAACAATGCTATGGATGTCCTCTATAGTCTATACCTTCATACTCCCCATATATATTTTGCTCTAGACTTTTTTTGTCATTGTATTTTGCTCTAGACTAAAAATAAAAAATGCTGCCCACAAAAGTCAAAGCAAAAGAAAAAGAAAAAAACGAAGCTAGTATCACAAATTGTATAAATTGACAAACCCTTTTTTTTTTTATTCTCTTTTTCTAAACTTGTCTCGTTTTCTCCAAGACACATCAAGCCGCAAACCTTGATAACTAAAAAGCTTCCTCCTCTCTCTCTTTTTGTTTCCTCTTTCTCGCTGTCAAAATCTTCCGGAAACACGAGAGACTCTTTGTTCAAGAAAACTTTCTCTGCCAATATCCTCAAAATCAATTTGATTGAACGAGTCACACCAATCAAATCCAGGCTCGTTTCTCAAAACCCACCTTCTCCTTTTCTTCTCTCACCGCCGCAAAGTACTATTCACCTTTTCAAACTTCTCCTCAAAAACTCTCTGTTTCTTCTTTCTCTCTGTGTCTAAGGACGATGAAAGAGTATTGGACATCTTTGGCTTCTTTACTCGGCGTTCTAGCCTTTTGTCAAAGCCTAATGAATTCAGTATTCCCACCGGAGCTCCGTTTCGCCTTCTTGAAACTATTCAACAGAATCTTTAAACTCTTCTCCACCTTCTGTTACTTCGACATCACCGAGATTGACGGCGTCAACACCAACGAGCTCTACAATGCCGTCCAGCTCTACCTCAGCTCCTCCGTCTCCATCGCCGGAAACCGTCTCAGCCTCACACGCGCCGTCAACTCTTCCTCCATCACCTTCGGCCTCTCCAACAACGACTCCATCGTCGACACATACAACTCCGTCACCGTCGTATGGGAACACATCGTTACACAGAGACAAACTCAAACCTTCGCTTGGAGACCAATGCCGGAAGAGAAACGCGGCTTCACACTCCGGATCAAGAAGAAAGACAAAAACTTGATCCTCGATTCTTACTTGGAATACATCATGGAGAGAGCTGACGAGATTCGCCGGATGAATCAAGATCGCCTTCTTTACACGAATTCGCGAGGTGGGTCTGTCGACTCGAGGGGTCTTCCTTGGGAATCTGTTCCCTTTAAGCACCCGAGTACCTTCGATACACTCGCCATGGATCCGGTTAAGAAGCAAGAGATCATGGAGGATCTCACAGATTTCGCAAAGTGTCAATCTTTTTACCAGAAGACAGGTCGCGCTTGGAAAAGAGGATACTTGCTTTACGGACCACCCGGAACAGGGAAATCGAGTATGATCGCCGCCATGGCTAACTATCTCCGGTACGACATCTACGATCTCGAGCTCACGGAGGTCAAAAGCAATTCAGAACTGAGGAAGCTCCTGATGAAGACCAGCTCCAAGTCGATAATTGTGATCGAGGACATTGATTGTTCCATCAATTTAACGAATCGGAACAAGAAACAGAGCAATGGGAGCTACAACGAAACAGAGGCGTTAACCGGGTCCGGTTTAAACGAGGATTCCGGTAATGGGGACACGATAACGCTTTCAGGTTTGCTGAACTTCACTGATGGGCTTTGGTCTTGCTGTGGCAGCGAGAGGATCTTTGTGTTCACGACGAATCACGTTGATAAGCTTGATCCTGCATTGCTAAGAAGTGGAAGAATGGATATGCATGTGCACATGAGTTACTGTACGTTTCCTTCTGTCAAGATCTTGCTGAGGAATTACTTGGGATACGAGGAAGGAGATTTAAGCGACGGCGTTTTGAAGGAGCTGGAGGAAGTGGTGGATAAGGCTGAGATTACGCCGGCTGATGTAAGCGAGGCTCTGATTAAGAACAGGAGGGATAAAAAGAGAGCTGTGAAAGAACTGTTGGAGGATTTGAGAAGTAGAGCGGAGAGAAATCAGAAGAATGGTGGGAGACAGAGGGATCAAAATGGGAGCTCGGAAGAGCAAGAGAAGATGGCTTTGGATAGTCCTTATGCAGAAGTGAACGGAGGAGAAGAAGAAGAAGAGATTGAGGATATCATTTGCAAAAGTAGTGATGATTATTAAGTGTTTATTTTTTTGTTTCGTTGTTCTTAATTAGGTTTTCAACACTTCTATGTTTACACACAATGTGAAAGTTGGTTGATCATTTCTTATTTTTTCTCTTTTTTTTTTTTTTTTGGGTTATTGAACTTTTTGAAGTAAGCTAAAGTGAACGCGTAATTGATGGAGATTAAGATTTTATGTATGCGGAGATCCGAAAATGCAAAAGATTTCTTGGTTACCACTAAGCATTTGGTAATGCTGTCTTTATAATAATATTGTCATCAACTTTTTGTTGAGTGGTACAGAATTATCATATAATAAGGATTTCTATATAGACATTTGATGAGTTTTCTTAGCTAAATAGATATTTTTTATATTAAGGAACGTTTTAGAGGACATCTAATTACGGTTGATATGTTATTGTGGACATATGTAACGTGGACAGTCATCTAATTAAGTGGTTTTATATCTGATTAAGTAAAATGGAAACTAGTTTTGTCGTAAAAAGTGATGATCCATTGGATAAGATCAATGCCTTGTCAATGTCAAAGTACAAAACACAGGACAAGCCTTATTAAGACCAAAACATTTGTGGTTGACATCTGTTTTAAAAAAAAACAAAAATTCTTTGCATTGTTTGTTGGACTAACACTGGACCTCACCATATGAAAAAAATGGTCATGTGTCGATATAAAACCATTTTTTTTTTTAAGTTACTTTATTCTGACTATCTACAATTAATATATAAACAACAAATGTTTTATGCTTCTGTCATTGATTCAATCAACCAAAGTGGATCTGTCCATCATCGTCTCTATCAATTGAAACATGAGTGTATTGTGCATCTAGATAATAAAATAAAATTGTCAAGTTCGCTAATAATATACATTTGGATGTCCCATATAAGAAGAGTTGGAGTTTCCGAAAGAGATAAAATAACAAAGTAAAAAACCTCGTGGAAATAATAATTGTGTAACAAGAAAATTTCCAAAAAGACGAATCGAAATATTCATACAAAAAAGGCAGATTTGATTTAGAAAGTGAGGTTGGAGGTGATGCAAGTACATCATGCTTTTGTCGGGAAAAAGTAGAGAAAACTATATATGACTTCTTATTATCTGATGTGGATTAACACACTTTTACTTTTCTTTGCGTCTCAATTTTTCGATAACACGTTCTAAAGGCTAAAGCATTTGATGCATGCAGGCTTATATAGTAGTAACAAAATGAGTAGAATATTGATTTGGTATATCGTAAGTAGAAAATAACACCTTGAAATTTAATTAATGACTATAAAGAAATTTTATGAGTTATATAGCCCATGAAGCCCAAATTAAAAGAAGTACCTTTCAATTAAAAAGGCCCAATTAAGAATATATATACGTGACAAAGGTCAATTTTTTTAATGTTTGGTCAAACTATGTTAGCAACTCCGACAAGATTCGTTGCTTTAACAAACCCATTCCGATCTTCTTCCACTAAGATTCCGATCTCCGTTTCTCTCTTTCCCGAAGCTTTTCTTCACAAACCATTGACCAGAGCTTCAGTACATCTTCGTTTCGTAGCGACGATGTCGACCCCTGCCGCTGCCGTCTACGCAACCATCACGCACGTCATTTTCGACATGGATGGTCTCCTTCTCGGTAACTTATTTGTCTTCTTTGATCTTTGTCTCTGTTCGATTTTTGTAATTGGCACTCTTATTATTACTAGTGATTTTTTTTTCATTAGTTCTCTGTTTGATGCGACTAAGGATTTTGGTTTTTTCTTTAAATGTAGTTTCTGTGGTTTTTTTTTTTTTTTTTAATCACTGTGAGTTCTGGTCTGAAATTTGGAAACTTTAGGCTTTTATAAGAATCTGGTTTCTCTACTTAAATTCTAAGAGCATCATTGGTCAATCTAGTTGCGGTTGGTTGATAAGAAAGGTTTAGATCAAGCTGGTCTTTAAGTTGTTCCGGTGAACATGTTTATGTATACTGTTGGCAGATACGGAGAAGTTTTACACTGAAGTTCAGGAAAAGATTCTTGCTAGATACAATAAAACATTTGATTGGTCTTTGAAGGCGAAGATGATGGGGAGAAAAGCCATTGAAGCTGCTAGGCTTTTCGTCGACGAAAGTGGAATCAGTGACTCTCTTTCAGCTGAAGATTTCATTGTAGAGAGAGAGTCAATGTTGCAAGGCCTCTTCCCTACAAGTGACCTAATGCCTGGTACAATCTCTCTTATCTAGTGTTGTAGATAAGTACACATTGTGAAAATTGATTGGTCCTTGTCGATTTTTTAAGCCATTCTTTCTTTTAATGCCTCTGTTTTATACTCTTTTTGAGCTCACTCATTACTCTAAGTATACAAGTGACTAGTAAGTTGCCAGTGTGTTTATACTCTTTTTGCTGTCATTTTCCAATATTCATCCTTTTTTGCAGGAGCTAGCCGACTTCTCAGACATCTCCATGGGAAAGGAATTCCAATTTGTATAGCCACGGGGTATGTCTTTCTGTATCAGCACATTGATTTACATATATATTGATAGATCACTCAGAGGGTGCAAATGGCTTTCTTCAGCTTCTTTGTATTCTTGGCATCTCTGATCTGATTTTTGCTTCTTTTTTGTGATGCAGAACACACACACGACATTTTGATCTCAAAACACAGAGACACCGTGAGCTTTTCTCGTTGATGCATCACGTCGTTCGTGGAGATGACCCAGAGGTGAAGGAAGGGAAACCTGCGCCAGATGGCTTTCTTGCTGCATCCAGGAGGTTTGAGGTAACAGATGGTCTATAAAACTATGCATATAAACCATAGTATAAAAATAAAGAACTCATATTAGCATGATGATGTTTTGAAAGTATTTTTGTAAGTTAATGTTTCCCTCTTCTTTGCTGAATTCATAGGACGGTCCTGTAGATCCACGGAAGGTTCTGGTTTTTGAGGATGCACCTTCTGGAGTCCAGGCAGCTATAAACGCTGGAATGTAAGTGGATTTCTTGTAACAGCTTCCAAGTTCTCATTAGTGGTTCATGTCGACCCTTAAAAGGCTAAACTATTGTCTTTGAATGGTCTGTGTCTTTTTGTGCAGGAATGTGATAATGGTACCGGATCCAAGATTAGATAAGTCTTACTGCGGTGCAGCGGACCAAGTTCTGGCCTCTCTGCTAGATTTCAAACCAGAGGAATGGGGCTTACCTTCCTTCCAGGATTCACACAACTAAACCTTTAAGCTTTTCAAAGTAACGTTATCCTCAATCTAACGATACTTGACTGGTTGACTTTGATTCTTTAGCAGATTCAAGCCTGTACGTGTACCCTATACTAGAAAGATCATTGCAAATTGTAGTTCTTATTGGTGTCATTTGAAATAAAATATTACTTTCTAATACAATTCTTCTATTTTATACATGGCTCATGACCATATAAATTCATGTGGTAGCCAAATTCGTAAGCAAGTCTTTTGCTACGATTTTTGTAGAAACCGACATGATTGGTACATGTCATTGAATGTTAAAATCAAACCCAATTGGACATCTCTACCTAACCAAAATTGTAACATATCTTCCACAAAGAAACTTCAATGATTGCTACAGGCGAATATTTTAGTTTCGTCGTTTGTAGTTAACGTACTTACATAATCAGAAGATTCAGAATTGAGGTCAGCACAAATACAACCAATAGATTACAAGAATATCTTAAGCAAATGTAAATATGTAAACAACGTAGCATCATCTTCGAAGAAGTGTTATTGATTTCTTTGTGTCATATTAATATGTTTTCCCACTCGTTAATCATTACTAATTATTATCAAATTATTTCTCTATCATCGTTATTGAAACTTTTGGTAATTGATAAGCATATAAGTACAAGTGATTTTTGAGGATCAGATCATTTGATAATTAAAGAGGACGCAAAGTTTGGCAAATCTTTACTCTATGTCTAAGCATTCACGTGCGCTTATGAACCGTCCAACATCAAAGTTTACTAACGTGCGCTTCGTATCAAAGCTTACATAGATTTGGCAAACTTTGATTTATTCTCTTGAAAACTATATGCTTAATATTTGCTGTTTATAGTAAAGAATTGTGCACCTATCAATTTTCCGATATATATGATGCGCCAACCCATATTTAATCGTAGTTGATTAGAGGGGACGTTATAGCCATCTTCAAGATTAACAATAATACTTAAATGTAACTGATTGACCACAAAAAGAAAGAAAAAAAGAAACACAAACTGTTTTGATGGTAAAAGTCACGTAAATGAAGTATTTAGTTCAAAGTGATATTTTTTTCTTTTCATTTTTGTTAACAACAGGTAATATGCGGTTTTGAATAAGGCACAAACCATTACGTTACAAGTTCTGCTCGTTGCAAAGTAATATAGATACATGAATCTTATTTCTTGATGGTATATTGTATAATATATGGTACCTTTCCCGTGCAAAAGCAATTGAGTCATTGAAGTATTAAGCAATATAGAGTCTCTATTGTATAATACAAAGTCAAAACCCCGCCATTACATCATACGTATAAACTCATGTAATATATATACGTACACATCAACTTGGTCATTCATATATCCTTACGTTCCATCTTCTATACCGGACAAGAATATCTCTATCTCTATCCCTACATATATAGACCCATATTATTCATCAAAACCCTTAGGCACACATCTTCCTCTGATCTCTTCTCTTTCTCCTAACATAAGCATCACGCCAAGAGCCGCATATACGAATCAAGAACACAGCATAATTAACTCTCATCGCTAGCCCTAACAATGGAGAAGGATACATGCAAGGAAGGTCGTTCAACTTTCTCGAGAAACTCATCTATCGGATACTACGATGATCGGAGGTCAGAGGGTGTTCCGTTCAAGTGGGAGATGCAGCCAGGGACTCCCATTAAATCGCAGCCGCAGGAGACTGTTCCTCCATTAAGTCCTCCTCCAGCGATGCTCAGCCGCGGCCTCCCAAAGCCATCCATCTCCATCGAAGAGCCAAAGAGCTTTGTGTTTCCATCGAAGCTGAAGCTGAAGCTGCGGAATTGGAAACATCTTCATTGCAAAAGATATTTTTCTAGATTGACTAACAAAATGGTTTTGTCTTCCATTTGTTTGTACCCTGAGAAACGCTAGATGGCCAAATTATTAATTATTTCTTTGAAACTAGGCCCAATGTTTTTTATTTTTTAAAGTCATAATAACAATATTTTTTGAAAAGTTATTAAGCCATATAGGTTTTATTATCTAAACAGCATTTTGCTGTATGTTAAGAAATAGATAACGTTACGTTATGAAGAAAAACCCGTATATTCAATTCTTATAAATCTTTTAATTATCAGTGTTGACAAAAATAAAGTCGTTTATCAGTAAACCAAATGAACCAATCTCGAGCTAGATCTAGCGAATACTACAATTATAATTTATATCAGAAGCTATCAAATCTTTTTTTTTGTCATCTTTTTTTGCTATCAAATCAAATTGTAAAAAATTGTCTAAAAATTGGATGGTGTAATTTTTCTCTAGTTTTGAGCATAATTAAAGCTTATAGTAAACTAGTAGTTGAAACTTGTCACTATAAATGCAAAGTTATACAATGGTCGAAGGGTCTACAAAAGAGAAACTGAAGTACTAGTTCCCTAGTTTTTTCTAGCATTACGGAACTACCATAATTTGTCAAAATAAAAAGCTGGTTAATATAAGAAAACTTGAAAGGGGGAAAAGTGAAATCTTTATTTAGATGCTTTAATACTAATTCAGATGAGTTGAATAGGTAGCCACTAGCCAATTCAGAAACGAAGATGTCGTCTTCATTAACCCGGACCAATACGTGTCGAAATTGAAGCAATCCAAATATTTTTTCTCATTTGTTTGTCAGAAAAATTAACGCATGCACGGAAAACTATTTTTTACATTATAAATTGCATTTTCTTTTACAGCCTCAATTAGTAATTAAAACGTAAAATTTCAGAAAACTAATTTTAATAATCACTTTACTCTACAAAACGATACTTCTAACATGAAAGTTAAAAACACATGTGGCATCTCAACTACTCACTGCATTCATTTACCTAACCATGCATAATTATTTATTGTTCTATTCTAGTATAAAATTTTACACATATAAAAATATAAGACAATGACACAACTGAATGCTAAACAATACCGACTTAAACTCCAAGTGAACTAAACCGACGAAGCAAAAATCTAGGACCATTCCCCAAAGTACAACACACACAAATCGGCCACGATCTTAAGCGAACGATGAGATATTAAATGACGAAGAGATGGACCTAACGACCAACGCTTTCTCCGAATCATAGTTAATGCTCACCCAACTCTTTTCTTTAGTTATCATCTCTCTCTCTATTGACATTTGGCATAGTTTCATTTATATAAATAGAGCCAAAAGATTGAGAGTTGTTTCTTCAGGTTCTGTGATGAAGAGTCTTTTCACTCTTTAGTTTTGTGAGTTTTTCTTTCGTTTTGTACATCGAACAGACTCACTGGTTATTTCTTCCTTTCTTGATCAAAAAGATTCAGATATAGCGTTTCTGAATCAACAGCGTCACAATATGGTAAGTGGGTTATTATGTCGTCTATCACACTTGTAAAACACTTTTAACAACTTTTAATAACTTTCTAACAACTTCTCAAATGGTTTTATTATAAAAAGTTCTCAAATAGTAAGTGGGGCATAAATAATTCGTTTTTCTAATCTTTAATATTTTTTTGTTTGATGATTTTAACTGTTAGACATATATAGTACAATCTAATGAAGATTAATCTTAGTCTTTTTATAACACAAAATCCTGAATTAATGAAATCGTAGCATATTGTTTGGTACGCTCTCTTGATAAGTGCCGTATTTTCTTGATATCTTTCCATCTTAGTCATGACAGTTTTTTAATCAAGCCAAAGGGTGAGTACCTTGAAGCCAGTTTTTCAACCATTAATTTAGGTGTTTGGGTTTGACTTATAGATTCATTCATTTTTGTTGTGTAAAGGCAGAAGAAGAAGAAGAACGGAGAAGGCACCTTGTGCTGGCCAAACCTTTTTCGTTGGAAGATGAAAATAATTCTGAGCACACAGCTTCTAACGTAATCCGCAGGATCCTCAGCCTCTTTAAGAACGTGCGTCCAGGATCCGATCTCACCAATTTCCAGGTGTAATATCTTAGAAAACCTTGTTGATGTAAATTTTTTTTGTTAAGTAGAAATAAGTAGCGATATTAATTAATTAACCATGTGCAACCTTTATAGTAAAACGTAATACCCATATGTTACTCTCTAAACAGTTGAACATATGTAGATTATTAATTTTTGGTACAAATCAAAAGTTATATTTTCCAATTTATTGATTTATTTTCTTTGAACGTAAAGCTGCCACCTCAACTGAACCTACCTAGATCACAACTCCAGTGTTACGGCGAGATGATCTACAGCCTCGGGGGTCAGGATCTGCTCGGGGCATGCAGCCGTCGCGATCTTCCTATCGAACGGCTTAAATCGGTTGTGACGTGGAACATCTCTACACTCCGTCCGGTGGTCTTTGGCATGTCTCCGTACAACCCCGTTCTTGGCGAGACTCACCACGTCTCCAACGGTTACATCAACGTCATTGCCGAACAGGTATTATCATTTTGTTGGATAAATAAGTATATTCATTACAATTACCAACGGGGACATACAAATTTAATAAGCAAAGTTCACTAGATAAAGACAGAGATATTTTTTATATGATTTTTTATGGGGATCTTATAATTTCCAAAATACCAAGCTTTTGAAAAGAGTCCAACATTGGTATTAATTAATACATCGTTAGTTTTCAGGTAGTGCATCATCCTCCCGTGTCCGCACTTCATGCGACTCACGAAAAAGAAAATATCGACGTGATGTGGTGTCAATATTTCACTCCTAAATTTCGTGGTATGTCTATTTTATTTTCTTTCATTTTAATGTAACAGTCCTATGGTTGCTGCTACAACAACAATTATCTCAAAAGTCAAAACTAAGTCTAGTCTTGAATAATCCGTCCAAGAACATTACTAACTCAAATACGCGTTCGGTTTCCTCCATAACCGAACCATGCATGATATATGCGTCTCGTACGTCTTGGTTCCGACGTCTTATTGACTTATGCACCTACCAATTTTATGGTTCACAAGGCACTTACGTGGATGTTGAGGTAAAGGGTAAAAGAGTGATGAAGCTTCTCAATCGAAAAGAGACTTATGAGATGAACCAACCGAGACTAATTATGAGATTCTTACCGACCCCTGGAGCTCACTGGGCAGGTAAAGTCAAGATTAAGTGTCCGGAGACGGATCTTGAAGCTGAGTTGAATTTGATATCCGATTCCTTCATCGAAAGATTCAGAGGCAACAAAAATAGATCAATTAAAGGAAAGATCTTTGAATCTTCCACTGGTAATCAGCTCTACAACATCTTTGGCCATTGGGACAGGTAAAACACATTAATCATAAACTCATTGTTACAGCTCTTAAAAAAACATCATAAGATGTACGAATGATGCCATTAACATATATCCAATATAAAATGTTTCAGAACAGTAATGGCCAAAAATCTGAAGACTGGCGAGCTCGAGGTTATCTACAATGCCAAGGAGAATATAGCAGAACTCAAACCTCCAACCGTCAAGAATCCGAAGGAGGTAATGGAGAGCGAATCTGGGATAATATGGAGTGAAGTAAGTGAAGGAATACTCAAGAATGAGTGGGAAAGCGCAAGAGAAGCTAAAAGCCTTGTGGAGAAGAAACAGAGAGAGTCTCTGAAACAGAGAGAGGCTTCAGGTGAGTTATGGGTTCCAAAACATTTCTCAATGGTCAAAGATGGTAAAGACTGGGACTGCTCACCGCTACACTCCACGGTCCCTCGGGCTCCGCTCGTCGTCACAGAGGCAGAAGGAGAAACCATAAACCAGTTTCAAGATAACAACAATCTATGTTGATATTAGTTTTAAGTTATTTTACAATTAAAATGTTGTTATAAAAAAAAATAGATCGATAACTATAAAATGGGAATGGTGTTTTTGTCACTTCATGAGGTTCAATGTACGAGCGGTACCTCAGGTTTTTGAGAAACTTCTCAAATATATATTAGGGGTATTTTCACATCCCTTATAACAGAAAAATATATATTGTTTTTTCCTATACAAAAATTATCCAATTCTAAAAAAATGAAGATTCATCATTCATCAATATACTTCTCTAATACGTGATGGTGACCATATAATATACTCTTAAGGAGGTGTATTCAATTAAGCAGCATGTAATTATCTGTGCGAAAATAACAAATCAATTTACATCTCCACCATAATTTATTACTACAGGTAAGCATTAATTAATTAAGCAAGCCTGAAAACATGGATCTAACGACTAACGCCCCTCCGATCCATATAGTTAATGCTAACCAAACTCTCTCTATTGTGATATTCTATCTATGTTTCTAGCATTCTATATAGATGGAGCAAATAGATTAATAGTAATTATCACACTATGTACTGTTATGTTATACAGAGTGTTTTATTTTGACTCTGGTTTTTGAGTTTTTTTCAGAGTCGGTTTTATTTACAGATATAGTTTCATCTCAGAAATATAAATTGTTTCTTCTTCAGCAACTCCTATAATGGTAATTAGGGATCATACACTTTTTTGGGTCAAGAAGTGAGTCATGCACTTAGATTAATGTACTTTTTGGTTGTGTGCAGGCAGAAGAAGAAGAAATGAGAAGGCACCTTGTGCTGACCAAACCTTTTTCCCTGGAAGATGAGAAAGATAGTGAGCACACAACTTCGAATGTCATCCGCAAGATCCTTAGCCTCATTAAGACTGTACGCCCAGGATCTGATCTCGCCAATTTTCAGGTGTAACTTCTTATGTATATGTTACATATAGGTTTTTAATTATGATCCATATTCTCCGTAAAAACTCGCGTCATTTGTCCATAATATCATACATATGCATTTGTTAAGATTAAGTGTCCGGAGATTGATCTCGAAGCTGAGTTGAATTTGATATCTGATTCCTTCATTGAAAGGTTCAGAGGCAACAACAATAGATCAATTAAAGGAAAGATCTGTCAATCTTCCTCTGGTGATCAGCTCTACGACATCTTTGGCCATTGGGACAGGTAAAACACATTAATCATAAACTCATTGTTACAGCTCTTAAGAATATAAGAAGCTGTGATGTGATGTCATTAACATACCATAATGTTACAGAACAGTAATGGCGAAAAATTTGAAGACTGGTAAGCTCGATGTTATATACAATGCTGAGGAGAATATTAAAGGACTCAAACCTCCAATAGTCAAGAATCTGAAGGAGGTAATGGAGAGTGAGTCAGCGATTATATGGAGTGAAGTAAGTCAATGAATACTGACGAAAGAGTGGGAAAGCACAAGAGAAGCAAAGAGAGCTGTGGAGGAGAAGCAGAGAGAGGCTTCTGGTGAGTTGTGGGTTCCCAAACATTTCTCAGTAGTCAAAAAGGGTAAAGACTGGGATTGCTCACCACTACAGCTCACGGTTCCTCGGGCTCCACTCGTCATCACAGAGGCGCAAGAAGGAATCATAAACCGGTTTCAAGAATTCAAAACTCTCTGTTGATGATAGCTTAAGTTATTACAATTCCATGTAACATAAAGCCAATTGATAACGACTGAACCAGCGGGGAAATCGCAAAATGGAACACTTATAACCAAAACTTTCTGCTCTAATTGCATATAACAGGCTCTCAGTTTCATCAAGAGACATAAAATTCCAAGAATAATTTCAGTTTCTTCAGAAAATTTACAGTAACTTAAAGATCCACCTCTGAGACATATCTGGAAAATAATTAGGTCCAAGAATCGTGTGTTTGGTTCAAGCATCCTCTCTCAGGCAGCTATGCTTGTGTAGTTTGGGAAGAGGTTGACCAATGTGTCGAGAGCATCGGGATGGAACTTCCTTGCAAACAGATAACAAGGCCGTGTAATCCCGTTCCATGTACAAGGCCAATGCAGCTCATCTCCATGCTTTAAAATCACAAGTAGAAGTATTAAAGAGAGAACAAAAGAACAGAGGCTGTGAGGGAGAGTCACAATAACGTACCTCGCCCACGCTGGTAACATGTACACTCATGTCCTCGGACTGCACAAGAGAGAAAAGAGAAAAGTATAATACCATGCTGACTGACAATTTCAAAAAAAATGTATTCTGAAACATACCGAGACGTTTTTCATGAACTCTAATGAAATCTCGTTTGCTGCGTATGTCTTTGGATGCCACCTTCGTTCAGACCAATCAACATAAGTCACTGACCAGTTTGAGATCCCCATGGGATCAATCATCTGAAAGAAGAGCCAGCAAATAAACATGTTTCAGCTGCAAGAGGGGTGAAAAGATTGCAAACGATGGAGTGTGAAGAAGAATAGCCTCACATTGAAGAATGTTGGCAAGTAGTGTTCATCAGCAATGCAGTTCTTGTCGGCCTCTATTCCAGGCTGATATTTATAGAAACTTAATTTCAGAATCAGAACTCAAAACGAAGAGGACTGAAACTTTTTATTGAGTTCAAAATCTCAAAAGAACCAAGATCAAAAAGCTACAATATGAAACCAAAATTGTTCAGCTGCAGGACAAAACTTACTCCACAATACTCGCGGAATTTTGAGTAGTAAAGACCATCGGCCATCACTATAATTGCGTGTTGTCGCTTCATTGTGAACCACTAGCAAGAAGGAAACACAAAAATTATACAGCGAGAAGTGACAAAAACTCAATTTTGTTTCGTTTTATCGCAGTAGCAGCATACTCATTAAGACAAGCTCCTAGAGATTAAGTCCTTACCTGAGCACCTTTTCTAAAATCTTCCCTGGCGATTTCTGGTAGCATGTGTTCCATATGTCTACCGGTCCCATGTGGACCAGGATCCACAAAACTTGAGAAACAGAGAGATCATAGAACTTTGTGTCAGTGAATATTAATGGGGAAAATCCAATTGTTTTTTTTGTTCTAAGAGAGTAATGTACCTCTCAATGAAACTAACGTTGGAGTAGAGCAAATATCTATAAGTGTAGTCGAAAGTATGCAACGGTATACAACTGCCAAGAAAATAAATTTGACGTGATCAGCTAGTACAAAAAACCTTAATTAGGACATTTAAGCAACATTGGATCATTACCTCTCTGAAACAAGAACAAAGTGTTGGTTGTCAGGATCTTCAAGAGCGCTAACCAGTAAACGCTTCTCGGCATCAACCATAGAAATCCTTCCCCAAGTAACCTCATCACTGTGGATCTCCCGATCAGAAAAGTGACGGCTGATGTGAACTGGTCGTTCCTTTGACGGGTGGATGTAAATAGAGAACTTCCCTTCATGACCCTTCACAACACCAAAGACCCTCAATAAATCAATGAAATGTAGCTAACAGTTGGACATTGCATCGAGGTATGTGTTACCTTGAAAAATTCATCCCAGAGCTTCTCAAATGGCAAAGTACCAGGAGTCAAGAACAAGAAAGCGATTTTGGAGTTTGCGGTTATGAAGGGAGGCGTTCTTAGTATGTCTCTGACCACTGCTCGAGCTGCTACCTCCTCATCAGTGAACTTCCTGACATGAACAGGTAGCCACGCGGAGAGAGCATCCTCGCAGCCTCTAGTGCTATAGAGACCATGACAGGAGGAGCTCTTGCCGTGTTTTGGGTACATGTGAGTACAGATCAGAAGCATGCTGGTCACTGAAACTGTCAAAACGACCCATAAGGGCTTCTTGAGAGATGTGTGGTGGTGGTGACGTGGCCCCTGCAACATCTTCTGCGTCTCACCCATTGAAACCAGTCTTAACACCTCCCTTCTCCTTTCTAGCTTATAGGCATACAAAAGCTTGAATCTTTTTTTCACTTCTGCATATACTTCTTTTAAATTGGCATTGACTGAAGTAATATAAAAAAAAGATCGAAAGATTTTATTGATCTATTGAAGAACAAGAACAAAGGACGCTGAGAGATTAATATATCCGGGAAACACGGAGAGATTAAAGTGATGTTTCAAACTAATCTTAAGAAGAAAGCTCCTTCAGAAAGAAGCAATAAGCAAAATGCAGCACGTTGTTCCCGTGATTCAGGAAATGCAGGACATTCCTCCTAAACTCTCTCTAGCACACGTACGAGCTAAACAAGTCTAAATCTAGTGAGTTTTTCTCCGACCAGACTAAAGTCAGAAGCTACAAATCCCAGATTCAACTTCTTAGTAGCAAAATGAAGTCACTGTAGCTGGCAAAATCAGTTAAAAAGAGTTAAAGAAAGACAGTAACCTCGAGGTGAATCGAAACGGTAGAATGCAGAAAGACAGAATCTTTGTCCGAACCCAGATCTCAAAAAAGTCGAATTTGATCCTCTTCGTTAAGATCTAGGGCAAAAAAATAAAACCCAGAAGGGTTGGATTCAACGAATGTGAGGGTCCAAAGAGAGAGGGACGCTAGAGGGAAAGTTTCCTTTTTTGCTTTTCTAAGGGAAAAATAAATAAGTCTTTAAAAACATGGAGACACACACACACAAGTGGAAGACGATTCAGATCGTTTTTGGTTTCTTTTATACCTGAGTAGTACTGCTTCCTCTCTCTTTAGAGTTTGAAATAAAAGAATTGAAGAAGAAGAAGAGACTTTTTGGTGAAACCAACAAGTCTTCTTCTCTCAAGTGATTAAATTCGAAACCAATTGAGAGACTACATTATTAAAACACTGGCTTTCCATTTACTCCAATAATTTCTATTAATTTCTTGTTATTAAACTAGCTATATAAAAGTCCCAAAAGAATCTACATTTCTATTTTGTTTTGGATTTGAGTTGGCTTCACGACTCTAGAACCTCTTTCTAATTAAATTTTCATTTTTTTAGCCACCTTCTTTTATTAAACAAAACAAATAATGGTACTACTATTCATTCATTTTTATATATGTATGGGCAAATGGAAAACAAAAATAGTCCAAGTGGGTATAAAAAATAACGAATTTTAATAGCTCTATCATCGCTCTTGACTTGACATTTCATGACAGTCGCCGCTTTGTTCCTTCCACGATGGCGAAAGATTAGACTATTTAGTAGAGTTGTTGCTGTTGCCTATATAGCCGATTAGGCCATTAAGCCAATTCGTCTTTTTTTTGTTCTTAGTGACAGCTAAATCTGAGAAATTAAGAAGCCTGAGTATTTTGGTGTACTAAATTGAAATGAGTGGGGGCATCATAAGAGTTACATGGAAGTTTGAGGAATCTGTCTCCTAGCATCATGAGCCTAAACGGAACAAAATGCATCAAAAGATTAGACTGGTGAAAACAGGATATTCATCTTTCAACTGTCTTATCATTGTCCAATTTGGACGGTAATGGGTGACGGGATTAATGAATCACTTATCATGAACAACGAATGATTTTAGCATGTGATTATGTTTTGAAAGAAAACAACAAAATTGAACAACAACAGCTAACAAGTAGTAGACAGTTTTTATTTATTTATTTATTTGAAGTATGGTTTCCATAACATTTTCTTTGTATTTGTATATGACTTGTGGAAATTTCTTGATACAAGTACAAAACAAATACATAGAAAATTCCGTTTATTTTAGATGTCGATGGATACATATAGATTTGGATAGTAGTTTTTTCTCTCTAAATTAAATGGACGATAGATACATTTCGTCTGCTTGAATATTACTATGTTGAAGCCATGAAAGTGCCTCATTCCATAATATTTGCAGTCACATATGTTTAGAATACGATGACCAAAGTCAACCAATATAACTTTCTATAAGAATTTCAGTTATTATAAAATCATTTGGACTAGTTTAAAACCAACAAAAACCTAAAATCTATACAGCATAAAATGGTAATCATATTCACTTATAAATCATGATAATATCCTCATGAAAAGTAATCCAAAAGAAAGTTCAAGAATTATGAAAGATAGGAACATTCACCAGTAATATCCCAAAATCTCTTTTTTAACAAGATGATCAAGATCAATGGTCATTCAAATGGATCATGATTAATCCCACATCTCACTCTCAGGTTTTAGTAGACACCATTTTCTTTTTTATCTGATTTTGGACATAGCAAATCAGCAAAAATGTGAGTGCAAGTTTCTACGGGTTGTGTGTTGTGTGGGCTCTTTGGGAACACAAACAAAGTCAAAAAGGTTAGAAAATGATCAGGTTTGGGTATATATCCTGTTTTAGCTATGAATCGCATTTTCTTTTACAAAAATCAAACTCGCTTTTTTTAGCAATTCAATTCAACGTTTTTCTTTTCTTTTCTTTTGGGTTAGTTTACTTCCTCAATAAATTATTTACTTTGACAATATCTAATTTTGTTTGTACATGTTTCAGACTTTTTTTTGTAATTCTTGCTTCTTTTTTTTTTAACTACTTGTTGGTGACAAAAAAAAACCAATTGGGGTTTTAAATATGCTAAAAAAAAGGTTTTAAAAATGCTTAAAAGATATGCTTTTGCTGGTTAAATATAAAAATCTACTTGATGTTTTATGAAAAGCTTTAAAGATATATTCTTATTAGTTTTTTTAAATGTCTACATTTTCTCACACATATAAAAGAAAAAAACTATTCAGGTACATTAATATTAATACGAATTTATGAAAACTAGATATCATAATTCAAATTTAAACATACTAGCATGGAATAGAAATTGGTTTAGAAAATTTTATTAATCACTAATTAGTTGTAGTTAGACTAACCATGACTTAATCACCCAAAAAAAAATGTAAAATGAAAATAAAAATAAAAAGAAGAAGAAATGATACCATTGGTTAAAAAACCGATAATGCTTAGAAAAAATAAAAAGTCAAACTCCATAAACTTCGCGGAAAAAGAAAGGATCCGTAATGGTGGAAATATATGGATTTTATTTTTGCCATTACCGGAAAAAAATCCAAACATTTAAAAATCAGCACTGACTTAGCCAAAGATGGTCACTTTTATCATTCACTTCTCTCTTTCTCTCTTTCTCTCTCTCCTCCTCCTTCCTTGTCTCTCTGAGCACCAGAATCTAGGGTTTCTCAACAGTGAATCTTTTGCTTCCTCCTCTGTAATCGCCTTCTGGTAAGTCACTCTTTCACCTCACTCCCCGTGCACCTCTTGTGCTCTCTTTAGCTCTAAAACCTCTTTCATTTCTAGGGTTTGTTTTTTTGTGACTACACAAGTCTAAATATTTTTCATTTCCGTTCGTTCTAACTTACACTCTGTTTCTCCTTCTCTCTCTGCCTCTCCTCTGGGTTTCTTTTCCTTTACCTAATGCGTGGACCATTTACTTGGTCATGTATCTCTGCTTGTAGCTATATCTTAAGACTTTTAAAGTTTTGCTATTGCTTCTTCTGTTGTCTTTTACTTTAAAGTTCTAAACTTGAGGAAACCAAGTTCTGATTAGAACCTATGTGTGTCATTTGCTTGTTTGCTCGCCATGGTTGAACGATTGGCTTGTTTAAATTTCGTTCCTTTTTGTGGTGATTTTGATTTCGTTGGTGATTAATTTGTGTACAAGGAGCTTTCTTCTTCTTCTTCTTCTACTGTTTCTTCTTCTTCTTCTTCTACTTCTACTGTTTCTTCTTCTTCTTCTTCAGGTATCTGTGTTAAAGCTCCCTTCTTTATTGTAGAAGAGCAATACCCTTGGAGAAATGGCAACTGAGAATCCTATTAGGATGTCTGGAAGCAATGAAAGATGGTCTAATTCCAGGCAGGCTTCTGTGCCGAATCGAAGTGGAAGTGCTCCACCGAGCATGGAGGGATCTTTTCTAGCTGTGGATAATCTATTGTCAAGACAGGGCGGCTCGGGTTGTAATAACTTAAAGCTACCGAGTTACGGTTTTGAGGACCCCGTGACTACTCATCCTTCTTATTCTTCTAAACACAGCCTTAACCGCATACCTTCTCCACCGATTTATTACCCTACTGAGTATCAGTTCATAGACAATCGTGTAGGTAGATTTAGAAGTAACAAGGGATTGAATAAAGTTAATTCTCCCAATCATTTGTCCCAAGTTTCACTTTCTACTCACAAGGAAGTGTCTGAGGATGAAATCTCCCAACAGTTCTCTGTTAATAGTGTTTCAGATAGGACAAATGGGTTGGAAAATCGTCCTGGTTCTCAAGGTTTGGACGATTTTAGGCAGGTTCGGTTTCACTTTCTTTACCTTACTTCTCATTAATAACTTGTTTGTGAGTAGTGAAATGTCATTCTTTAGCTCTATAATAAGTTATAATTGAATCTTTTTTCATTGCAGGATGATAGTTCTTCTGGGCCGACCCCTCAACATAGTAGGTCAAACTCTTCAAATGGTGAAATGAACACAGCGGATGAAGGTGGTAACTTCTCGGAGATATCAGATGATGTCATGGTTAAAGATAATGCTGCTTCAATGACAAATGCTTCCATTGGCATTGAGAAAAGTCTTGATGAATCCACTATCATCGCTAAAATGAAGAATACTAACATATCTGGATCCGGAACGGCTAAATACCCTCGAGAATCAAGGTCTACAAGGCCAGAAAGGCAGCTGCACCAACAGCAAAATAATGTAACTTGGATTCAAAATGGCGGCAAAATGGGTTCCCATGGCATAAATGATGCAGTTACCGGGACTGGACAGTTTCATTATGGACAACCTTACAAGTTCTCAAATGATGGTCAGCCTGTGCTTCAGTCTTCAGGTTTTACGCCGCCTCTGCTTTACACTGCTACCCAAACGGCGTATATGACTTCACCAGCTCATGTCTATAACATGCAGTCTCCTGCTGTTTATTCTCCTCAGTATGGCTATGGACCATACAGTAACATGATCCCTCAGTTGATGCCTGGATACCCTTCCCATGGTTCTGTTCCACTTATTGTCAGTCCAGAATTTATTCCTCAATTGTCGGCGCCAAGTCCGGGAAGTGTAGTCCACGGAGGTGAAATGCAGTATGCAGGACAACCTTCTTTTCCAGATCCTATGTATATGCAGTACTGTCAACAGTCATTTGGGCAGATGGAACCACTGGCTCCTAGGAACCACAAGAATGCTCCTGAGTCACAGAAAGATGATCCGAAATTCCTTCGACAAATAAGAGGGCCAAGTAACTCTAATATGGGTAGAACGGGAATGGGTGTTAATTATTATGGAATGCAGCCAAATATGGGCATTATGGTGCAGTATCTGCCTACACAGCTCGGCCCTCCTTCACCGGGTCCTGTTCCTTATGTTGAGGCATATCCTGGATGGCAGCCACAGGGGAGCCTGGAAGGTGTGAATGGCCCACGATTGTGCAACTTTCTTGAAGAGCTGAAATCTGGGAAAGGCAGGAGGTTCGGTTTGTCTGACATCACAGGACACATTGTTGAGTTCAGGCATGTTTTGATCTTTCCTTCACGAGTCTTTTCTTGGGTTTTCATCCTAATCAGATGATAACTAACTTGAGTATAATCTTGTTTTCTTTCAGTGCGGATCAACATGGGAGCCGATTCATTCAGCAAAAGCTTGAAAATTGTAATCCAGAAGAAAAAGCAGCTGTCTTCAGAGAAGTTCTTCCTCATGCTTGCAAACTAATGACAGATGTGTTTGGTAATTATGTCATTCAGAAGGTTTGTTCCTACTCGGTCCTATGTCTTAAAAATTTTTATACTGTACCCATTTTATTGATTTTTCTGCGATTCTTTCAGTTTTTTGAGTACGGAAATTCAGCACAGAGAAAGGAACTTGCGGATCAACTCATGGGGCAGATAATACCACTTAGTCTGCAAATGTATGGTTGTCGCGTGATTCAAAAGGTACACAAATCGCTTTGTTTGGAACTGTACTTTGTTAAAAACAACTGACTCATTGAGTGAAACTTTGTTATGGTGTTAGGCTCTTGATGTCATAGAACCTGATCAGAGAGTTCGTTTAGCACGTGAACTTGATGGGCAGGTCATGAGATGTGTTCGAGACCAAAATGGAAACCATGTGATCCAGAAATGCATTGAGAACATCCCCGGAGACAGAGTTGGGTTCATGCTATATGCATTCCGTGGTCAAGTTTCCTCGCTCTCTATGCATCCTTATGGCTGCCGTGTCATACAGGTACTTAGCACTTAACTAGACGGCTTTTCCTTCTCCTGTTCTTGATTTTTCTCATTGTCTCAAGAACCATGCGGCTTCACATTTTCTTTTCCCTTCTGTATAGAGGCTTTTGGAGCGGTGCTCACATGAGCATCAGTGTCGGTTCATTACCGAGGAGATATTGGAATCAGTATGTGTCCTTTCCAAAGACCAATATGGTAACTATGTCACACAGGTATGTGTACCATTTGGGACTTACAAAACATGAACTGAAGTCAAATTAGACTAAACACGCCACAGTTCATTTCATCAAATCACCACTTAACGCAAAAGTTACTATTTGGCAGCATGTCTTGGAGAAAGGGACGTCTGAACAAAGAGAGAGAATCGTGAGAAAACTGTCAGGGCACATCGTGCAGCTTAGCCTCCATAAATTTGCATCAAATGTTATCGAGAAGTGTCTGGAGTATGGTGGTCGAATTGAGCGGGATCTCATCATTAAAGAGATTGCGGGGCCTGATGAGAGCTATGATAGTCTATTGGTGAGAGCTTGTGAACCGAACCTGTACACTTCCTTCTTTAACTGATTGGATATTAACTGTAAGCCACTTTTAACAGATGATGATGAAGGATCAGTATGGAAACTATGTGGTGCAGAAGATATTCGAGACATGTACTGCTGATCAGCGTGCAACATTGTTCAGCCGAGTGAGAACGCATGCTTCTGCATTGAAGAAATACACATATGGGAAACATATTGTTACTCGGTTGGAACAGCCCTTTGGTGAAGGTACTAAAATTCCTCAACTTTAGACAAGTTCAAATAGGAAGGTGCACAATTACAAAACTTTGGAACAAAAAGGCTTTTCTCTGTGATGTTGTATAAGCTGAAACAGGGCGAAGTAAACAATCAAATAGATTTTATAAAAAATAAGCGGTGTAGCACAAGACTGATCTTGGTTGTTGTTTCTGCAGAAAATCGAGAATTGAGATGATGAGCGGCTCTTCTGATTAGAAGGCAGTGGCTGACTCGGATTTACTCATACAATTCGCTTTTCATGAAAGCTGGATATTCATTTGGGAAGATTTTAGATGATTGTGAAGGATCTTGTTGTTTACTTTTGAACTTTATCATAGCCGTTGTGATGATTGTGTGGCATCTCGTAAATATTCATAAATGTATCAGTAGTTTACTTAAGATTTTTAACTGGTTTGTGGATTTTTCACTAAGACAATTCGAAATTTTCTTAGACAGTATTTACCAAAGTCAAATATTACATGTTTATCGTCATTGAGGCCTCCCCCTTCCGTAATCTGTTTTACGACACTCTGTTTTGAGCCAATAATTTTGAGGTTCTTCTAACAAGAGGAGCAAAGTAACATATGATCGAAAGAGAAACTTGTCATTGAATAGAATTAAAGCAAAGTAGCATATCACATGACAGTAGAAGAAACACCCCACAAAAATTGGAAGCTCAAACTAAAACCTCCTCCAAGTTACAATTTCCATATTAACCAAAGAGATCGAATCCGAAGTCTCCTTCTTCCTCTTCTGATTCTTCTTTCTTCTTCTCATCTTCCTTAGGGGCAGCTGCAGAGTCACCTGCACCACCTCCACCACCACCTGAGGCCGCTCCTCCAGCAGAGAATCCTCCACCAACAGCACCACCGACAATTACCTACGCCACAAGAAATTGATTGTAATTGATATCAACAACAAGAAATTAGAATGCAGAAACAAGAATGATTCACTAGACTTGACTTGTATTAGTTGCAGAGCCGTGTAGTCAGCTACTAGAACAGAGTAGGCTATCAAAATGCATATTGAGTGATTAGCTATTACAAAGCTGTAACCTTTTTATGTCTTAGTGTTAATGTCCCAGCTATAAAACAAGCTACATTGACGCAAAATCACATTCGATGCAATTGGCACTTGGATCACTTAAACAGCTCACTAGAGAGTATCAATTCTCACACAGTGATTCCAATTTAAAAAAAATAGTTGATCGTAAAAGGTAAGCTTGATGGAGCAAGAGAGACTTTATAATACCTGGCATACGGCCGAGGTAGGGGAGACAAGAGAAAACGAAGACTGAACGCCACCGGGTGAATCGGCGGAGAGAGCAGTTTGGACGAGCTTGCGCACGAGCTCGTAGGTAGAAGAAGCGGAAGCCTCAAGGTCACCCTCGTGTTGCTTCGCGGTCCATGATCCGCCGCCATGTCTGCACACGAACGTGAATACTCCCATCTTCTTAAAATTCAGGAAAAAAATGGAGTGACGATCAAGTTCGTTTTGTTGTTATATACTATGATGAGCCCTAGTTTAAGTTCTTTGTGGAAAAAGACGGGTTACCCATATTGGGCTAACAGGCTTGATGGGCCAGTTTGGATGAGCCCATTACTTTGTTAAATTTTAACATTTTTCTTTTAACTTCAAAAATCTAGTATTTGACTCTCTTTATGTATGTTCTTAAAAAAATACTGAAATACTTGCTAAACTTTAATGATGAAAGACTTTTAAGGTTAGCAACTTATCATTATGGCATATATTAAACTGAGAGAAAACAGAAGCAAGGAGAAAAAAAAGGTTGGTCAAAGCTTTCGAGCTAATATAAGTAAATGACAACAAGTCCCACCAAAAACCAGCAAATCAAGATTGAAAACAATTCATCAGACTCTACGAGATTATTTTCCCAACACTTGAATCAATTAATATCACAACAGCCTTCGTTCACTTCCCTTTTTTTCATAAAACTATGCATCTCACCACTTGCCTAAACTGAAGTTTCAACTTTTTGTCGAAAATATCAGTTTATTATTATTTTTTCACAACATCCAACTTGTTTTTTTTTTTCCTAAATATAAAATGTATTTATAGATATCATAAGTCACGGGTCATAACTAATAAGTATAGCTGAAAAATATGAAGATGAGATGACGTACATATGTACAATTTTCTAAGATGAGCCAATAGAAAAGATGAGCCAATAGAAGAAAATCTATTCTACACACGTATGTAATCTTCATATTTTCAGGTATGCGTACGTAATTACATGATACTATCTTTTTCAAAAAAATAATGATACTGTATCTAGTATTAACACATTTTATTTAACTGTTTGGTCACATTAATTGATAGTATTTTTTAATAGAAAGTAAAAACTTTATTTATCTAGTTTCCTTACCATTAATTTTATTTCTCTTGTTTAGTAGCTAGACTAAATATATGAAGTTTCGAAAATATAAACGTAGTTGTCAAAATGAAGAAAGAAACGGTGATGTATACTCAATAATAATTGAATGGGGTGGACTCCTTAACAAGGAGAGTAGAGATTGGCGTCGACGATAAGGTCAAGAGATGTGTGCGTTATGGCTTCCTTTGAGCAAATTAAGACTTTTCTTTTCTTGGTCAAGATAATATAAAGTCTTTTCTATATTAGATTACTGGATTTCTACAAAATTCTTTTCCTGTTTTTAGGCTCGCTCGTTGACTTTCCTATATATTACAAAGAGATACAAATTTTCAATCATTTACAAGAAGCCGCGGAGAGCATAGGACGATTCACAATGGGGAATATGGGAAATTTGGGATCTTTGATATTCTTTTGGGCTCTGCTGGTTGCAGTGGTAGCCATGGCCACCGAGCATCGTCCTTTTGAGCGGACTAAAGGCGTCAATGGTCTCGACAAGATTATCGTCCGGGACCATCGCGGTCATTCCTTTGAGGTACTTTTGTCCGTTTTGTGCTGCCTTATAGACTCCAAAGGTCCGTTTTGCTTGATGCAGATGTTGTTGTTCCATTTCGTTTGTTCAGGTTTACTTGTATGGAGGACAAGTGACTTCTTGGAAGAATGATAAGGGAGAGGAGTTACTTGTTATGAGTAGCAAGGTAACTTCAGATTCACTCTGTTAAAAAAGATAGTTGTCTGTATCTACAATAGTTGACTAAAATCATGTGTTAACGTATTGTGCAGGCTATATTTAATCCTCCAACACCGATTCGTGGAGGGATTCCAATATTGTTTCCACAAGTATGTTTTTTTTTTCGAGATAAATCTTTTTTTTTTGTTGTAATTATTGAATGGTGTGATTTGTTTTTATTAATGGAATGAGTTTTTGTGGAAGTGCAGTACAGTAACACCGGTCCACTTCCCTCACATGGGTTTGCAAGACAGAGGTTCTGGGAAATTGATGCTAATCCACCTCCTTTGCCATCAAGTTCTTCTTCTCATGCTTTCGTTGACCTGATCCTGAGATCATCCGATGATGATTTGAAGATCTGGCCTCACAAGTAAGATTCTTGAAATTTCTCTCTTTCTCTTTTCACCATTTTTTATTAGTAGTTTTTTTTATACATAGAATAATTGTACTGGAGTAATGTTTTGATTATATCTCTGTATCCAACTACAGATTTGAGTATAGACTGAGAGTAGCATTGGGACATGATGGAGATTTGACGTTGACATCTCGTGTCAAGAACTCTGATACCAAGCCCTTTAACTTCACATTTGCCCTTCACCCCTATTTCGCTGTTTCCAATATCAGGTAATTTCAACGAGTCCATAATCTCCCATTTTGAAACGAGACACAACATCTCATCTTTTGAATCGTAATCAGCTAGTTGTTGTATGTGTTCAGTCAAATCCAGGTCGAAGGAATGCACAAGTTGGATTATCTTGACCAACAAAAAAACAGAACACGTTTCACAGATCATGAGAAGGTTATAACTTTCAATGCTCAAGTAAGCCCTCTTTGTTCCTTTTTCCAATTCAAGCTTCAACACTTCTTGTCTTATATTTCATCACTAATACACAAAACCTTCGGAAAAAAAAGCTTGACAGGTTGTACCTAAGGACTCCAGATAATCTAAGAATCGTAGACCATATGAAAAAGAAGACTATTGTTGTACACAAGGAGGGACAAGTTGACTCCAGTAAGTAAAAAGACATAGTTTTGTAAACATTACATAGACACACATAAACATTTAGTACTAATGATGGATCATTCCTAATTATAATGTGCAGTTGTGTGGAATCCATGGGACAAGAAAGTGTCCGACTTGGGAGTTGACGACTTTAGGCGTTTTGTAACGGTGGAAAGCGCGGCTGTCGAGAAACCGATCAAGGTGAACCCCGGCCGAGAGTGGAAAGGAATACTACAAATGTCTGTGGTTCCTTCGAGCTGCCCCAGTGGAAAGCGTGACCCAAAAAAGCCTTGCGTTCATCATCCTTGAAAAAGAACCAACTTTAAAACTGTATTATTCCCCTTAAAGTATACTACTTTACTTAATGTTCCCGAGACACATCACATGGTGAACATGTAAGTTAGTTGGGGATCCAAACTGGACTCTTGAACCAGTTTTATTGTTTTGTAATTCTAGTTGTTCGTAAATCCTGTTCAATAATAAAGTATAAAGTGATTTACAGTAATTGGTATAATAGTTCTGATCATAACAAAATTAGTATACTTCAAAATCATATATTTAGCCGATGAATAATCTATTTGTTAAATTAAAATTCTTATTCTATATTTTATTACGGGCGTTTGTCGTATTGATTTATTAAAGAAAAAAATCTTAGCCACAAAATGAAATCATCTCCAAGACGTATCATCATCATCATCGTCCACCAATGAAACGTTCTCTCCTTACTCTGTTTCTCTTCCCAGATGCTCCTTGGGGAAAAAGAAGCTCAATCCAACTTATTCCTCCCAATCTCCGAGAAGGGTTTTGATAAATTCTGGAGATTTTGTCGATCGCAAAGCAGATAAGTGAGGATTCAAATGGGTTGTGTATCGGGTCAAACCCGAATCGCAATGATGAACCTTTCGGTCTCGTCAGCTGAGAAGAACCCTAAGTTTCGCTCGTCGCTTCTCAATTCTAAGGTAACTGTATTCAGTTCGTCGAGCTTCACCAAAAAAATTGACTCTTTTTCTGATTTACTTCGTCTTCTCCTTTGCTTCTGTCAGAGCTCAGTTTCAGATAGTTATGAAGTCTCTTCCAAATGCAGTACATTCTTCAGGGGGCAATTTCAAAGAATACATTTTTCTTGCCTTCACCACGCTCGACCTCTGAGAAAACGAACAGGTAATGGTTGAATTGGTATTTTGATTTGCAAAAACCAGACCAATCTCTTAGAGAACTCTAGTTGTGATTTAAATTCTTCTACCGTGGACTTTGGTGTAGTGTTTGGTCACGTGAGCTGCGTCATGCCGTTGACGGAAGATAACGTGGAGAGAGTGCTAGACGAAGTACGGCCGTCGCTAATGGCCGACGGAGGAAACGTGGCGCTGCACGAAATCGACGGACTTGTGGTGGTTCTAAAGCTGCAAGGAGCTTGTGGCTCGTGTCCTAGCTCATCAATGACGTTGAAGATGGGGATAGAGAGTCGTCTACGGGACAAGATTCCAGAAATCATGTCCGTTGAGCAGTTTCTTGAATCAGAGACAGGGTTAGAGCTGAATGATGAGAACGTCGAAAAGGTTTTTTTAGAAGTTATTGGGTGACATTAATAATTTTGACTTGTTTTTTTCAATTAGCGATCGATCTGAATGGCCATTTTTGGTTTGCTGTTGTCAAATAAAGGTTCTGTCTGAGTTACGGCCGTACCTATCCGGCACTGGAGGTGGGGGGCTTGAGTTGGTAGAGATAGATGGTTACGTGGTCAAGGTTAGGCTCACTGGACCAGCTGCTGGAGTCATGACTGTTCGTGTTGCATTGACTCAAAAACTGAGGGAAACGATCCCATCCATAGGTGCAGTCCAGCTTCTAGAGTGACGTACACCTTTTACATTTTGTAACTTCTGTTCTCATCTTTTACAAAGCCTATTTTTGATTCAATATAATTTTGAAATTAATGAGCATAGCTAGATTGTTGGCTTCGTTTTGATGCACCAAGCTTAATTTCTCGATAAAACAAAACATTTCAAAGCTTTATTTATACACTTGTGTAAAGGAGCTCATCGAGAAATAGAACTCAATAGAATATGAACTTGTAAATTTGCTTGAGTTCCCTTTTAACTTTCTTTGTTTTTTTTTTTTTTTTCCCATACGGTGCAAGATAGAGAGAAAGGCTAGAAAAGAAGCAAACCAGAAATTTCAGACTCTCTCTAATCTCTAATTTACTATAATACAATTTGGCACAGAGTTAAGATTAGGTTTAACTTTGGCAAATTATTTATTTCCTGAAACAAGTTATCCTCTAAATATTCATATTCAATATCTCTCTACTTGGTTTCCAAGGCGTATATTAATCTCTGTATTAAGACTATACAGAGATGGGGAACACGAAAGAGACACACGGCTAATCAAAATCACATCAACAATGTCACAGATTAGTTTTAACCGACTCTTCAAACCCTCCTCCGTCTGCAAAAGTCTACTCGTAAGAATTCGTAGCTATATAGGACATAATTAGGGTTTCTCCTTTCACTTTTTTTTTTGGTTCTCATAGTCTGACTTGTTTGAACGTAAACATGGTAGAGACATAAGAACGTTCGTCTTTTCTCGTCTACAACTTACACATTAAGCACGGATGGTGAGATGAGCGTTACCGCCAAACTACAAGCCCCGGTGGATTGTTCCTTCTCGTCTACCCCAATCTACCCGTTTCTGTTGATAGACTACGTGCTTAACATCCCCAAGTACTCTCCTGATGGTCGTGTCATTAGAACCTACGAATCAGGTGAATACGGACTGCCCGCTTCCAATGTAAGTATTTTGCTTAGGGACAAGAAACTGGTAGAGGAGGTTCGTCATGCGATGACTGTAGGGTTTTCACATCATGGATTGCGATTCAAGCTTTCGAAAAACTCCCTAGATATTCTCATCGATGACCAGAAGAAATCAACACCTGCTTGCGTTCATCTGCCTCCTCTACCTACGGGCTTTCGAATCCAAAGCGTGGCCATGGCGTCTTCTTCAAGTGACCTAAATAATAGTGAAGACTGGGTCGTTGGTGTCAAGTCTTGGGGATCTCAGCTGAGTCTCTTTAGGCCTGGTCATCAGTGGATTAACATTAAAACCTCGCCTGAGTTTATGAACCCTTTCTCGAGTCTTATGTATTCCAAGAAAGATCAAAGGTTCTACATTCCAGCTCCTGGAGGCGATTACTTGTGCTCCTTGGATCTCTACTTCAGGGAAGACGACCAACCCGAGTTCATTTTAATAGCTGAGAACATTCCTGACGCGGTTTTGCCTGAGTTGGCCCTGCTAAATTCCTGTTCCAGGACAGATCATTGGGTGGAGTCACCCTCCGGTGAACAATTCCTCGTCAAGTGGTATATATACAAGAATTGTTTTTTGAATAACAATGATACAAACTATTATTTAGGTTACTCCACATTTTGATTTGAGATAATTTTTTGTTTTTAAGTCTTGCTCATTCTAGCTAGGACATGCATCTACTATATACTCGCCAAACACAAAACGTGATGAAACATTTTATCTCATTTGTTCTTCTATGTGTTTTAGGTACGGCCACAACATAATGCGCAATCACAATAAAGTGGAAACACTCATGCACATGGCATCAAAGTTTATGGTGTTTAGAGCAGAAGAATCATGGGATGAAAAATTTGTGTATTACACAGAAGAAATAGGAGATCTTTGCATCTTTCTTGGACATAGTGAGGCTTTCTGCATCCCGGCCAGTTCGTGCCCCGGGCTCAAGCCTAACTGCATATATTTTGTGGGCTATAACTTTGGTGTTTATGATCTCACCACCAAAACTTGCACTACCTTCTACACTGAAGATGACGTCCCATTAAGGAATTTGGAGTTCCCTTACTGGCCTCCTCCAGTTTCTCTCCACTCATAATTTTTATAGTTTTTTGCGTTAGTGTTTATGGTCTTTTTTCTTTTTTCTTCCTAACTTCTATTGACTATTGCTATGAGTTCAATAAAACCTCAATGAAGATGTCTAATCTCTCGCTACTCATAATTTTTAAATAACCCTCACATACATACTACAGTATTTGTTATTAATTGATTAAACAAAAAAGAAAAAGAAATAAACACACTTAAAAACGATATATATTTTTATGTCATTCCATTATATAAAAACTGAAATGGATTATTTCCTTAGATTTAATGCTATCTCCATTAAAGATTCTTCTATATCATTATATAAGGTAAGTTTGTGAAATTGGTGGCCAAGGCGTTCTCTCTTTATTACTCTGAAACAGAGGACTAATCAACCAACATAGTTTAGGGTTTTCGACGATGTCTCAGCTCATTAACCGACTCTTGAAGCCATCTGTCTGCAAAAATGTCATTGTAAGTTCTTTATTTGTTATGTAAAAATAGTTAACTTGGGTTTCCTTACGGTTCTTCCTTATTGGATGATTACTTGTATATACATTGCATGCAGAGACACAACATGAAGGGTCGGATGTTCTGCTCTAAGCCAACACACCCGTACTTGTTGATTGACCACCTCCTTAAGGCCGGTTACAATTCCAATGATCAAATATACTACGATGATGAATACAGAGAGAAACTCGTGATTAAGAACAAGGGACTCGCAGAAGAGGTCCGAGTGGCGATGACCGATGGGATTCCACATATATATGGTTATAGAGTTAACGAAAAATCGGAGGAATCAGATGAATCAGGTGAATCGGAGGAATACGAGGATGATGATGATGATGAGTATACAAGTCTCGTGCTGGTCAGTAACACACCATCTGACCCGGTGAAACTTCATCTCCCTCCTCTGTATAATAGTTCTCGAATCCAAAACGTGGCAATGTCCAACCCTCTGGCAGGAAACAAGCAAGATTTGGTAGTGGCTGTCAAGTGCTTGGGATCTGACGTGAGTGTGTGCAAGCCCTTCAGCGACTCTGAATGGATCAACATCGATACCTCTGGTTCTGTGCACCCTTTCTCGAGTCTAATGCATTCAAAGAAGAACAATAAGTTTCTCACTGTTTGTCCTTCTGGACTCTACTTTTGGTCCTTGGATGATGTCCACCCCGGGTCGGGTAAAAAATACCAACCTAAGTTCCACTACTTGTGTAGTCAAACGGACCATCTTAGCAAGGTTCTTCGGACGGATTTGGAAGACTTCATCTCGTGTACCAGAACGGACCACTTGGTGGAGTCACCCTCCGGTGAACATTTCCTCGTCAAGTGGTACATAATAATATATCTATCTTTAAATATGTATGCACAAGTTTGGTAATTTAACATATGCTGAAACATAAAGATATCTTATTTGCAGGTTTGGCCAGGACGGCAAGGACTGGGGAGCGGAAACAACCTTCTATACAACAAAAAGGTTTCTGGTGTTTAGAGTGGATACAGTTTGCGGTGACTTGGTTTACACGAGAGACATTGGAGATCTTTGTATCTTTCTTGGACATAATGAAGCATGCTGTGTCCCGGCAAGCTCGTCTCCTGGACTCAGGCCTAACTCTATCTATTATGTGGGCAGTAACTTTGGTGTTCACGATATCGGAACCGAAACTTGCACTACCTTCTACATAAAGGATAACCTTCCATTGAGTTCAACTGAGTTCCCTTACTGGCCTGCTCCACTCTCTTGCTAGTGACTTTGATATCATATGATGTCTTTTACATTTGTGGCCTGCAATATCTTTTCTTTAATGTTTTTTGGGTTTGGTTCATGAACGTGCTAGTTAATGTTTTTGGTTATTAGTTCTATATATGACTATTTGAAATAAAACATGACAGGACCCGTTTTACCTTTCTTGATCACAATTAGCTTAGACTACTTATTCTGATAATCTAAACGTGTATAAATCATTTGCAGAGTAAAAAGTAAAGGCAATCAAGTTCTGAAAGATAAAAAAACAAAAAACAAATAGGCAGCTGAGACAAATTGACACATATAATTTTATGGGCAAAAATATCAACCAGTGAAACCAAAAAGTAACAAAGAGAAAGAGAGATTATCAACTGATATGTTGTAACTCTAGAGGAGCATATGATGATGATTGTTTTGCTGCGGACCAGCTGAGCCTGGAGGAGGTGGGAGGGCAAGGAAATGGTCTCCAAAAGGATTAGAAGGGGAAGGACCTGCTGAGAACTGATGGTGGTGATGATTATGATGAGCATGAGGATGAGTGTAATTGTAGGGATTCTGATGCATCATCATCATCTGCTGTTGCTGTTGTTGTTGCATTGCCATTTGAACGTTAGTGGGAGGAGCAATGTTGTTGGACATTGCAAAGGGATCTTGTTGCATCTCGAATGGGTTTGGTGGTGCTGCTGCTGCATTGTCTGTGCCACCATGTCCATACCCGGCATTGGTTAGTTGGATTTGTCTCCTAGCTGAATCATCTTCGTACAGACTGTCAAGTAAAAGATTGTCGAACCCTCCTGCCTTTAAATACAAGAGAAGAGAGAGAGATAACCCCCATGTTAGTTTTGAGACTAGAAATAGAGAGTTCAAATGTAGTGTTAGACTTAATTACTAGTTTGGTGTTAGGCGTGGGGCGAGGATTGTTGTTGTTGTTCTGAGGAGTGACTAGTGCCAGTTCCCAACCGGATCCACCAGTTTCTATTAAACTTAAACTGTTTGATGGACCTGGAGCTTCATGACCTGCAGAGACCAATAACAAATGAAATCAGTAAGTTCATTTCTTCCTCCCATAGTGTGACAGAATGTTTAAACTTCTGGTCAAGAATCAATATTTGCTACCTGGTGGATATATTGCGAGAGCCAATGCATTGCGGTCCTCTATCTCCACGGCTTTTGGGTTTATCTCACTCAAGCCCTGTCAAGAAAAATTTGAGAATTTAGCCAAAAAAGATATCAGTACACATGAGATTGATGTGTGCAAGAAGATTCACCAGCAGATCATCAGTGTCTATCAAGAATGAAGGTTCAGCAACTTCCTCTTCTATTTTTTCTCTTTCCTCTTCTTCTTCTTCTTCTTCTTGAGGTTGGTCTCCTTCAGTGTTTTCATTTTGATTTTCGGCTTCTACAGGTTCTTCAGGCTGCGCACATTGTTCTTCTTGTTCTTCTTCCTCTTTTTCCTGATACTCCTGTAATACAAAACGCCAGTTATAAAAAGACTTATTTCTGATCAATATCAACCAAATATGATGAGAGTTAAAACTTTTTACCAGCTTTTTCTGTACAGAACCACTTTGAGGTGCTTCTTTAATGTAATCTTCCATTGTGGCAAGAAATGAAGGAGGAGGCTGAAACAAATTTTTAGATATTAGTTATTTTGAGGTGATCAATCTCACATTCATCCATCACAAGTTAAGAAAAAACCTGTCTTAAGGTTGGGAACTGAAAGCTCCTAGCGAGCTCTAGACCTTTGCAGTACTCATAGAAATCAGCCAGATGTTCAGCCTGTGGAGTGGATAACATTAATAGGCAAGCTTTGTGAAGATTAAGACTTAGTCTATAGCTTTTGGAGCCTTACCTGTTGGCCAGCTCGTTTGTATATATTTAGAGCTTTAACTGCATCATGTCTTGACATCTCAAAGAACTGAATCAGCAGCAGAGATATATACTTTAGTAACATTCAGTAGTAACAAAGTTATACTAAATAAAGCAGAGAAGGAGATTATTCTGCAAACCATGTCGACAAGATTAATGATTCCATCATTAATGGCACAGTATATTTTGAAGCTTTCTTTAAGTACCAATGCAAGAGCGTATTGAATTAGATAGTTGCTATAGGCTGTTCCTTCAGGCTGCAAAGCTGAAAACAGATTAAGAAAAGGTTCCATGTAAAAACAAAAACAAAAATGTTTGGAAGATTTTAGTTTGAGTATATAACTTTTACCTGACAACCGACAAGCCTGTAAAGCAGCTGTTGCAAAGCAGGTAACTGCTCTAGTAGTTCTTCTTCAGAGAGCATCCTTGTTCTATACGTTTGAGTAGCATTGAAATCTACGTTCTGTAAAAATGATATATAATGAGATTCTTGTGTTAGTTTCAAAGGTGAGAATGAAGTTGAGAAACAAACCTTGGAAGATGCACCTGAAGCTTTTGGTAAACGTTCTGCTTCTATGTCATACTTCAAAACCCGATAGCATTCAAGCCGCTCCTCGAGGAAAAGCGCGTATGTCCTAATCCATGCAGAGCAATCCCAAGCTGCAACAACAAGTCAAGATAATGTCTTTTAACATTTTTCATTAACACACCAAAGCTATAGAACAAAAAGATATATATATATAGAGAGAGAGGCTATTCACCAAGAGGACTTGTATCGTCTTTGAAGTTGGATATCCGAAGTATATGTCCTCTGTGAGAGTAATTGAGAAGCTCTTCTCTGAATGTTGGATCACCTTCTCTTAATGTTCTATGGATGACTATTAACACCTTGATCGCGACCTACGTGTTGAAAACGCAATCTAAGCAAACCCAAAAACAGATTTTTTTTTTATTTTATAAAGTGAAGATAAAATGAAGTCTTTTTGAGTAAAGTTTATATAAACTCACAACCCAATTGCGAGTTTTTGACAATCTCTTGGCTAATGCGTGAATGCAGTAAGCAACATCTGCTCGTGGTTGCACTACAGATGTCGCCGAGAATATTTCTGCATAAAGATATAAAACTCATATAACGCCTCTGATCATAATAACCAAAAAAACTCAAAGGGTTCGGGGTACTTACTACGAATATGACGTTCTTTGGGAGCAGATTCTACGTGATTTGTGGCCTTGACGATCGCAACATCCAAATCCTAATCTCGATTTCATATATTAAAAAAATTTCATCGGTCGTTTACAAAAAAGAACAAAATTTAGCCAAAGGTGGTAAAATGTGAGTCTGACCTTGAATTCGCTGTTGACCTTGGCGATGCTTACGGTGGTTGAATCTTTGATTGCTCCGACGGCTTTACGGAAGCTGTGAAACGTTGCCATCTAGGGATAAATCTTGTAATTGGGAAAAAGTTTGTTAACTATTATTGCGGAGATCACCGGAATAGTGTAACGACGATCTGGTAACGACGGGGAGAGAAAGAGAGGGGGAAGAGGAAGGAGAAGATAAGGGGATGAAGAAGACGAAGAAGACGAAGACCAAGTTTAAGTTTGGTAAATATGCTCTGTTTGTTACTTGTTAGTCGCCTTACAACGAACAGAACACAATAACAGACTTTTCAACCAAAGCCTCTTCTCTCTCTCTCCCTCTCTCTTTGCCTCACCGTGACGTGACGTGCGTAACGGAATCTTATTTATTTTACTCTTTTTAAAAAAAAGATTTTGTAATTATATAGTGTACTAATTTAATTTGTATCGAAAATAGTAGTCTCATTTACCAAATCAAAATTCTTGTTTAACCTTAACAAATCTAGCATATTCCTATAATCGGATGCTAAGTTACAGTCTTACAGATGTGTAATTTCCAAAAAAATGAATTCCACTTATTATGTATCTCAAATTTTAATTACTCTTTTGTTCAAAAATAATAATAATTCCATTACTCGAACTGTATTTTTTTTATTTTTTTTGTTGGACTTGGATCCGTAGGCTTAAGAGCATAGGTTGGGTTCTGATTTGGATCATATTTGCCAAAAACATCTACTGCATATATCATTGCTTCTTTTGTTCCAAAATGCTCATTTATTTATCTTACTGATCATGTCATTAAGAAGTTACTGTTTCGGTTTGTTTAAGAAATGTAACAATTTGTACTCGGCAAAGATACAAAATATTAACCCAACATTGTATTTACCATGCATGCATGTTTCCTCTTTTGTTGCTGTGCGTAAATATTATCGCTTCCTTATAAGTATTAATTCGAATGTTCTCATCATGCTAATGTGTTTACCCATGCACTGTGTATTTGGCTCTATTATGCACAAAGATATCACGAAACCAAAAATTTAAAGCTGAAGAATCAAGACAATTTTTATTATCAGGAGAATAAGATAGTACTATAAGGTCAGTGTAGTGATGAGAATCATGATGCAGTAGTGGTAACATATTTGGTGAGCATCTTGACAATCTCCTTGGAGACCTTCGAGCTAGATTCCTTAAGGTTCTTAATCCTGCCTTCTGTCTCATCATCTAAACGTTTTGCAGCTGCTTCTTGATCCGTCTGAAAAACAAAAAAAAAAAGGTAAAGGATGAGTACAAGTTAAGATCTCACTCGCTGGTTTTGTTTGGTGTTGATTACCCCAGAAACTTGTGTCTGATACTCTTCTTCTAATTTGGCCCTGTACTCTTCCATCTCCTTCTCAGCCTCGTCTTTCGCTTGCTTCAATCTTGCTAGTTTTGCTGATCATTGGTCCATCCAAAAACAATAAGAAAATGGTCACAGCCGAAAAGGATAAAAAACCAAAATCTTACTATTGGAGCAAAAAAAACTGTTAAGGAGCTAGACTATACCGGTCCTAGCAGCTGAAACAATCCGTCCGGCTTCTTGTTCAGCAGTTAAAAGCATCTGAATCCCACCTTGGCCTCTTAAAGAATCCATGGCTTGTGTTCTCTTGAATGCCGATGAATACTTGTGTTTATTCTTCTTTGCAAATTTTGGTGTGAAAGAATGAAGTTGTAGATATAAGCCTCTTTCGTTATGGTTTAGATTAGAGAGGCAGAGTGTTTTTCTCCTTGGTTCTTGGAGTTCGTTTTTGACTCATTTTTTTTCTTTCAAATTTGAGTGATTTAGAAAACAATATGTGATCCAGTGTGAGTGTATATATTTAAAAAAAAAAATCTAAAACTTACTATATATAGAATCTCAACTGACTACAAATCAGCCGATAGGTATAATAAATATTTTGTGTGAAACAAAATTTAAACTATGGATTATAAGGAAATCTAAATAAAATTGATGCTCATATTTTTTGTATTCTTTTTTGATAAAACTGATGCTCATATTTTATTAAATCATCAAAGAAAAAAAAACTATATTATCAAAGATTAGACGTTAAATAGCCAGCTCAAAGGCGTCATTTTCACTGATATAAATGCAAAACAATAAGCAGAATGGAGAATGCCCAAAACGAATAAATCATACACATGCAGTTGCATCATTACTACTTTAGATAGTATAAAGTTGCATGATATACTTTGCATTTAATTTTCCCACCACGCATTCCCTATTTAAATTGTCACATCAATATATACGAATATATCGAAACATAAACAAATCTTCCGAGTTAGAAAATTTGGTTGTCCTTGATTTATCTTTGTAATTGTAATTGAAGATAATGTAAATCAAATTAGATCACAAAAAATATGATCGTGATCAATAGGACCTGGTTGTTTTCGGTTATCCTTATAACGTCTTGTATAATTGGATTCAAGGCAGTGATAGTCGTAGCAGCCGGATCAGTGGCCATGATTGCGTTTAATGCGGCGATGGTCTGGTTTAAGGTCTTGTTGATGTTTGATGAATGCCATACTTTTATGTTTTTTGTGCCTTTTTGTTTCTTATTTTTCCTTCTTTTACAAAATATTTCTTGAACTGCATGCCAAAAGTTTTGTTTTGTTAATTCATTTTTATTAGTAAACAACTTTTCTGATGTAAGCATGTAGCCATTTTTAAAAAAAAGCAAAATTAATATTAGTTTAAACGTTGATATTTTAAGATACTTTTCAAATAGAAAATGGGATCACATTATATGCATTGTCTAATGAAGGCGTCACGATAAATAAGTAGTTGAAAACATAATCAACAGCACATGGTGAGTTTTTTTACCCACCATTGTCCATTGTCATACACATATAATGAATACTTGCTTCTACCAAGATATAAAACAAAAGGGTATGTAAAAGTGACTGCAAAGGGGAATTTACTTATCTAGGAAGTAGGAACGTATGGTAACGAGAAAAACATCATGGTCACATTTACAAGTATTTTATGTATGTATATGCATTTTAGTATGCATGCATAGATTTGTGTATCAAAATAATAAAGCATAAAGATATCACATGATCTTAGTGATACTCAAACAAAGTGCAGGAGGAGCTTCCCTGAGAGTTCACTTTTCTTGAAATTGAATGTCCTTCACAAATCATCACCCCGGGAGCATCTTTACGCTTCCATCACTTGGGAGATATAAAAGTATCATATACTAGTAAGTATTAATATATGTTATTTTCTTATAAATTTTTATATGTATATTTTAATTGTTTTTTTTTTTCAAAAATTGTTACTGATTTACTTTCTCAGTCAAATACTAACCAAAGTGAAAAAAGAAAAGCAAGTTTAGAATGTGGAAAAAGTCGAGTCAGGAGGAATATACATGAGTTGACTCTAAAGAGATCGATCATACGTAACGGATAAAACAACTGCGTGGAATCGTAAAACTTAGTCACTTCAGTACTTGACAATGCATCTCATTCGGGACCAGCCAAAAGACATGTAAACTTGACAACTGGACCCCTACCACAACATTATAATCTCATCGGTCATCACCACAACTAATTCTTCTCCTTCTTGACTTTGCGTTTTTTTTTTCTTTCATCTTCTTTTCGTTTTTTGCAACATATTACAATATAGTTAATTGGGTCGACTAGGTTCTTAAACTCGTTAAAAATAATGTTAAAATTTCTACTAAAAATGAATATGAGAGCTATTGAATAGAAATTTGTCAAGTTTCAAGAAAAACTTGGAAAATATTATTTTCAACATATTCTGTTTTCAGTTTGTTTTTTTCCCTGTTTATAATAAGGTAACCAAAAACATTTTTGATGATATAAATAAACTTATAAACGTTTTTTTCAAGAAATTTTAGATAATTCTTATCTTCTCGAACTGATGGTAGAAGATTGTCAATCCATCGGATATATATACATCTAAAGTTCAAACAAAACATGTAAACGCGGTTTGACATAAATACAAACATTATCTTATAATACTAATTTCCAATTTTTAACTTCATTGTAGTAGGCTACTGTCGATGTTTTGATTTACTTTGAAAGAGTCCCTATGTTTGGTTTAAACTATACAAGTGGAGTGCTGACCAAATTTTTACTTTGTTCAGTTCAGTTTATTATTCGATCAGAGTTTCATTTTTTTCTTTCTTAGAATTAAATAGCTGATGATATAAATGAATAATTCATCCCCAAAAAAATAGATGATTGAATATATACGTAATTTTCAATTATTGTAAATTCAAACCGCTTAATACTACTATGGAACATCAAAACCGTGCACTTGTATACTTGAAATCACATCAAATTTTAAGTAAGAACTTTCAACATGATATGACGCCATGTTAACAATGACTACCAAATTGATTCAGTGACTGCGCTTTTTACTCAGTTGATGTATACACTTAGAATTTAGAACACTGAAATATACTATAGGAGTAGTTGAATTTATCTGGTATAAGCGTTGACTATTACAATATACAAAACTGAGTCTTAAATAACATAGGTTTAAACTGTAAAAAGATACCTCAGATATGGTAAAAACTCTTTACACGACAACCGATACATATACTTGTTCCTTTCACCATTGATAAATAACCCTTTCAAAATTCAATTACCTTTTACCGTGAAAAATAGAAACGAACCACCCGAGTCAGAAAACTACGCAAGTGCTACTACTAAATTAATACTACGAAGTAAATTACCAATATAATTTGGTAAAACTAAACACACAAAAATCCAAAACAAAAGCGATCAAACTTAATACTGTAATGAGAGAGTCATTAAGTAGCTAGGGTCACATACACGTAGAGCTTCACACCAAACAATTCTCGCTGAAACCAATAAACTTGGTCTTATATGTCTTCTTTCATTTAATGTCCCCCTCTCTCTAACCACTTGCTTCCCTTAATTTCTCTCCTTTTATATTTATATTTCTCCTTCATTTTACTCTCCAACTAAATAATTATACACACTTCAAGCTGAACCAAATAATGCAGCCGTCCGGTGGTGATCCGACGTCGCCGGAGAAAGGGAAGGATGAGAAGTCGTCGCCGCCGAAAGTGTCACTGCTTAAGCTCTTCTCCTTCGCAGATTTCTATGACTGCGTTCTCATGACCCTCGGATCCATCGGAGCGTGCATTCATGGCGCATCCGTTCCCATCTTTTTCATCTTCTTTGGCAAACTCATCAATATTATCGGTCTTGCTTATCTTTTCCCTAAACAAGCCTCTCATCGAGTCGCCAAGGTTTGTCTATATACTAGTTTTTAATCCATTTTTTTCCCTTATGAGGATTTTTTTACAAAGCTACAAAACTTGAGAGATTCTTTAGTAAAGATTAGTCGGAAATAGAAGATATATTTTTACCTAATTTTCTTTAGTAGATTAAAATTAATTAACTATGTAATCGAAATATAATTCTAATGAATTGTGCTAATCATCCGTTATTATGTTTGTTAATATGTTTGCTCGGCTTACATTTTCACCTTTTTTTTTTCTTGTTGCAGTACTCATTGGATTTTGTATATCTGAGTGTGGCTATACTATTTTCATCATGGTTGGGTAAAAAAATTAGGCAATTTCAAATTCACTTTTTACTTAATATAAACTTGAAGTTGGTAAATAATTAATCAAATAATGGAAACAGAGGTTGCATGTTGGATGCATACGGGAGAGAGGCAAGCGGCGAAGATGAGGAGAGCTTATCTCCGGTCGATGTTAAGCCAAGACATAAGCTTATTCGACACTGAAGCTTCAACCGGAGAAGTCATCTCCGCCATCACCTCCGACATCCTCGTCGTCCAAGATGCTCTCTCCGAGAAGGTACATCCCTTAACAGAATCAAACCGGTATTGAGTTTTTTTTTTGTTAACATTTTGTGTTAGCTAAACTATTAGATTCGTTAATAAACCACTTACTTTTTCTATGTGGTAACTTCTTGATAAATAAACGCATTCGATATTTTTTTTTTCTTACTCTTTATATTTACACAAAATAATTTTTTTTTTTTGTTCAAATACCTACTAAACTCTGCTAAGTAAGGCATGGCCTCGGTTGATAGAATCTATAGACATTATTTAGGTTGATAGATTTTACAAATCTTTTACATGGGTTTTTTTTTTCTTTTCACATTTGGGTTGATCAATCCTTATCAGCTTTAATGTGAAACACATTAATGGCTTAATCCAATAATGCCATAGATGTTTATTTTTTTTTCCATTTTTGAAGAGGTTTTTTGGAATGCAAGATCTCTTTTCATAACTTAATTAACTAAACATATTCTAGTATTCTTCATTTTTCTGAGATTCCAATAAAGTATAGTAACCTTTATATATTTTTCTTTTATACGTTGGGTCCTTGGTGCAAAAATAATAAATGCATTGTCTTCAATTCGGTTATATCTGCATTGCATTTTGCATTTATAAGGCGGTTGAGTTTGATACGATTTAAATTTTATATTTTCAACTTTTGACCTTTATTTGGTTCGACTTTACAGCTAGCCTAGTCACAAAAACAGTTTGATTACTTAAAGTGTAATGACTAATGACGCAAATGTGGTTAATGGTTTATGATTATGATATGTTGTCTGAATTACCGGTATATCTGGTTTTAGGTAGGGAATTTCTTGCACTACATAAGCCGGTTCATAGCCGGTTTTGCAATTGGATTCAC